GTTATCGGAAAGGCGAGGTCCGATAAGGGGTCGGATTAACGATTCGAATTCTGGACCGGCTGTCGAGTTATATTCCGCCGACGTAGTGCTTGACGGTCGACTGGCTAGGATGCTCGTAATCCTAAACTGCACCAATCTCCCTATTATCGCTAGGTAGGCGAAGTCAACAAGGTGGGCAGCGCGCCGTAAGGGTTGACTAAACCCCCTTGTGTGTCAGCTGCGGGATTCGAACCCGCGACTCGTCACCGACCCAAGTGGGCGAGGCTCAAATCGGGACTTATCTACCAGCGAAGTGACCAACTACACCAGCCGACTTAATAATAATAAATTATCTTACGAAATAGAGAGATACTATTATATAGAATTTCGGGTTAGAAGTAACGTTTGAATCTCTATATACTACTTTAGATAATCTGAACTATATATAACGTGGTTTAACACCGAGTCGCGCACTTTTTCAACTTTTCCAACCTTTTGACTTCAACACTTATTTCCTCAACAACAACACCATGTCAGTTCAAACCCAAGAAGCCGAAATCAACCTTGCCGAGCCAACGTCGAGCAGCAAAACTATACGGTGTACCCGAGTCCTCACTCCGTGACAGAATCCACGGTCGCACCCCACGTACCGAAATCTGGACGAATAGCGCACTACTCGCCAAGATAGAGGAAAGAGCTATTGTTTAGCATGTACTTGACCTAGATTTGAGAGGGTTTCCTCCCCGGCTAGAGGGTGTGGAAGATATGGCCAATTCCATTCTTGCGACGCGGGGTACCCGACGCGTCGGCAAGCTCTGGGCGCATCGCTTTTTAAAGCGAACCCCAGAGTTACAGACGCGTTTTTCTCGCTCGTATGACTTCCAGAGGATTCTCTGCGAGGATCCAAAGATTGTTGAGGACTGGTTCCGGCTTGTATCGAATATGAGGGCCAAATACGGGATCCAGGACTGCGATATGTGGAACTTCGACGAGACGGGCTTTATGATGGGCGGTATTCAACGCTCGATGGTCATTACCTCGTCTGAACGTAATGGTAGAGGCAAGAAGGTCCAGCCAAGTAACCGGGAATGGGCCACGGCGATTACCTGTGTCAATCCGGAGGGTCGCGACATCCCGCCATTTCTGGTAACTCAAGGGAATTATCACCTTGCTAATTGGTATACTGAGGGGGCCTACCAGCCGATTGGGTAGTCAAACCGACCGAAAACGGGTGGACGAACAACGAGACTGGTCTAGACTGGATCAAACATTTCAATAAGCACACTATCTCGACCAAAAGAGGCGTGTATCGGCTGTTAGTATTGGACGGGCATGAGAGTCATACATCGGCCGATTTCGAGTCTTATTGCAAGTCTAACGGCATTATTACTATCAGTCTGCCCCCGCACTCGTCTCATCTAACCCAGCCACTTGATGTCGGGTGCTTTGGGGTCTTGAAACGTATATACGGTCGAGAGATTGATATATTTAAAATACTACGCCGTCACTCAATTTGGAGAGAGTAGGGCTACGAGTGACAATACCGCCGAAGGCTACTACTATTATAGAGAAGCATAGAATAATCGAGGAAAACCTGTATTAATGTATATAGGCGGTTAAGCAACAAAACTCGGCTATATAGTTAGTTATTTAATAGATCTAAATAAGTTCCCCTACAGAGTTTGTCTTGCACTGCGCTCCTGGTCCCTAAGCTTCATTAACATCCCCTCTGGCGGTTTCTCATAAAACAGGTAGTTCCTGCCAAATGGAGCGTCTAGCATTAAACCCTGCAGAGTCTTGACACGCGAGACGGCAACGTAGCTCAGGCCAGTCTGGAAGTCCCGGTTAGAGAGGTCTGTAACGATCCGGTCCTCTGTAATACTCTGTGACTTGTGGACGGTAATAGCGTAGCAAACCACCAGCGGAAACTGGGTGCGCGTGCAGTTCTTCGCACCGACGAGGAAATCCCTCTGCACAGGCAAGATCGGCACGATCTTTCCACCTTCGGGCGTGGTGAGAAAAGGCGGGCCAGAGTATTTGTCGAACTCGATAAGGATTACGCAGGGCTGATCTCGAGCCGGGTCTGCTTCAGCGGCCCAGCCGATGTCATACACAGTGCCCCTAGCGCCGTTACAGAGGCCAACCGCCTGCCAGAGGTTATAGGTAAGGATCAACCGCGCGCCAATACATACGGGGAACTGCTTCGCAAGGTTGCCGGCCTTATCGTCCGCGGTGGTAGCGGCGCCGGGGCCGACGCTCTTGGCCACAACCTGGACAATTGGACTGTACAGACGCGACATATGGTAGTAATTGTACTCGTTTACCTTGTCCTTAGTCGCGTACACCCGCAGCGCATTACGGAAGCTGTCAATCTCTTGCTGGCTAAGCTTCGCCTGGACCCGGGTGGCGAGCAGCTTCCAGGACTCGACTGACAGCTTTAATAAGCGAAGCTCCTCGAGCGCCTTGCGGAAGCCAGCCTGTTCCTTGCCTCTCTGCCGTTGGGCGGTCCTCAAGAACACCGTTTTCCGAAATTGCTGGAAAGCGTTCCTGCCCTTAATCTCGACACCCCTGACCTCCTTATCGTAGAAGAGCGGCTTCTGCAGTACGGGGGGTAACTGGAAGAAGTCACCTACGAGGAGGATGTTTAACCCGCCAAAGAACTCGTCGTTACTATCCGGGAACGCTTCGCGGAGACGTGTATCGATCCACGATAGTTGGCGCAGGCCGAGCATACTCTTCTCATCAATCACTAGGTATTTAATATCCTGCAGCTTTCTCTGGAGTTGTATCCTATCAACAGACGCGAGCTCTTTGAAAGAGTTATCGACGGGAAGCCGGAGCAGCGAGTGTATAGTAGTGCCAGATATCTGGTTGCCTGCTACACCGGTGGGAGCGGCACGCCAGATAGGTGTTCCCCTTACGCCTGAGGCGGCCTGTAGGTGAGCAGACAATATATTAATGAGGTACGACTTACCTGTTCCACCGCCCCCGTCCACGTGGAGGAGCAGCTGCGAGCGAGAGCAAGTCCGGTAATGGTCCATCACAGTATCGTAAACAAGGCGCTGCTCTATATTAAGGGTATCGCAAGCTTCGGGGGGCTGGTCGTCTACATCAAGCTGCAGCGGATTCTCCGCAATACGCTGCTTCCAGTAGTCACCTTGCAGAATTCCATCGCCTGTGTAGCGGCCCACGTGTAGAGACCAGTCGTAGTTAAGATCAATATCTCGGCGGCCAAGGGTATCGATATCCTCATCCTCGAGCGGCTGATTAGGGAGCATACGGGCCAGCTCATGCCAATCCTCCTCCCGAACGTCCTCCTCGTGGATCTCCGGCTCGAACCTATCCTCCTCGGCTTCCAGGCCGTTTATCTCCCCATAATAATCATCGGTATGCTCGTGAGTAAAGCGGCAATACTCGTAGGCCTGTGTAAAGGAGTCAAATTGATGCCCATCTAGGGAGAGCAAGTCCTCGGGGTTCCGATGGGGGTGGACCATCGTAAGCTTAACGCGGCAGAAATCGTCGAACTGAGCAGCTCCCTTGCCAGGCTTATACTTTGGGAAGTAGGATACCACTCGTTGCTTCGCTTGGCGGGCTAGCTTCTTCCACGTCTTCATATTATAGTCTGTAACAAATTCAAAGAACGTAACATCTTCGCAGCGGTTTGGGCGCGATAGATACTTGCTATACATGCCAGTCGTCTCGTTAAATTCGTGCCCGTCCACCCGGTACGAGCGACCCTGCTGTTCTAAGGGGCGACAGTCTACTGTGACGACGACCCGGGTACCCTCGGAGAGAGGGATCCCTAGTAGGAGGTGGCAAATCTCCTGAGCGGAGTAGTCACGCTCGGCGATAAGCTTATTAAGGAGGCGCGATGCGAAGGACATCAGGGGTTGAACGTGCGAGGTATGTGGCAGCACCTGGTCGGCAAGGGAGCGGTACGATAAAGTCTTCGTCTCCGCCTTACTGCAGTACTTCGCCGCGTAGTTGATTACTGCCTGTAAGCTCGTACAGGGCGAGATATCGACATTGGCCATCCAACCAAGCATAATAGTCGCGTTAAAGTGGTTAAGTAAGTTGTCGTTACGCTCCTCCTCAAAGGTGTAGTAGGACTTGCCCTCCTTTATGACCACTGCGGCGTATTCGCGCAGCTCGTAGGGGAAGCCGAACCGGCAAACACGTTCCGGGTTTGTTATATTCGCAGACTCAATATCGGTAGCTGCCGCCTGCAGATCACTAGCCATGTTACGACCCTTCTTCCTTGCACTTATGTCGTTGACACCGGTTGACGATCTGTGATAACCGCAGAAAGTTCATGTCCGCACCCCGAGGATCAATACTTAGGGGGTTGCCTTCACCCTGAGGCATGATCCTTTGCGGCTCCGGGTTGGCAGCAGTAATGTGATAGCCCCAGACTCGGGCAAAGTCCTCCCGAGCAGCGTCGTCCGTCATGTTCATAATCGGAGCACCTTGCATCCAGTAAAGCCCGTGGTTATGAGGACTGCCACGCCCCTGCCACTCGTAGCGATCCCAGTAGTCTGTTAAGTTGAACTTCTTCTTCAGGACAATATCCCTAAATAGGGTGAAGCGCCGATAGAAGTGGAACGCTGCGATATGGGGGTTCTCACATAGTAGCTGGCGCGATAGAGCCATCCTAGCAGGCTCGGCGGCGGCTAGCCAGTCAGCAAATCGGGGCATGTGACGGTACAGACTATACCAGTGTAGATCTGCCGGACTGAAGGTCATAAAGGCGCTGGGACAGCCGAGGTTGTACGCGTACGACTCAAGCTCTCGGCGCCGCCTCATCCAAAATGGGCGGGTTCCGCGGATAGGCTCTGCATGCCTGGTGATGGAATTGATGAGCGCTTGCGCCTCCGGGTCATCGGGTCGCTCGAGAGCCTCAATAACTTGCTCCCGCGTGAGCGGCACGCGGCTGTCGTCACGCTGCTTCACGAAGAACCTGGACTGCGCACGCGCCTGCATCCGCATCAAGGTGTTAAAGGCGACAAAGCGGAAGGTGTGATGGCGTGCAAAGCGGCCGTCGTGCCAGCGCATCGCGTGCTTGATGTAATCCTTATAGTCAATCGAGCGCAACCGCGGCTCTACAAACTCAGCGCGGCCGTCCGGATACAGGGTGAGGAATGCGAGGGATAGCAGCGCCTGCGAGGAATTGAACTCGTTAATTGGGGTACGCCGTATATGGGGGATCTCCAGCTGGTGTTGGCCGGCCGCCTGTAAGCTTAGGGGTATCTCAGGGCTAACCGCCGACTCGCCCTCGAGGACAGACAGTAGAGCGGAGAGCTCGGTATCCTTCGCAAGCAGATCTGGCACCGCCGCTTCCTCCTGAACGTCTGGCTCCGCGTTCTCGTCGTCCTCTGGGCCAACTGTAGCATCCTCGACCTGGCTGTGGGGTACGTCGTCGACTATGTTCCCTTCTAGTGGCAGCTGACTTAAGCGACCTTCGTTAATTACGATATGGCGATAGCCGGGATGATGGCGCCGAAGGTAGTCAAGCCATATGGCGACAGCCTGCCTACGAACACGGAACTGCCGGACAAACTGGCGGCTAAGGAGGGCGTGTGAGGAGGTGTTCGCAGGCCGCAGGAGGATCGTATAAGTTGAGACGGCAATAGTGGCAGCTGGTGGTGTACGAGCCCTACCTCCCGAAGGAAATGGACAACGTGGCCCGAGTATTTGTACTGCTGACCACGGACGAGCATCACGTTAACGTGGACGTGGACGCGGGCGATCAGAGACTCCTCCACAGGCGTCAAATCGGGCAATTGAGCTGCCATGGGACCGAAGTCGAGCTGATTATCCACCGAAAAGAAGAGCGGTTCATCAAGACCTCGCTTATAATCCTTATAGCGGCAGCGCTTACATACTTCGTTAGCGTTAAGGTCCATATCGAACCAGTATTCTTTGCAGCGGACGCAGTATTTCATCTCCTCGTTATCCAGAGCAGTCCAGTGCTCATGGAGGATGTCCTGATCCCGCGGTGCTAAAGCAGATGCATTCAGGTCTCCGGCGAAATCTAGTCCTTGGATTTCGAAATCTGCTTGATCCGAACGAGGGAACGCGCAATCTCAACCGTTCCGGCGAGCTGCCTGGGCGCCTGTTACGGCGACTAGTCGGTCGGCCCTGTGAGTTCCTTGGCCTGCCGTATGTGCCGGGTTGAGGACCACAACGGCCCTGAGAGGAAGGCAGCCGCGATAGGGCACTGCGTCTTCGTTGTTATCCTCGTTCCCAAGTTGACGGAGTATCCTTTGGGGACGGATTGGCGATAACACGAGATTGAAATAGTCCTCCACGTCGAGGTCAGGGTCAGAGAAGTCTCCCTAATTATCACTGGCCGGGTCCTCGTCGTCGCTAACTATTATCTGGTCGTCATCAACCAATATTTGGTCCCGGATAGGAACTTGGCAAGAAGTATTCGATCTCGACATGCCAGCGGGTTGGAGTATTTCCTGGAGCTGGGATGTAGTAGGAGTCTGGGACACGTCTTCACCGGCACGTCGTCGGGCTCGGTGCTCTCGGCGGACGACGGTTTGCTGGGCTCTTGCCTGGGCCTTCGTAGGGGTTTCTGGTAGCTTCTTTCTTTTTTTGGGTCTCTCAGGCCTACCCGTAGAAAAAGGACCCTGTGGTAGCGCTGGTGCCTGATCAGGCGGTAAGGACTGCCCCAGGTTTGGAAGAGGCGTACCCAGCTCTAGCCGCACTTGCTCAGGTGTTAAGGAGGTGAAGCCATGCGAAGACTGCGCACGGAAGGACTGACCTTGGCTTATTATAGGCGTACCCAGCACTAGCTGTAGAGACTGATCACGAGAAGACTGCTTCTCGAATTGGCCTAGAACGGGCGTACCTAGGTCTACTCTCGGGAAAGAAACCGGCGCGGGAAACAGCTGTCTGGCAGTGCGCTTCCGCAGCTCTGTAGGCGACTGAGGTCCAGACACTAGTCTGCTGGGTGGGGATAGGTTAGCATTATTATCTGATCGCTTTAAGGCTGGTTTGCTCGGTGAGGGACGAATTGAAAGAACGTTCCGCAGCGACTGAATAGCGCCTTGGGCACGATAATGCTTACGGAGGTTAGATTTTGCCATAATAAGTAAAGGGTGATAAAGACTCTACCTGCGTATCTCGCTGCCCTCGACAGCCTTGACAGTTGCGCGTTAGTGGTCCCGAAGGCTTCCTCCTGTTTACGAAGTCGCTCGCTGGTTTCTCTATACCACAGCGCCCGCAGATGATAGTAGATGCAGTTCCAGGCTGCTCCTAGCAACCTGAATCAGGCTCCATTACTATGTTACGTTATCCCTCGTCGAGGCTGGGAAATTTGAGGGCGATCGTGCAATATTTGATCGCTTTGTTTTTGGAGTTTTTGGAGGGAGAGAGCTTCCAGCTGGCTGCCAGCCTGCCAGCTGAGCCGTTCCACTTATTTAGAGCCGTCATCCAGTTGCGGATCGATTTTCGGCCGGTAATACAAATTCTGGGCCAATCAGAGCACAAGAAACTTGTTTTAAGCTTTGACACAGATCGTACTCTACACCAAAACTTTTTAGGTAACAAAGAAGTGACGTAAAGTAGCCTTCGGCTTATCAAGTCCCATATTAACCACATTACTAAGGTCGAGTTCTTTATCGCCTTTAAGGAGGCTTATTTAAAGACAATAACCGACAAAAACATCAAGGCAGGGTTTCGAGGGGCCGGCCTAGCCCCCCACGACCCTGAAGCCGTTATCTCGAAGCTGGATGTTAGGATTCGGTCGCCTACACCCGTTAGCCTCTCTCTTCCAGATGCTGACCCTTGGGTTTCGCAAACGCCAAATAACCCGACAGAGGCTCTCTCGCAGTCCGATTTTGTCAATCGCCGAATCGCCAGACATCAGGGAAGCTCTCCGACCCCAATTTTTGATGCTGTTGGCCACCTTGCGAAGGGTATAACTTGATTAGCCCATGAGAATACCCTCTTGAAGGCTGAGTGCTCCACCCTTCGCAAGGCAAATGAGGCACTAAGCAAGCGTCGGAGGGCAAAAAAATCGCGTGTCCGGCAAGGAGGTGCACTTACTGTCGAGGATGCCCTAGACATTTTGGCCCGGAAGGACGCGGAGGCCCAGGTAAAGGAGGACAAGCGCTCGAGGGGGGGTAAAGAAAAGGCTGGTCCGTCGACTGTACGACGATGTAGTAAGTGTAAGAAGACCGGACATAATGTAAAGACTTGTCAGGTCGAACTATAATTGTCAGATGTATATAGCTCTGAATAAATTTCAATAAACTTTAGTCTGTTGTGGCTTTTTAATTGAACTTGAAGGTGGAAGCTTCTTCAATGCACAGCCGCGCCTTCAATGTGAGTCGGTGACGTAAACTTTTCTGTCTGTCGGACATTGTTTGTGCGCTAGTGTTTCTGTTGACAGATTGAGGATTACCGGATTCCCCTCGTGGTATCATTATCAAATGCTGAAAAAGGCCATGTCTTACAGGCGCCAACCAAAGACGGACACGGAAGTCAGGCCAGGACTGGAATGCCGATCCATACACCAAGAAACGGCGCCATTCGGAGCTGCGAGGCTTTTGATATCAAATGTGAGAATTCGAAAATGCATGCTGTTTGACAGACTTTTGGAAGTAAATGAGCTTAGCGCGGGCAGTATGGTCAAACTGCTATTGACGTCTGCACCTGTATTAACTCGTTGAGTGCTTGATTTTAACTAATACGTAACCACCACGCTCTTCCCCATAACACAAATAACAGTAGTCATTACTCCAATCGCAAATAGATACAGCGACTTGTTCATCGACGTAACAGCGAGATGGGCAGCTCACACGCTTACTGAACCCCAAGCCCTGGCAGCTCCCGAATAAACCGGCAGAAATCTAGAACCTGTTATTTGTGTCTCCTATACACAGCAAATCAGGTTCGGTAATCTGGTGCCTGCCACCACGGGAAATATCGAGACTTTGAATTCTACCCTCTCGGAAGACGTGGATGTTACGCTGCCATCTCGACTAATAGTAACCTGGCCGCGGTGCTGAAGGGGAGTGGCGGTGATATAGGAGTAGACCAGAGCTAATGATATGTTTCAGATGGGTCTAAATTCGTTACTTGCTCCAGCCGCTGGAGTGTGCTGCAACTGGTAAAAGAAACCAGCAGATAATGGTTGACTATGGGATGAGCATAACGGCATGGAAACCTTCCCAGAGAGCGTTGGTACAAGACTTACCACATTGAGACTTACGCTAGACGAGAAGTGTCAATGAAGAGTGTTCCAATAATCATGATGCTCTTAGTTGGGGTTTAGTCGACGTGATAGCTCACGCCGAGGTGTCGAAGTCAGCTTAATAAACAAGTAGGCACTCCATGCGGGCCTTAAGATTATGTCCAGGCCTTGCTAAGAAACAAAGCGTCGATAGGAAAACATATCCAAATCTGCATGCGATTCGGCGTATGTCCATACAAGAACAACAGTGACAGATGGCGGAGAGACGTAGCGTCTGAGGTAGAGGTTTGAGCTTTGACAGTACCACTTACTCCTCGGCAGACTGACCATGTATGTACCTTGGCTGATTAGACGCACATACAATATGAAAGCCGAATTAGTCAGAAAGTATAGGGAAGCAAATTCTAGAATCTACCGTGAAGTCTATATCTTGAAGTCTACGGCCGCTTGCTCACTTGTTTGGAATACAACCACTCATCAGATCATCATTTAGTACGCCGATATTACTCGGATTCGAAGCCTGGACACGCTGCCGAGAAATATCGTGACACTCGTCTCTATCTTGGGGTTTCAGGCATCGATCTCCGGCATCTCGTCTGGCAAGTCACTTCCCAGCATCACCTCCTTCTTCAAACTCCAGCCCAACCCACCACCCTTTTCCTCCGTTTCCTGTCTCTGCGCCAACTTGTACGCGTCTTCCGGGCTATTTCTCTCCGAAAAGTCAAAGATACGGTAATCGGCGTTGAAGAAGCAGCAGCCCGAGACACCCAATCTCAGGAATCCCGAGTGTGAGACGACGATGATGACCTTTTCCGGGCGATCATATAAGCGCTTCAGCGCAGTCTGGCTGCGGTTCAGAATGGCTTTTTTGGTGTAGGAGTAGCGCGCGCCGGCGGGAGTGGTCTTGTCTGGGTAGATGGGGTCCAGGGATGAGAGGTCGACGGAGGGAAACTCGGCGCCTAGCAGAGGGGCTGGGGTTCCTGTGTCGCAGGGTTTGGCCGAATTTTCTGAAGTTTTGTCAGTGTTTTTGTTTGCAATAATACAAATTGGTGATGATAGTAAGAAGAATAGCAGCCCAGGGGTCAGCCCTGAAATGGGGAGTTGATTCGTATGTAGCATGAGCAAGACATGGTCGTACCTTGCCAATTGGCATCAGCCTCCAACTTGATTCCCTTGTCCATCAGCCAGTCGACCGATCCCAAGGCGGTCTGGATGGTCCGGCGCATGGGGCTCGTTATGATGAGTCCTGCGTTCTGAGCTAGAGAATTCTCCATGAGACTTTTCCTCAGGGCCTCGAGTTGTTGCAAGCCCAAAACGGAGAGATCCGGATCGGGGATGTCGTAGTCCTCTGTGACATGTGAGAATGTGCTCAAAGCACTTGGATGTGCGCCTACTTACTGTTTACATTGTGCAGTGCCTGGGCATGGCGAACGAGAATGAGAGTGGGCGGCATGTCGAAAGAATGCGCTTGATGCTTATGTTGGGCTGGGCCGCTGGAGTTCTAGTCTTTAGTTGCAGAATCCCGAGAGTCCAACTCTTATATGTCTGGAACGTAAATAAGTCTGAAATATCTATGAAGAAAATCAACTGCACCCTGGTGAATTGCAGTATGAAACTAACTTGTGCAATTGAAGCAAGTGAACCACCTGTCGCCGTAGTACAAGTGATGGTTGATGGCTCCACACCGTGTCTCCCACACGTCCCCTGGCCGACATACTACGGTTCTGGACAGTGTCTCAACATCATCTCTTACGGTCCCCGAGACGCCTCCCAGCCAACGCGACTCGCATTGATCGCGACCAACCGCCGTTTACATGAGTGCCTTTGGTGATATGCAACATTAAATATTGCGTTTATTCCAACACAAGACCATAATGACGAGTATAGACGAACTATTCAAGGGCGTCGGAAGCAAGCGCAAACTCGAACCCCTCCGAGACCCAAGTATGTCGATTCAATGGCCCGTTCAGCAGCCCATAACTCTTTCGATTGTACTAACCCCTCCGACCCAGACCAAATCTACAAATCCGCCCGCCTCAACGGCCACTCGAGCTCTTCCAGTAGTCGGCACGCTCAAGTCGAAGACGAGCCCCCGACAGAAGACGATGACACAGAAGCCGGGCCTGCGCTCCCACCTGACGACGAAGATGAGGAAGGCGACTACGGCCCCTCCCTGCCTCCTGACGACAACGGCGACGATGACGAGGGCCGCTTCTTCGGTGGTGGCGTCTCGGCGGCACAGAACGAGATCCTAGACTATGTCGACGGCCAGGATGGTGCCCTACCCCAAGACAAGATCGACGTACACTGGTTGCGCAAGACGGCCCTGAACTTCGAGAAGCGCATATCCAAAAACGCCGAACTGCGAGCAAAGTATGAGGCCGATCCGTCCAAATTCATACAGTCCGAGGCTGAGCTCGACGCCGACGTTAAGGCGCTGAGCATCCTGAGCGAGCACCCAGACCTATACTCCGAGTTTGCCAAGCTAGGGTGCGTGGCCAGTTTGGTGGGGCTGCTGGCGCATGAGAACTCGGACATTGCCATTGATGCGCTAGAAATATTGAACGAGTTGACCGACGACGAGGTGGCGGCCGAGGAGGCTGATTGGGGTGCGCTGGTCGACGCCGCCCTCGAGGCCGACTTGCTGGGCTTGGTGGTCAGTAATCTCGAGCGCTTGGACGAGAAAGAAGAGGTGGATCGAAACGGCGTCTATCATGCACTCAACGTCGTCGAGAACCTGTGCAGTAGGATTGCGACGGCCGAGGTGGTGGGCAAGCAGGACATGCTTTTGAAGTGGCTGCTGGGACGAATACAAACCAAGGAGAACCCCGTCGGTCAGAACAAGCAATACGCCGCCGAGATACTGGCCATTCTAGTGCAGAGCTCCAAGAAGAATCGGCGCAAGCTTGCTCAAATCGACGCTGTGGACATGATGCTGCAGCTCGTTGCCGCATATCGAAAGCGTAACCCAGAGAAAGGGGGCGAAGAGGAGGAGTACATGGAGAACCTGTTTGAAGCCTTGACCTGCATCGTCGACGAAGAGGACGGAAAGACAAAGTTTATCGAAGCTGAAGGCGTTGAGCTATGCCTTATCATGCTGAAGGAGGGCAAGATGAGCAAAGTGGCCTCACTGCGATTGCTCGACCATGCCGTCGGCGGGCCGACAGGCGCCCACGTTTGCGCCAAACTCGTCGAGGCGGGGGGGCTGAAGAACATATTCACGCTATTCATGAAGAAGAGCGATGACAGCGAAACGGCAGAGCATCTCGTTGGCATCTTTGCGTCGTTGCTACGATTGCTGCCGGCCGGTTCCGGAGAGCGCATACGAACATTGGCCAAGTTTGTGGAAAAGGATTACGAGAAGACGGTGAAGCTTGTCAAGCTGCGGCGCGAGTATGCCGCACGACTGGATAAAGAAAACGAGGCCATCCAAGCACAACAGGCCCTGCTGAGCGTCGACAAACGAGAGCAAATGGCCGACGAGTGGTTCTCTCGTAAGCTGGATGCAGGGCTTTTCTCGTTGCAGACCATCGACGTTGTGCTCGCATGGCTCGTGGCCGAGGATGCGGGGGCGCAGACAAAGATTATGGCTTTACTTGCTGAAAGGGACGAGACGCTTCGTGTGATCAAACAGACGATACAGGAACAACTCGAAGGCATGGATGCCGACGACGATGAGGGCAAGGACACCAGAGATATGTTGGCGACCTTGGTCAAGTTCTTACAATAAATAGGAGACGTTGCAGGATTACGGTTACGAGCAAGAGCATTGTCAAAGTGTAGAATAGGAATTCATGAGTGGCCATACCGGTTTGATGCGCCTGAGTCCACGACATTCTGTGCCACGCACAGGTGCCTTTGCTTAGTGACATCTTCTTCCACACGGCCGACCCTCCTGGATTTGTTCGCCATAACATTCTCCACCATGGTGATCCGATGTATCAGCATCACAATCCACACCCTTCGTTCCAGCTGGTGTGTTCAAGCTTTCGGCCGTCATACGCCCGTCCACAGCAATTTCCTACGCCGCAGACGGCGCCACAGCGTGCACCTCCCACACGGCCTTGAGCAGTTCCGAGACGACTTTATCTTGACTCTTCTTGCCGGCCGATTTGATCTCGACAATCTTGGCGTCGGCCTCGCCGTTGGCCTCGTCCTCGGCCGCCTTGTTGCCTGCCGTGTGTTCCGACTCGAACTTCTTGAACTCGGACTCCTTTTCGGAGCGGTAGGTGTCGATTTCTTTCTTGGCCTCGTCGCGGGCTTCGCGCACACGCTTGGTGCGGTACTCACGTGCTTTTTGGACGATTTTGGAGGCTTCGCGCTCGGCCTGAAGAGTTTGGTTAGTTTGAGGGGGAAATCGTGGGGGGAACGGGATGGGAGATCAGAGGGCGCGGCGCACGTCGAGGAGGGTTTGGATACCCTGCGAGTTTTGGGCAGACTGCGAGAGAATGGTTAGCGTCATGTATCCAGAGGAAGGAAAGCAACATCGTCGGAGACCAGGAATGCTGCACGCACCATTTTGTACTGTGATAGAGATGAGGCCCGGAGGAATGGTTTCAGGTGTCAACGTGTGCAGTCTGCGAATAATGGCAGATTGGAAAATGCGACGAGGGCCGAATGTAGAAATAAGAGCTTGTCTGAGAGCTTGCGTCGGAAGCAAGTCGTCGACCTTGGGGATCCCGAAGCTTGACTGATTGATTGTCAGGTTGGTCGTTGTTTGTCAGTGGTCACAAGTCAGCTGCAACCCACTGTGCTGAGCTGGGGGGAGCTTGGTTGCTTGGGTGGGGGCACTTGCAGCGAACACTTGACCTATTGGAGAAAGGCTGGGCTCGGTTAGTGTTCTTGGCAGCCGCGACCAACGTCACCCTCCTTCAATATCAAAAGTTTCACACTTAAGAAGGCAGCAGAAGATGTTCAACCTGTTTAATCGAACTGCGCTCGTGACGACATTTTAACGCTGCTGCTCGGTAACAGGCTAAAGCCAAGTATAGGATCATAGCGACAGCTCCATAAGCCACCGACCTAAAAGAATAATTCCGGCCATACCGCCGCCCGCAATCCAACCTGCCATGTCTCGAGCCTCAAAGCTGACGTTGGCCGGCACCTCACTGTTCGCAGCCGGCACCGTCGTCTTTGTGCATTTCCAGCAGCAATGGGAGAAGAGTGTACGTGATGTTCATACCCGCAGATCCCAATCCTCCCCTATTTTCCCAGTTGCAGAGACTTGGATTGTCCAGAGAAAAGCATAATCAATTGAACCGATCAACTGACCCAATCCACACAGGCAATGCATGAAGGCGTAATCCGAGACATGGAACAACAACGCGTCAAGAAGGAACGTCAGCTCGACTTTGACATGCAGCGTGCCCTCGAAGAGGAGTACAAGAAGGAACAGGCTGTGCGCGACACCAATATCCCGGTCGAGGTGCCTAAACGCTTGCAGGGGCGCTATCATTGATGTGACACGCGCCCCCAGCCCAGTCGATTATATACCACATTCGAGGATACTGCAAACCCCGGCACTTTTTCCACATTGATGACGTTCTCATTGTTGAACCAAACTGTACAACGGTGTACATCACATATTATACCCATTAGAATAGCAACGAACCCTAGGTGCGTCTAGAGCTGTGACTACGCAAGTCTAGTTTCTTAAGCTTCGATCCATGAATCTCAGGTACTATACACCCTCCGACACTTCAACTATGGCTTGGTATTCCGATGCCCCCACATCCACCAACGTTGCATACACAACCGCACAACCACCAAGTACCTACTAGGTAAGGAGATGTGAGTCGCAACGTATGATGCTCCAGCCGTATATAGCTATATTGATTTTATACACATTTTCTTTTTGCTATGTATACTTCACTAGCGGTATGTCAAATTTCCCCGAATGCAACTTGAAGGACATTGCATAATTCTCCCTATTTTTTGAAGTTAAGTCACCTGGGGCCATTATTCCCTGTCTTTACGCCCTACTATTATACTTCGGACAGGTTGACTCCAGACGCAGTTACCACCCAACATGTTGCTATTTGCACTCCAATCTTAATACAAGCCGTACGAGTGAGTGCGTAGGCTCAAGCCACTGCAATTAGTTAGTTTCAGGCTGATGGGGGTTCACGAGTGAGGAACTAGCCAAAAGAATAGCTCTGGGCAATCTACATAAATTGTTTTTCTAAAAGAAACATCTTTAGAGATTAGTAAAAAGTCCAGGTTCCGTCTCGATCTTCTCCACGATCTTACTACAAATTCCCGCACTATAGCTGGGATATTGTCCATGTTGTCTCCAACCTCGTCAACAATCTGGTCAGCCTTCTCGATTATGCTGTCGGTAATATAATTAATTTTATCAGCCACCTCGCCTGCAAGCTTGTCGGCACCGTTGGTGATGTCTAGATCAAGATGGCGCATCATTTTTACCTTTGTATCTTTGCTGGTGATGTATATACGAACTGATTCGAATTTGGCGAAGTTACTGGATTAGCCTGGGAGGTTCAGTTATATTATTGAAAATTCAATAGATCAAAGCAAAATAAAGAAAAGTCTCATGTCTCGACATCCATATGGAGAACGGAGGTCTATTTGTAGCGTGAATCTTGAACTCTTATAGGCTCGAGAGCTTAGACGACGGGATACGGCAAATTGACCACACTGGTGGTCCCTAGGAAAGCTGGGGACGGCGGACCACCAGCGGTCTGCGACGGCTGGAAACCAACCTGGAGATGGGAAGGTCCGGCCACGTGCACGGTCGAAGGCCTACAAAACCCCGCATCAAGCCAGAAGTAGCCATGTGTCAGATATTCACGTATCTTGCAGTATGACCGTGATATGACGGTTATATGAAAGGAATAATTTGGTGGTTATGGTTAGGTCACCATTTTTTCCATGCTTGATCCCCTCTATCTGTTCTGTTGGCTGTGTGCATTGCCTTTAAGTAATCTGAAGGGTCCAGCCTTACTAGGCTACCTCTATCCCGCCTTTATCCTGAAGCACAAAGCGCTTTTATTCTAAGCATAAAGCGCCTTTCAACCTTAGGAATCACTGTGGTGCTCAATCCCACATTTAATATCAAACAACAGTCTAGACAAAGCTAGAACTAACGATATGGTGCTTCTATGCTCCAATACCATGTGAACCGTCGTTTTTGACACCATGAGACGAGAGAAAACAGAACATGTCTTTTTGGCCTAGGCATCAATTCTCCTGGCCACTGGTGGTACCCGAGGAAGAGGGGGATGGCGGACACCAGACTGGGGTGCTCCGACTGCTGTACTTTGGGGAGAAACACTGGTGGTGAGTACTGTCAGGGAAACCAGCGAAATGAATACCGGGTTTTGAAAGCTGGTAAATGGGTACGCAGTTCTGCTTCGCGTTTCTCCAAGGCTCTACAGCACAATTACGTCGCGTTAAGAACCCCCCCCCCCCCAATCCCCCCGGGATACATTCGAGGATAGGCCTATCAAACGGCACAGGACCCATTATCAATTGCCCGCCTTGATGATGTTGCGGTGGATTGAACTATACATCAGAGGATTCGTTCCTGGAGATCTGACAGTCACTAATACACCAGAGGATTCGGGGCACAGGGTTCGGACCCCTGCTAACTGGCCGTTGTAGCCGAAAACGTAAGAGACAGGCGGTGGGGCCCAAAAGCTGGTACGGTACAACAGCTGCACCTAGCACACAGGTGGTGTGCCTAGGGCACGCACAACTTTCTTTCGTTCTGTCCTTTCCGACGCCACTTGTCGCTTTTTTTTCTTTTCGAATATTCCTGTTACAACAATCATGAGCTTTCTCTAACTATGTTGGGTTTGAAGGTCTGCTTCCACTCTGTCCTTGAGTTATTTGTTTCATTGCCGAAGTTCGTAATGAGCTATTTCCGTCAACATTAGAGATTCTCAATTCGACTGCATATCGGTTAGATCGTGCGCTCACCTTTGTAAGAATCGGCTATCTGTATGACCGGTAAAACCAGAAGGATTATGGGGACAATCTGACCAAACCCCAAAGTGTCCTCGGTTGCTATCTCTTCATCTAGCATCAAATCCTGCCCACTGATCCTATCAGCTAAACACTCCCAACACCCCACAACTGTCCAGACGAGCTGGAAAAGTACCGCAAAGGTTTCCGAAGCGAAAAAAATCCACATGGACCTTAAGACTTTGACAGAAAGTCGAGATATAGTCTGGCGAAAGCCGCTGCAGGTTCGTGAAAACCGATATGGTCCGGAGAGAGATTGAGAAGGTGAACCAGATTTGTTTTGGTCGAGTAGGAGTCGCTGCCGCAGCCTACTTTCCATCATTCGCGCCCTTTTCGATAACTTAAAGAAATCGATAGGATACGTGTATAGTATGAAAAAAAAGTTGACAATCATCCAATTCAGGGGCTCGCCCCCCTTAGGATATGACAAAGTGCAACTAGCGGGACAATTCCAGTCGACATACCAATATTCGTATCCCTCCACCCAACAGCAGTAGAGAAGGAGGATATCCGTTGTCACGTTTAGTATGTACCGGACTAGGATAGGGATGCGTGTCGGCCATGGCGACGCTAGTTTCTTTTGTTTTTCTCGCGTCCGCGGCTCGACACTGTCCTGAAACCTTTCGAAGATAACAAGCGCTAGGCGATGCGTGTTGGAACTGAGCCAGGCCAGATCCTGGACAATACTGAAGTGATATATCGTGATGGTGCCGTCGCTGAGCTTCTTCAGGCCCGCAGCGAGGATCGCTATGCCTGTGACCAGCTGCTGGTCGCTCAAAGACGAAACTAAATCTCGAGAACATGCTAAATAGCTGTCGGCTCGCTCTTTTCCCGTCCAGGACTGTACTCTGAAACAAATGAATTTCCGGAAGAAATTGTCAATGGGGTTGAAGGTGTCGTCGGCGACAGGTGCCAAAAGCAGGCAGGTCCAGGTCGCTAGCGTTGTGAACACAATCGATACTATGAAAGCTGCCACAACCTAGCACAGGTTATTTATATTAAGTAGTTGGTTTGATAAGAATTGGCAATATAATATACTTACACCGATGCCTGCGATATCTGGATCCGCCTTGATGAACGGACAGTCGCATTGAGAGAAAACATCGCAGTTGTAAGCAGCCTCGTCGATGTAATGCGGGCCTATTTCATGCCATCCATCGTAGCGGCAGAGAAGCAGAGACCCGTCTAAGCTCATGCTTTGGGGCTTGATACAGATGCAGGTTAAATGATCAACGACGGCCGATGCGAGTTACAAAGAGTGTTCATGCTTTTTGAAAACCGAAATATATCTCTGCGTTCAGAGGTCGGCTTCAGAAGGCTCATTATCTTCAGCGGTATTACGCAGCCCGCTCACCCGCATATCAATCGCACTTTGATTGGTCACTGGTCACCTCTGGTCGGCTGATGCAGGCAGCCGTCTGTCTGCAGTCATATGTGGCTGAGTGGCTTAGCTTTTCAGAAGACCATTAGATAAACAGCCTAACAGCGGAAGGGTTATATATAGGCAATTAGCCCAAGCGCTACACCCAGCACATAGGCGGTGTGCCTGGGGCACGCAACAGTTGCTGTCAGAAAAGTCACGACGTAAGCTGTCACCCCTAGTGCAGTTAGTACACTGTAAACCACGGGAGAGCTCGATAATCTCCATGCCAGGGCAGTGTTTGTTTGGATTCTCGCCCACCATAACCAAATCAGCTGTGGATACGCATCCGTTTGGCCTGCTGTAACGTAACGACTTGAAAAGGTTTCTGAACCTCACGGAGGCGGAGATCTTCCTTGATAAAAGCCTTATACCGGACTGTCAACAGTGGACTATTAGACCGGAGAGCTTCTGAGTCTCTTCATATGAGGAGGGATGGTGGGCCTGCAGCATACTTGGCTAGGCAATGTCGTAACGCCTCCCTGTTGGAATCGCGTTTATATGTGGATCGAGTCCGGCTGAGGTTTTATTTGCTGTTCCTTTCGAGGCCAACAAGATTTTGCCTCGACAAGCTGGTATCGTCCAATTGATAGCATATGGCCAGAAGCACAGGCGTTTGACACCTATGTTGGGAACTGGGTGCCTGTTTCTGCTGCCTGTTGCCATTTCTGACTCCGTGTGAGTAAATCCTTGTCATAAAGCTTCTCAAGTTCTAACTTTCCAGGTGGGTAGATTGGCTGCCACTGAAGGGTGGCTATTTTGAACAAGAAGTTGCGCTATTGAAACGACTGCACTTCGTGGAGAAGGCAGCCCAGATTGACGCGAATAGAGTTGGTGACATTATCCTGGAATATTTCACTCAGCTGCTTAGATCGGGCTTTCGTGGCTTCGGAGATAATGGCTGCCAGGCCGGCTTGTCTCCGGAACCGCGATTCCATTTACCATCGGAGCAAGTTTTTTATCGCCTTCCGTTTTTGTTCCCTACGATTCAACTATATTCGTCTGCGACTTTAACAAAGCATACATAGTGGAAATCAACTTCGTCTTCAGTATTATCTGTAATGCGCGGAATGCCCTGGGTAGCTACCTCTGCGTACGCACGTTCAAGTTCTGCAGAGTTTTCCAGAACCAAGGAACGTTCGTTGAGTGACAAGGAAGAACAAGCCTTTAAGGATGCTTTTGACGAGAGTGTTCGGCCCTGTCTTCCGTCAGCCCATGGAGTATCATAAGTATTGGAAAACGAGGCTTCACCGAGCAGATTCCGAGCCGAGCCATTGCTCAGTGAGCATAGCGTAAAGCCCACAGGCGTTGTTGATAGTCTGCTTAAAACACACGGTAACGTCCCACACCCACATCCGGGACACCCCCACATGTGGGACGCCCTAAAAATAATACTGTATAACTATTAACTTCAAGCTTTTTTTTAACGTCACCCACAGGTCAATGCCCCACACGGGTCTTTGCCCAACTTTTCACGACCTCCCAACCTTTAATCTTAGATAGATCAACAACAACCCGTATTCATCCAAGAAATTAATCAGAATTCTTTTCATTATCTGTGTCTACATCTGCCTGACAAGTTCGCGCATTATGTCCAGTTCCTCCGCAAATGCCACAGCGCCTAGCACCCGTTGCCCTCCTCCTTGTAGGACGACTACTTTCACCCTCTTCCTCACTTTCCAAACCCATATCACCCCTAATAGCCCGTAGAACTTGTGCATCTTCTATATTAAGTGGCCCACCATACTGGATTTGCTTGTTTTTGGTTCTGCGACGTTTGCTTAGCACATGGTTAGTCTCACGAAGCTCTTCGTTCTCGCGACGCAAGATAACATTCTCTTGCATCATTGCATGCGTAGCCTTTGCAATCGAGTCAATTGAATGAAGAATATGCGTCGGAGAGCTGTATTGATGCCTCTGAACGCTATTCTTAATCAATGTTGACTGCGATTCGGCTTCAAGGGTGGTAGTAGGTGTCTTAGAAGTCCAAATAGGGGGTAGGAGTTCTGGGTCGGCAGAGGGTGTACGCGCGACTTCTGCGACATCCAGGGCAGATATAACCCTGTCGGGGTCAAAAGGGACAATTCCAGCTGCTTCGAAACCAGATCTGATGTTTTGTTTAGTAAAAGCAGCGCCAAACGCCTCCAAAAAACCAGCAAGGAAATCCTCCTTCGCAACGTGGGTATGATGCCGTCGCATCAAACCCTCAACAAACACACCGTACGCCCGTTTCAAAACACTAAAAGGCACCAAGTCGAGAGGCTGGAGCTTATGGGACGAATGGGCAGGCATAGGAAGGGTAATGACGCCATGGTCCTTGCAGTATTGTTCGAAATCCATCGAGTGATGGCTTTCGTGACCGTCAAGGATCAGGAGGCGTTTGACACCCTTCGTACGATCGTGTGTGCAGATCGAAGTGAGCTGCCCAGCTGAGACCAATATCATTCGTTGTCCATCCGTTGTGGGATAGATCAACGACCCAATTGCCCGGTAATGTGGTGTCGCGATACCACGAAGCGAGGTGAACTTTGGCCGCGAAGATGATGTACGGCGGCACCGCCCAGTCTTGGGAATTGGCCGCCTGAATGACAGTAACCCATTCCCTATTGCCTTGCTGGGCTTGCCTAGGTCTTCCACGTCTTTCGGTACTCGTAACGACAATGCCGGTTGAGATCATGCCCATTAAAAAGCCCGTCTCGACAAGTTGTAGATATCCTCCGGCTGGATGCCGTGCTTCGCTATTGTGTCCGCAACACGCTTAAAATAACCGCGATACGCGACAGGATCTTCGCAGAATGCCCCCTGGTAGTCGATTCGACGATTTAAACGCGTCTGGAGGTCTGGTTATCGCCGTACGAAGCTCGAGGCCCAGTTCTTGCCGACGGGTGACGCGTCGCGGTCGCGTCGGAGGATATTCGCCATTTCTTCAACGTATCGAAGCCGGGGAGGAAAAGTTCGCGAATCTAGCTCAATTACGCGTCGGTTAATCGTATTCTCTTCGGTTTCGGTCATTTTCCGTTTGGACATGTTAGTAATGTGTAATGGTTGTACGCCTTCGTAACGGCGCTTCAATGTCTTATGGTCGACTTTGAAGATTTTACCAAGCTTGTTCCAACTTAGGTGAGGATCGCGTCGTTTAGTTTAGATGGCTAATTGAATATTAGCTTCACTAGATTTGCGTACCATGTTGTGGAAGGGAAGAATTGTGTAAGTAAAGATGGAAAGTCAAGATTTCTTGAAAAGTTGGGCAAAGACCCGTGTGGGGCAATGACCTGTGGGTGACGTTACTCAAACTCAGGTATTAAAAGACCCAGAATGGAAGAGTATCACTTTTCCAGAGAACTGACGTTGTGTCATCATGTGAGGGTCTATTCAATTTTGGGTATTCCTGCTTATTTATAGTACTGGCCATTGTAATCGTTATGCTCGAACATCATTTCCACGGGAAACATTTAGGTCCAAACTATACCTTCACATAGTAATTCAACCACTACCACAATCCACTTTCGTTTGCGTCATAATCCGACACACTTGCGCCTTCCACCAGAGAGTCTCTTTTGTAAAACTCACTGATATCTCTCTCCCACCGCGGCGTCTGAAGCGGTGAAGAAATGCTCTGGATAGGCGGCCACGACTCTGACTCCATAATGCTCTTCCGCTTCCCGTACGGGTTCAGGTATTCATCCACCTCAACGACGAGATCGAGGTACGCAGATGCCCTTAACTTCTCTCGCATTTCGTCCTGTTCCTCGTCTTCACTCCACTGGCTGAAGGCGCTGTCACGGCGTGTCGACGACGCCCCCTCGAAGTCCGTAGACTTGAGTGGCCAGCTGATGGGCGGTAGGACGACATTAGGCAATTTCTTTGGCGTGAGGTTGTATTGCTGCTGATCTTCTTGGACCATGTCAAAGACGCTGCCACGCCGCCTGCCCGTATCGTTAGGACTTGTGATGGGTGCCCAAGACACTCGGGAGAAAATGAGCGGAGAATCTTGGTATTTCCCCATTGGTGACGTCGCTTTTTCCTTGGAGAACGGACTCCTGGGAGTGCCAGCGAGAACTGCAGGGAAAAAGGCGGGTTTTGCATCCTCTGTGTTGGCTTCAATGCCGTGGCAAGGACACTCGCATGAGGCATGCCAACACATTTCGAAATGACCATTGTTTGGACAGACGGTCCTGCAGCGTGTGAGTCGCATTGAGCTGAGGCAGTTGCGGAGGTAGTGGAAGAATTGCGAGTGCCACATAGTTTTATTGGAACCGGAACAGTCCGAAAATGATGTGGAAGACATGAAAGCGTTATCCACCTTGGATTAATACAAAGATGATGGGACGCAATTGATTTCTCACAACGTGGTTGATATAATACACATCGAACGCCAAGATTCTATAAAGCTTGGGATCTACATGACTTTAATCGACTGGCCGTTCACCATGTTGACCAGGTTCGGAATTCTGGGAGAGTCGAGAACCGCAAGCACTTGTATCCGATGCCAGAGTTCGGCGAATGAAACCTAGACGCGAAGTATCGCCTCCTCTGAAATGAGTGTAAACAGGACGAAGCGGTTCGTCGTGGTTGCCGACTAAGGGGGGAACTCGGGTTGGGCTGAGGTTAGATTTGGGCCAGACAATGAGCCGAGATGCCCAGCAGCTTCCAACGGACCAACTCTGGCGGCATATACAGTTGATCTGATGCCCATGGCGAAACATGTCGCCAAGTTTCGCCAAGTTGCCGTCCCTAATATTCTGGCCGATGTCATGTCCTTTTCCATACAAGGACGGCTTATACACCTGACTCATTTCCCGTCCCGATTGGGCTATCGTCAAACGTACTAGTCGGGGAATACCAAAGTTATCCGAATGTTTTGCGCTCGGCACAACCCTAATTAGCTGGTTACCGAGCGGTTTGGCCGCACCCATATCATCCAATATGGCGGCCAGCATCCAAGTTTCCATATTCGGCTCATGATGGCTGACGCAGAAAATTTGCTGCACTTTCATGACGAATACATTCCGTAGCTGGGAATATTGGGTGGCAGCGTGGCAACAAATAACCCTAACCCACGCTCGCAGCGACCGAGATGCAAAATCAGAGGTTGATCTGGCTATGTAGAATCTGTTTCAAGGTGTACCACATATGGCATCTTCAAGCTTCGATGATGGACGAACAAGCTCTTGGAAATAGGAGCGGCATGACTTACCCCAGGCCCAACTTCATGCAATCAGTATTCGGTTAACTCAAAAGTCCACATACCCACAATTCAGCCTTTGATAGAAGGACTGTCTCTGGGGCTCCTGTTGGACCAAATTGACCGTCAAAAGACGAGGGACCCACTCTCTGTAGAATGAGGTATTTTTGGTAGTTATAAGGTCTGACAGCTCCACCCTCGGTACATTGGGAAATCCTACCAACTCGCATTGCCTTGCATTGCCTACGGCCCGTCACGGCTAACCTAACGCATGATGCTGGCTCTCAGGCCCCTTGACCACCAACACTTTCTCGGCAATCATCCGAATTAGAGAACCTTATCCCATCCTTTTCAGGCCATTTGAACGATTGCCTTGGAATGTGAATGCTGGAAACTTTGGATATGCGACTCTTAAGTGGCCAAATTAGCTGGACGCCAATTAATGGTTGGCACAGGGTGATCTCCACCAGATGTGCTGTCGATCATAGGTCGATGACAACTCTTTTGACTAATTGACACTCGGCATGAGGAGGAAGAGTAATTCTGAGTCGTCGTATCACACTAATACCTATGTAGATACCGAGTACCAGCGAGTTGGGGAAAGAGATTAATTTTACTCTACTTTTCTTAATCTAGTTCAACGATTCCGACTTCGGCGTCGTTGCTAACACGCTTGGGCACTCAGGGTGATTTAGGGGTAGTTCCAATTGGCCGCTTGTGACTTGAACATTATGCCGCAGTCCAATTTGTCACCACCAACTCCAAGCTCCGGAACATCGGGAGGGTCGGCATAAAGTGCCAAGAAACAATTGCAGCCGCTACTAATGGGCTGGACGCCCGGCGCCCGTTGCCGAACGGGATCCACACGAGCTGCTCGCGGCTGCCGGATCTGGGAAACCCGGAGAAACGGCTCAAGACCGGTGCGACCTTGGCGTCGGTGCACTTGGGCCAGCGCAGGTACCCCTGACACCAGCCGACCGGGGGCGCCGCCCGCACGCATGAACTTTTCATGTTGCAGTCGGCCTGGTTGGTCGGGGGCCCTGCCATTGAAGGCCATCTGCTTCTATGCCACCACTTCAAGAAGAAGCCCATATTGCCGCATGCGGACGCATTTGCAGCTTGGATATTTCCGCCTCTCTCAACCATGCCAAGCTCTTTGTTGCCGAGATTCCAGTTGCGCATATATTCACAGGATCTTGCACAATCAGTGAGACAAATCCAATAGAGTGGCTTTGTTCTTGTTAGTTTTCTGCAATTATACGTATATCCAGAGTGATCCATCCCGGGGCAGAAAAGGGCCTCGTACCTTTCCATGCGGCACACGTGAAATCTAACGATATCGTTCATCGGTAGGAGTAACTAATCGTTGCTGTAAGCTTCACGTGGTGACTCTGCTGTTTTCTGCAACGGCACGAGAAAGGCATTTCGAAATACTCTCAAGTAGGATGAAGTGATATAAAATGATTGAGATAGGTAGATAGTATCAAACATGAAGGGCAAGGTGACACAAGCCGAGACCTGAGGCCGAGGTTTCTAACATGGATGATGCAAGGCAGGACCACTTTGTTGGGAGATGAGCAAACATTCAAGGATTGGCAAGGCTTGGAGGCAAGTTAGCAAACTTGCAGCGAGCCCCAGGTCTACGCACGTAATTAGAGCCACTGGACCAGCACGGAAATTTGTGTTGAGATCATCACTCCTCTTGAGTATACATGCTGATTGGCTACGTCCAATGATGGAGGAGCGAGGGTCCTGGACGCCTCAAGCCTCATGGCGGTGGTGACTACCAGGATCAGTCAACGATAAATCCTACAACCAATATGAGAAATGATAGATGGAAACTAGCTGAGCCTTGACTTGAACGAACCAACCCGCGTCCCCTGCCCTGGCTCTTCTCCGCATGATGCTATGTTGTATGCCTCAACATGCACCGTGATTCCCGGGTGCCTTTAATATTGTTCCTCCCAAGTCCTCCCGGACGTGCCCAAACCGATCATCTGACCATTGACCACTGAATTATTCAGCCGCTCTGGCTTCAACCATCGCCTACGGCTTCCAAACGCGGTGCGCTCATCAGAATGAAAGGCGTTTTACCTCTTCTGCTTGCTTTCGCCGCTCTCTATCGCATAGCAGCCAATGCCAAGCTTCAAGCGCTCTCTGCGAAAATCGTACCACGGGCAGATGGCGTGGTTGTCCTCGATCTTACTAGGTCCACCTCGGTAGGAGGGCTCATGGTGGACACGAAAATTGGGACACCGGGGCAATATGTTCAACTGCTCATAGCGACCGACGTTTCACACAATCGGGTCCCTTCCACCAATGGCGAGAAGTGCTTGGATGAGGGTTGTGCTGGCGGAGCTTGTAAGTGGGAGGCAAAATGCGATGAGACACGGCCAGTCTAACGGGCGACTGGCGAACCTAGTCAATCCAGCCAGATCTTCGACTTACCGGCTGCTTGTCGAGGGATACGAGGAGACCACCACTACGAACTTGGTGATGAATCTAGCAACCGAGACAGTCACTGTTGGCAACCTCTCTGCTTCCAACATAACGATGATTGTGACTGATGTTCGGGAAATCCAAGCCAGACCGGGCACGATAACGTTGGGATACCAGGCAGGGCCCGATAACTACCAAATTGGCACCGGGCTGCTTGGATCCCTCGTAGGGAATGGGCTGATCAGGACGCAAGCATTCGGTATCTGGGTTAATGACACTGGTAAGTTGGTGCAATCCGCCGTTCCGCATCCCAATTCCGTGGTCTGACTTATCGCTTATGTACCCAGCTTTTGGTGCCAACGCAGGGTCCTTGACGTTGGGAGCCATCGATACTGAAAAGTACTATGGGAGCCTGTCTCTTCTGACGGCCGTGGACACGGAAGAACCGCTTACTGGGCGTTTCCGAGTGGTACTATCGTCGTTGACAGCTACCAGCTCCACCGGCACCGATGAGCTCGCGTCAGCAATCCCGTTCGCTATAAACTTCAAGCCCGAGGCGTACTTCAGCATGCTTCCCATCGACCTGGCCTCCGAGATCTGGCAGGTTGTCGGTGCAACTTACAACGCATCCATGCACGTGGCGCTTACTTCGTGTCGCATGAGGGATAGCCAAGGTCACTTGACTTTCGGGTTTGGCGGACCCCAGGGTCCGCGCATCACCGTTGCCATGCGCCATCTGGTGGTACCGATCCTGTTCTTCCCGACCAACCTGACCAGCACCAGTGGTGATGACCTATGTGCCATCTCGGTTGTCAGTACCGGCGATAGTTACGAAGTTAGGCTCGGAACGAGCTTCCTTTCGGCGGCGTATGTGGTCTGGGATATGTACAACAAAAAGATAGCTGTTGCGCAGGCAAGATGGACAGACGAGTCCAACCTGGTCGTCTTTGACGGCCAGGCCGCGCCCATCCCCTTGGCTACATCCCCACCAAACGAGATGACCACCGTACCCCAATCCCCTACCGCAACTCTGGCGGCAGTAACCACAAAGACATATGCCGCCGCGGCAGGTTTTACGTTGATCACGATGGACAATACGAAAGCCTCGACTACGAAAACTACAGAAGGAACAGCCAGCACATCATCACCAACACCCAGCGAGCCATCTACACGGAACCACATGTCAGGGTACGGCTAGGCCGAAGGCAATAGTACAGAGTGATGGGGAGTAACGGGCGTCCCTCCTACGTAATACCGGGTGGTCACTGGCGGTCTCAGGTAGGGGTGCCCACGGTGATGCATTGATCTCTGCTCCTTCCCTATCCTACTTCGAGATGGTCCTTATATAGATAGCTAGGCCGCCGCTTGGACCCGGCATAACAGCAGGGTCGGCGATGCCAAGGATCTTGACTCTCGTCATCCCAAAGCTTCACATAGATTGTAATCATGACTCGGGAGTCTTTTGTCCGAAACACCCCTCCGGCGCCCCACCGGTGTCTTGCGTTCAGTGTCCTGACACCCACTGGTGCCTATGGCATTCTGTTCTCTGACACCACAGTGACTTGTCCACCATGGCCAAGTTAGGCGTTGGCTTGGGCACCGCCTTGGGCACAACAGCCCTAGCTGTTTGCATCTGCCTGGCATGGAGGCGCAAGCAAAAGCAAAAGCGCAAGCAGCAAACAGGGAGCACCGAAAACCAGATGCTGCAGGAGCTCGACTGTCACCCGCAACAAGAACTTCCAGCGTGCCACCATTCTCAATGGGATGCCATATCTCCCCTGAGCAACTACTCAATGCAATCACCGGCCTCAGAGCTGTCGCCTGCCCACCGGCCATCTGAGTTGTCTGCTGATGGTCTCTCAGTGGTCGCTGCCGCCAAGAATGCTTCACGTTTTAAGGCCCTTCCGCTAGTCGAGTCGCCTACATTGGGCAACTTAGTGAGCAAACATGGGGACGGGGAAAAGACGAGCTGGAAAATATGACTTGGAGTTATCTCTGTTGTCGCACTCTATTTAGTACATGGCAGCTCTATACGTACATGAAATTGCTACGGGCTGGAAGATTAGAGGTTATAAAGACGAACTTTCATCCTCAATGTTGAAACATTCGTAGAGGCTCTGTAGTAGAATATACATGCTCAATGTTTATAGCGTTGATATCAAGCTTGTTTTAATGACTTGATCTTATCAAATCATCAGTTTTCCTTTTATGTAAGTAAGCTAAGCGATTAATTATCTATCTAAGTGCAGAGCAGTGATTGGTTTCCTACAACCTAAACCGCGCCTTTGTTTTCTATCGTTTAGATATGGCAATCGGTCATACTCAAATCACTCTCTCCTTAGTTGACATACAGTAAGGAGAGGTTTGGCCAATATTGAAGTTTTCTTTATGATATATGTTGGACCAAATTGACCGTCAAAAGACGAGGGACCCACTCGTTGTAGAATGAGGTATTTTTGGTAGTTATAAGGTCTGACAATATATCCCAAGTACTACGGGCCATGGTCACGTTTTTCCAATACAGATTTTAATGCATGTTTAATGCTCGAACCGGTATCACCTGCATCAGAAACTTGGTCGCCGAGTATACCTATAGAGGTAATGCTGCGAGATAGCCAGCAGCGTCTATTTTTCAACCCAATTTGCAAATGCCTGGCTAGCTTCTCATTCCGGCCAATGTTACCAGCATCAGGCATGTTGCTGATAATGGGTGAATCTGCCATTGGTATACCAATCGCCACTGCGAGTTTCCATACACGATATGGATATAAAACGAGCTGCATTGACTTTCTGTCAGAGCGCTGGGTACATGGCACAGGTGGGGAGCCGGTGGGGAAGTGGCCCGTGAGTTTCTGGGTCACAGAATTTTATGGAAGTCTCGGAATGCCGCTGAACCCAAGGGATCGGGCTTTAGCTGTCCGTATAGGGACACGTCCTGGGAGGAGGAAGAGGGGAAGGAAGGTCAGAGATCAATGAACTATTCTGAGCATACCTACCTGTGACCACCAGTAATCACCGGTGACCAACAGCTGGAACACCTGTTTCTCTCCTTCATTCTGTAATTTTGCCTTGCGGGGTTGGCGTTGCCGTTCCTGTCACTTTCCCAACAATAAGACGGCAATTCACGACATCGGCTGAATGAGCTGCATGTTCACGGTTAGGCGATGATGACAGACTACACTGCCCTCGTTTCGCATTTTGGAGGTGGGGTGCTTAGGGGTGGGCTACGGTGTTTTTTCATCGTGAATTGGAACATATGCCTGACTAATACCTTCAGATGTCTCAACAGACGGCAAGGTTAGCAGCGAGGTCAAATGTTAGGTTGTGCTATTCACTCTCGGCCTCTCTCAGCATCTCTGAAGGCTTATGTTGATCCAATGGAAAGTGCATCTTCGGTGATCTTTAAAACCATCTCTGGAAAAGCGAACCTATTAAATTGTCTCTTTCTACTCTGCGCAACTTTCACGGAACAATACGGGGCTTTTCATAATTGTGCATCCATGAGGTCCTGCCGGAAGCGTTCAGATCGGAACATACAGGTGTTAACCAATTATTACAGAATTAAAGCTCATACAGGCTACTTTTTCGCCCTTCAAGTGCTCAATGAGCAACCTAGTGGTTATCTATCAGACATAACCTGGTCACGCTTTAGGGCATTCATTTCAGTTTTGCTTCCCGCCGACTTATCCTATCATTACCACACATCATAGCCCCGCTTTTGTGCAAACTGCACGGTTTATAGATGACTTTGAAATTACCTAGACAACGATGAACATATTGGACATTGAAATTGGCAAGATATGCTTAACGTCATCGACTATTCGGAGTAGATTAAGTACGTTGTCTCCATGAAACCCCCTTGGTACCAACACGTTGTTAAGGTCATGTTTATGGGGCCAAATCTTTGCCATGGGCCTGACTGCTCAACAGCTATTAGGGTTTGGAGTGGCATGCTGGAGGGTCTGTGTGATCATGTCAGAATGATTTGGCTCTGCAGGTCATGTTTGCAGTCTATTTAAATATAGGTTGTTCCCATCGTACAGCTGATGTAATTATAGATTATTTGTTTCTTCAAACCTACCACATGTTGATGATTAAATTCCACATGAGACAAAGAAAACGACAAGCATAATCTCTTTGTTCCTTTTCCAAACTCAAACTCAGATAATTGTTTTGTCAGCGTCCGCGCTTGGCTAAGCTTCCTTTGTCTAACATGAGTATGCCGTCCAGCAGGGTCATTGTTGCCCTTCCTCGGTCTCATCGCGGCTCAAAGGCAAATTCCTCTAGCAAACCAGATTCTCTTGCATGTCACTATGCTTTCATGGACAAGATGGTTTTTTTCTCGATGCCTCCGTTGGTTAGAATATACGCTTCTTGAATCCGGCAAGGCCCCGTCATTATACATCAATTTGACAGACAACTGATTGACGCGGTCATTTACTACTAACCAAACCAACCATAATGCTTCCTAAGACAACTTACACGCACACCCTCGTTGGCATGGCGTGTCTCGTTCCTCAAGCAACCGCCTTTTTTCGGCTACCCTGCTCTTACTCCGCAGTGGTCGAGCGCGCCGACCCCATCATGGACCCAGGCACCGTGTCTAATCACCTACATGCCGTCATGGGCTCCAACGCATTCAACTTTACCCTCGATTACCCTACCACTCAGATGGCTACCTGCTCGACCTGCAAAGTGATTGAGGACAAGTCCAGCTATTGGGTTCCGTCTCTGTTTTACCGCGCCCAGAACGGTAGTTTCGTCCGCGTGCAGCAGTCAGGCGGTGCTCTCATCTACTACCTCCAACGAACGGACCAGAAGGATCCCGAGTTTGACAAGGGACTCATTGCGTTCCCAGAAGGGTTCCGCATGGTCGCGGGTGATATGATGAATCGAAATGACAGCAACCCAGAATCACTGGCCCAAAAAGCCGTCTCCTTCGTCTGCCTCGGCGTTAACGGGCCCGCATCTCCAAAGTTACCCAAACAGAACTGTCCCAATGGCCTGCGTACCCAGCTCATCTTCCCCAGCTGCTGGGACGGCCATAATCTAGACTCGGAAGACCACAAATCCCACATGGCTTATCCCACCGGCGTCGACTCTGGATCTTGTCCTTCCACTCATCCGAAACGATTTATCACCATCTTTTACGAAGTGACCTGGAGCGTCGACGCATTCAAAGACGAGTGGTACGACAAGACCAAACAGCCCTTCGTCTTCTCGCACGGCGACCCGGAAGGGTTCGGCTACCACGGCGACTTCCTCAACGGGTGGGAGGTGGAGGTGCTCCAGAGGGCCATCGAGGATTGCACGGCCTCTAGCGGGGTCATTGAAGAGTGCAGTGCCTTCACTTTTTGGAAAGACGAGGAAATGGCGGGCTGCAAGGTGCTGCCGCGGGTGAATGAGCCGGTGGATGGTGTCCTAGCGGCGTTGCCGGGGTGTAATCCGGTTCAAAACGGGCCGGAGCCTGCGGTTCTGCAGAAGGATTGCGGGGCCGTGACAGAGATTGGGGACCCGGTGCTCCCGTTCACCGACTTGAGCAAGACTCTAAATTGGCGATACGTGGGATGTGCTAAAGATCCGGCGGGACAGGGCCGGACGCTGGATGGCCCAAGTGATGATCGAGCCGACATGACGGTGGACTCTTGCGTCGAGTTTTGCGACAGCAAGGGGTTCAACTACGCTGGGTTGGAGTACAAGAGTCAGTGTTTCTGTGGGAATGGCGTGGCCCAGGATCGAATGCCGGCGAACGGCACCACGGGAGAGTGCGATTACCCCTGCGCTGGCGATGCGAAGCAGATTTGTGGCGGTTATGGCCAGGTTTCTGTCTATCTTAGGTGCGACGAGGGCAACTGTAGGAATGCGGATTTGACAAAGTTGTGGTGAAGAGCATTCTCATGTCTTCGGGAGCATTTTGGTGATTCTTAGCGTTTGTAGCTCGAATACTGCGCATGATGCGCAACTTCCATCTCATGGAACTATAGTTGCTGACTACTTGCCCACATTTCCTCTTTCTACCAAAATGTTACGGGCGCGATCTATGTTCTCCATTGCAATCGGTGATAATCTCCCGTCATTCGCGTGTCTGGTATTCCCGAAACAAAATTTCTCAGCGTCATAAATCATTCCAACCCAAAATTGCGAATTTATTGTGCTTGTTGATGCTACCATTTGATTGCCCCCTGGGGGAAGTACTCATTGATGAGCTCCATGTAATAAGGCTGTGACATGGTTAGCATCAGTGCGTGGCAATTGCGGACCCAATCTGAAGGACATACCTTGAGCTCCTTGATGTCGGGAACCCCATCGCTTTTGCTGTACAAATCATACGGGTTGAAAGCCTTCACCGCCTGCAACATCTGCTCGTCATGCGAGTCCATGAACTCACGATAGGCCCCTTCCTTGTGCCACGGGTAGAACGAGTGGTACCTGATCATGGCCAGCGCCTCATCGGGCAGCGTCGACTGGTCCTTGACAACGTGGTAGAGATATTCGTCATGTCCCCACGACAGCATGACATTGTCCAGACCACAGCCCTTGGAGTAAATGCCGTCCTTGGTGCTGTAGATGGGGTCCTTGCTGTCTGGGTTCTCCGCAAACGTGTCGGGGTAAATGATGCGCTTGTCAAAGGCGCAGCCCACGGGAAACGTGTCGCCAACGACGTCCCATTGGCCTTGGGAGCCGTAAAAGTAAAGGAGTTTGCCCAGGTCGTGGATCAAACCCGTGAGCTGCATCCACCGAGGCTTGCCGTCTCGCCGGATCGCCTCGGCCGACTGCAGGAGATGTTCGATCTGGGACAGGTTGGTATCAGGGTCCGAATCATCAATAAGGGTGTTGAGTTTCTCCATGGCCTCCCAGATGGTCATCTCATGGCGTGGCCGCGACTTGAACCAGTTTCGGGCTTTGAGGTTGTATGCCACCGTTTGCTTGGTGTGTTGCTCGAGGTAGAAATTCTTGACTCGCTCGCATGCTTCGTCATATTGTCTGAATTGTGTCTTATCCTTGTCGGAATCGAACTTTGACTCGGTGTTGAAGTCGTCCGACTTCTGGCCCTTGATGACATTGACAGTGTCAATGTAGTCTGAAGTCTCCTCCAGTACGCGGCCATCGCGGCTGGTCGTATCGTCGATCAGGATCCCGGGAGCCATTGTGTGGGTGAATTTTCTGGGAAAGACAAAATCTCGAAGTGATGGGCGGAACGGCAATGGCAGGGTGGTTGAAGGGACTTGAGTTTGACAAGTTTTGCTCTGATCTGCAATGTCGACGCCATATTTTATATCCAGATGTGTCTGGTTACTGATATATGCTGAACTGATCACATCTCGGTGGATCCGTGTAAGTCACTTGGTGTTGCTGTCCTTCGTCACGGCAGACTCTGATTTTGTAAGCTCCAAATACGGTGAAAATCGCCGGACCCAACTCAGGTTATTGACCCACTCATGATCTTGGGTCGCCAGATTCGACTAAAATTACCGAAACTTTCCCCTTGTGGAGCCAGAACGCCGTTTCGCCGAGGAAGAAAATAACGACTAGTGTCGCCGTGTTGGAACGGCCTGCCCACGTTGGTATTTCTCCATCTATCCGGGGATGAAGCCGAGACCAAAATGTGACATTCGTCACACTTGCTTCGACTTGCTTTGATTTGAGAATCTGACTCGCACCATTGGATGACAGACGCGGTGTGCGGGCCGCTGGAGAAGGAAGCTAGAAGCCAACCGCGCCGAATGTCTGGGCCCCCTGCTACCTAAATCCATCGTCTCGAGTCAGAGACTGCGGAGTCTGGATGATTTTCAATTCCGTACGGGGTATTAGACTACATATGGGGGTTATCGTCATAGTCTGGTATCCACCCCCATGCCCTCATGAGCTGTTGCTGTACGGCTTCCGTGGGGCGGGCGTGATTCTCCTCGGTTTTCCTCAGAATGTCAATCATGGCCTCCTGGTCTGCTCTTTCCTCGAACTGGTCGCCAACTGGGCTGGGTTAGCCATGCAAGACACGGGGCGTGGATAAACTTACACATGGAGATGCCCATCGACGCCGTAAACAGGGCAGGGGGTGTCCACTGATTCGATGCCCCAATGCCACATAGTTGTCGCATGAGATGCTCGATGTGTTGCTATTGCCATTAGTTCCATTACTATGATGCGCAACGCAGGACACATACAGTCATGCGCTTGATGGCAGCCCCCCTTTTCGTGCCGACCCGTGGCACGTTGGGGTCAAACTGGGCGAGGAAGAGCTGGGCCAGAATATGGTGCTGAATCCCGATAACTAGGACTAATATGAGCTGGCTATGACATGGACGAGTGGGGTCGGATGCAACCTACCGTGGCAACTCGAGTGATGCCATATCTCGGGGAAGGCCTGTGGGGCCACGCGTTTCTTGGAGTAGAAAGGATCAAAGGACGGGGGGCGAGAGTCGTGCCAACTGGTACACTTTTCGTTCAGGGATGCCCATTGGGCGCTTGAGGGTGGAACATGGGAAAAACAGTAGTTGATCACATCGGCGAGGTTGACTACAGCGCGGTTGGACCAAATGTAGTCGTCGGCGGCATCGAACGACCGGTCCACAATGAAGTGATCCAGGTTCATCTTGACTGGTGCCTGCGTGCTGACGGCGCTATATATTTCTTGCCGCAACCCCACCCAGTACGAGGCAGATGCCAGCGTTCCCGGGACCATATGCTGATCTCCGACATTGACAAAAGCGTGGATGCCGAGGAGGTGGCCGTAGCTTTGGCCCATGGTGGGTGCTGCCGTCTCCTTTAGCAATGCGGCAATAGCAACTGGACTTGCTCGACTCACCATCCATTTCTTCCAGCATGCGCAGTATGATGGTGGCAGCAAACAGGTTTTCGTCGAGTACTGTCGATTCGTGGTTGAGCATGGGGATCAGAGAGCTCAAACATTCGTCGTGATATCGATTGGAGGCGAGCGGGTCATAGTCGCTGGTTTGACTGAGATGCCGCGCAGCAAGGGCAAACATGGCATTGAGGAGGGTACGACAGCTGCCGGCGCGTTGTGGGACGACCAGTTCGAAGTGTCTCAAGGGATCGCAGAGATCGAGCTGTGCAGGTCAGTGACACGCAACACCCTGGATTTCAGCCCTACTCACACATGTGGCCAGCCTCTGTATATAGTGACGAAAAAGACGGGCTTCGGTCTCGCTCTCCAGCGGCAGAGCGGATGAAGAGTCAGGCACTAGGTGAGAGAAGCCTGCTGAGGTCGGAGTCCGAGTGCTTACTATATGTGAGTTCTGTGGTTGGGATGAGGAGCTTGGGGTCCTCTGGTGAACCATGGGGGAGCCTTCGGGAATTAGGTAGTCTGATCTGGGGAAGATGATGCGGTTACTTGGTGAGTAACGGCCATCGTGCCCTTCGATGGGAGTTAGAGCCGTTGCAACTCGACTAGGCGCGGCTTTTTGGGCATGCGAGACACTGCTTTCCGACGCATTCTCTCCATCATAGTCGGGAGAGGCAAGAGTCTCGTGGGGGCGAGGTGAGCCTTCATCTGGGGAATCGCCGAAGACGAGATGACGGGTCTCATCGACGTACGTTACTGAACGGACAGATCAGACATTGGATGATCTTCTGATGAGTTCAACGTGATGTGCAAACTTACGACGAGTTGGAGCTTTGACCCATCGTTGGTTCTTGCGAAAAGTTCCTTGGTTCCATTAGTCCTCATTAATCCTACGAATCTGGTGGAAACACAGAGAATACCTCTGCTGGACTTGAACTTGAATGCAAGTTTGCAATCACGACCAGAAATGGCACAGCGCCCACATGTTGGGGTTGCTCGATCACCTACTTGGCCAGCAACACATTAACCTTGTCTCTCGCTACAGCCTAGAAGGACATGGGGACAAGCTCGCTACATTTCAAATGATTTTCACGGCAAGGAAGACTGTGATAGGAAAACGCAGCGTTAGCGAGATCACGACCCTCAACTGAAAGTGTTCAAGTGCCCAACAGAAGATGGTCTCAATAAAGACAACCAAACATACCATGGAGTAGCCAGAAGCTCGGCCTGCTCAGGTGAGGGCATTCGCGTGTCGTTGAGGGCGGCCACTGGGAGCGCGCAGATATCATGCTTACTCGCACTCAAATTTCTCAGTCTGAGCACCGGCGGGGAGGGTCGGTATTAGATTAGATTTGGCAGGGTTGTCCCAACAGGGCTAAAGTGGCCGATGTGCGCGACCAGGGTGCCCAACTTGGGCAAAACCAACGGCTGCGATGTCCAAGGCACCCCAGGCACGCGGCCATAACCGTTTCGTTCAACGTCCAACCCCATAACCTATTCCTCTCCAGATTTCCCCGCGCTTTCAGGCCGTTTCCCCGCAGATTGTACTACGAATTTCACGTCTGCCAAGATGTTGCGACGGCCAGAGGACCGAATGAAGGCTCGAGAAGACTCGATGACACTCGGCACAGTAGAGTTAGCGACTCCACCGCCTTGGGGGAGGTGGGGAACCAGGGCACGAGGAGAGCGAAGCGATAAGATTGGGCCGCACTTGCCAAGTTCCTTTCGCATCGTGAAGAAAATCGACGAACCTCGCCGAAGGTCCGCCAATTCGCTTCGGCACTCCCATTGAGCAATTTCAGGTCCCTAGGTCCCAAACCAAGTTATTGTCATCGCACGCGACCACGTCCACCGACGAGCTGACGGGGCTATCCACTGTCTCGGTTACTTTGCCTCCCAGGGACCGCCCAACTTCTACATAAAGGCCCAGGTGTGACACCGCCCCTTGCCGGCTGATTCAGAGTGTCCATTGCCAGTTCCAACTCACTCCCCAGGTACTCGAGAACCAGTTTGCGTTCGCCAAATCGAGCACAGACTTCCCTCTTTGACCGACCTGGCTGCCCTCATAACGTCTCGGGCAACATGGTTTCATACCATGAAAAGGACGAAACCCGGGCGGATGATGACGCCCAGTCTTCTCCATCATACCCTCTCGAGAAGGAGATGACGCATGACCAAGATCATGACCACATCCATACCCCGGCCAAGAAGATGAGCGACCTGATCCGCGATGCGAAGCTGGCTACCCAGAAGGAACACAGCATGACCCTCATGCAGGGCATCCGCCTCTATCCCAAGGCCATCGCCTGGAGCATCCTCATCTCGACCTGCATCGTCATGGAGGGCTACGATGTCTCCCTCGTCAACAACTTTTACGCGTTTCCCCAGTTCAACCAAAAGTACGGAGAGCAGCTACCCGACGGAACCTGGCAGGTGCCTGCTGCATGGCAGGCCGGCCTCAGCAACGGTGTCACCGTCGGTGAAATCATCGGGCTGCTGATCAACGGTTGGGTTTCGGAGCGCTTTGGCTACCGATATACCGTCATAGGGTGCCTCGTTCTCGTCATGGGGTTTACCGCCATCTTCTTCACCGCGCAGAACATCATTGCTTTACAGATTGCCGAGATCCTCTGCGGTGTTCCGTGGGGCGTGTTCCAGACCCTCACCATTACATATGCGTCCGAAGTTTGCCCAGTTGCCCTCCGTGGGTATCTTGTGAGAATCATCACGCCATAACAACCACACGGCTCATGCTAATGGGTGTCCAGACCACTTACATCAATTTTTGCTGGGGCATCGGCCAAATGATCGGCATTGGCGTCATCCTGGGGAACCTAACACGAAATGACGAGTGGGCCTATCGGATTGTAAGCAGCCCCTGCGTCCCTCCGAGACAGACGTGCTAACTTCGACAGCCGTACGCTTTGCAATGGATGTGGCCCGTTCCTCTAGTGATTGGCATCTACTTCGCCCCAGAATCTCCCTGGTGGTTGGTTCGCAGGAGAAAGCTCGACGAGGCCAAGAAGTCCTTGCTGCGCCTGACGAGTTTGAACAGCGAGACCGGATTTGACGCCGACGAGACCGTCGCCATGATGGTTCACACAACTGCCCTCGAGCAAAAGATCACCAAAGGAGCTAGCTACCTCGACTGCTTCAAGGGTACCGACCTTCGCCGGACCGAGATCGTCTGCATGGTTTGGGCCATCCAGAACCTGAGCGGCAACTCCTTCTCCAACTACTCCACCTACTTCCTCGAGCAAGCTGGCCTTGACTCCAACAAGGCGTATTCGTTCGCCCTGGGCCAGTACGCCATCAATTGTGCCGGCGTCTTTGGCGCCTGGGGTCTGATCACCCTGGGATTCGGTCGCAGGTATGCCCTCGCCCTGCTGTCTGTCACGCCCCAACTTGATACTGACTATCACAGAACGCTCTACCTCGCCGGGCTGATTGGCCTGTTTACCATGCTCCTGATTCTGGGTTTTCTGGGACTCGTTCCGGATCGAACGACTGGCTCAATGGCCACCGGAAGCATCATGCTGGTCTGGGCTCTATGCTACCAGCTCACGGTCGGCACCGTCTGTTACTCGTTGGTGGCTGAGATCTCTACCCGACGCCTACAAATCAAGACGGTCGTACTTGGCCGCGTTCTCTAGTACGTAGCTTTCCCGTGGTCGCATCGTTCCTCTTTGCTGACCTATTACAGCAACGTCGTCGCCATTATCTGTGGTGTTCTCACCCCCTACATGTTGAATCCGGGTGCTTGGGACTGGGGCAACTTTGCCGGTTTCTTCTGGGTATGCTATGAGCAACCCCATTCATCCCATGTGGGCACATACTAACTCATCCTAGGCCGGCGTCTGCTTCCTCTGTGTCATTTACACCTACTTCCGGGTCCCCGAACCCGCCGGCCGCACATTTGCCGAGCTGGACTTGCTGTTCGAGAGGAATATCAGCGCGCGCAAGTTCGCTTCCACCGAAGTGGACGTGTTTGACGAGAATTTTGACGGTGAGTTGGCGCAGAAGTACCAGGACCAGATTGCTGTCGCGCACATGGAGAGGGCAGGCGTGGTTTAATTCGGGATTTCTATTTTGCAATGATACATGTGATGAACTGACTCTGATGTGTGCCCGGAGTCGTGCGATCTGCTCGGATGGAGATGGGTTCTTTAGGTGTGGGCATGGGCGTGTGATTGTAAAGGTACGTGTCGTGGCTACGCACATGCTTGTTTTGGTTATACGTGAGTTGTAGATGCGTGGCAGGAGTGGTATATGTTTTGATGAAGCGATAAAATACTAATTAATCACGATTCTATGTGCATGAGACGTTGTTTTGGCTGCCTTTTTACTTGTCTTGGAATAAAAGGTTTGATGCGTGTCGAGGACTACTGGGCTAAACCCACCTTGCCATCTGTGTGGTCCACTGCGACTTCTTTCATCTGTGTTAGTCATGACCCGATTCTACATGCAAACCCATCCAACCTAGAAAAACATGCCGATATAAAAGAGCTACTCGTGCTCCACAAGCTGCCATTCTTCGTCTCTATCTTCTTCCTCGGCCTGTGTCTTCCCAGTGAGCTGCTCGTCAGACTCCGTGGCCTTTGTCGCCTGATATTGCCTTGTCAGCTGCCCCGTCTGCTCACCCAACATCCGATATGCCTCCCTCTTTTCAGCTCCGTCTCCAAGCCTCGCCTTTGTTGTCAGACCCTGCTGCATGCTCGCGGACTTGGAAAACCTGAGCACACCGGAGCCCGCGAGAGAGCTCTGTCGTCCCTGAGTTGAAGGGGGAAGGGGGTGCCACACGAACATCCTCACCGTCCCAATCTCTCTAAAGCCCAGCTTATCGAATGTACTTTGGCCTGCGGAGGTCGACGTCAACATGGCGACATTGTACCCGAGCAAAGCGGCGTCCTGCATCGCGTGCTCAGCCAATGCCCTCCCGATCCCCTGTTTTCCGCGATCGGGCCTGACGACAATGGCGTGAATTGCCGCCACGTCGGCGAAGCAGTGGATATATCCCGTGCCCACGATATTGCCACTACTACCTCTGCCCCGGACATCATCCCCATCATCGCCTGAGGCCCCTTCCGCATCCCGGGCAACGAACATGCGGAACTGCTCGGCGTGCAGGGAGGTGAGGAGGGAAGTATAAATGCGCGTCCAGTGCTCAAAATCTCTCTGAGATGCGTCAGCGCACGCCATCCAAGCCCTCACCCATTCCTCGACTTCTTGGGCCTTCGTGATGGGCTGGATGGCCGCATCTGCTGAGTTCCCCGTGTCCGGAGCTTCGATTTGCAATTGCAGCGCAATTTTATGAAATCGATAAGGCGACAAATCAGCCACCATGACGGTGCCCTCGTCTTCGCATTCTAGACCACATAGGCGAAGGAAATGCTCAAGGGGGGATTGGTCTTTGGTGGCCGGTAACCCAGCTGAACTTCCTTTGACCCAGTGTGCCGCTGTGATTGCTGCTGCCCTGGTCACTGGTAAAGCGGCCCAGAACGGTGTCTATGGCGTCGGCGACGTGGCGCTGGGGGATGTCCTGGTGCTCGAGGCCATTGTGATTCTGCGACGGGTCGTGAAGGTTGAAGGGGAAGCGAGGGACTTCATACCAACGGACGTACCAGTCACTGCCACCGAAGAAATGCTCCTTAGCACCCACAGCAGCATTGACGTGCTTAGTCAGCTCAGCTTTGTTAGTAGTGTACGAGTGGTGGAGGCGCTCCGGGGATAAAGAAGAGGAAGTTGGGCAGTATTCACTGAGGGTTGTGAGACTGAGCTCGCACTAATACTAAGATGCAAAGGCGGAGAAGGTTGACGTTGAGGTGAGGGCGAATGTGAGACCGACCCCGCATCGCCATGCATACTCAGCTGCGTTTCACGTAGAAAACGTGCATAGGTCTTCTGGGTGCCCCCAGCAACCAGTAAGAGTCGTTTCTTGACATGCAAGGAGCCGTTTGGTGTGCTCCAGAATGCGTACGTAAATGCGATGTAGTTATGCTGTGGTGGATGCCGTAAAGGGATGAACCAAACCACGGCAGGGAGACTAAATACACAATAACTTATCTTCTGCCCTTGATGCATATCCCTTAAGCCTCCTTATGTCCTGGACATTTCGAACAAATTAACGAGCTCAAAACTCGTATAGCACCGCCCTCCCAATGTTCTTGAAGGAAGGCAAAAACGACAGAAGCTTTGTCGTGAGCTCGCCAAACCATGGCGGCCAGTCCTCGGGCCAAGTCGCCTCTCCCAGAAACCGCATCCGGGAATCTATCGCCTCGAATGCCGTCGGATCATCTGTAGGCCACCTCCACCGTACCCCCGTCTTTCTCAGCACTGGGACTTGGTCCCAATCCAACATACGTGCTGCCAGAGTGCCCATAATGTCAAACGCCATCCGCCCTTTGCCTCCGTCTCCTCCTCCTCCTTCTGCTGACGATGATGGTGAAAAGCGGTCCACGAGCCGCTGAATCATGCGCTTTCCCTTGTCAAGAGTTAGGTACATGACCAATCCCTCCATAACGACCATGGTTGGTCGATCATTCGGTACCTCGTGCAACCACTCCTCGTCCGTGACATCCGCGGGGATCATGTGGTAATCCCCTGACGGTGTGGGGATAAGTCGTTGCCTCAGCGCAATTACTGCCGGCCGATCCACATCAAACCATCGCACTCCTGGTCCCGGGGCCATGCGCAACACTCGGCTATCCATGCCGCAGCCCAAGTGTAGGACGGTGCATTCCGGTTGAAGAGCCAGAAACTCGCGACACCAGGTGTCGAGCTGCTTGGCTCGAGTGCACCACAGCTTGACCCAGCGGGCGTCATTGGGAAATAGGCTGCGGCTAAAGTCGGTGTTGACTTGGTTCACCACCTGCTGGGCGTAAATGTCGCCAAGTATGGGCTCCGCAGAACTGGCGTCTAGAACCCGGAAGTAGAGCATCGAGAGGAGGGTTTCTTCTACCGGCGTCAACGTCAGTTTGGGCTCAGACTCATACTTGCGGATATTATCGATAGATCGTTCAGTCGACGGCATTTTGCATATTTTTCTTGCTGCCACTTTTGAGAAGCAGTGGAAGGGATTTGGTGAGGTTGAACTCGGATACAGTTGGTTGATCAGGCGAGACGCGACATTTTCTACACTCTCAAGCACGCCAACGAATCGTATCGCAGCGTTCGAATTTGATGACAAAGGCGTCATAAATGACGTCTAAAACAGGAAGGAAGCCAGATTAGCGAAATTAACTGTACCGTAGGCTTGCTCAAATGGGACCCATCATCCCGCTAACCGCCCACACGTCTTCCAATGTTATATGCGCTAGTATTATTACAGGCATCGTGGCCCCGATTAAGTGGGCGATGATGTAGCTTGCACAATTCAGGGGAGTTTAAGAACTATATCTAACTCTGAAACGTAATCGTGATCCACACCAACAGAGGTCGTCTTAGCTGGGCCATATCTTCGAATCTGAATTCCAAGTCTTTGGATGGAATTGGTATCATGAGGGTTGGTGCTGAGACTGTGACGTGAAATCGAGAATGCCCTTTACGTCGATTTACTATAGCGAGACCATCAATAGAACAATGCGAATGCAGAACATCTGCCGTACTTGAGACACGTTTGATCATCAAGACTACACCACTAGGGATTCAAGATCTAAGATTCAACACGGGGTTGCGGGATATCAAGTCACTGTTGTCCCACCGCAGATATAACATCTAAGTTGATGTGTTGCAGACAAATATCTTTCCAGCCAAGCTCTTCACCCTGAGACCTGCATTACAAGATCAGATTGGGTGCTTATTACGGGATTACCATTCCCCTGGGGCAATGGGTGACAGCTGAATAATTGCTTGCACATGTTAATAAAAGGCATCGCATGTGTCCGGAATTCTATACGAAAGCGCCATTAGCAACCATAAGGAACCACATATACAAGCACTTCTTAAACGGTTGACGAAATTGTGCCATTGGTGATGTGGTGACACATAAGCCAATGAGATCAAGGCGACACACGGGACGGTAGTCATCCCCTCTTGCTGCATTAAACATCTGAATCTCCTCCTTCAACCCTCAAGTTCCATGTTGGGGTGGTCCGCAAAGATTTTCTGCCAGTTTCATATCAAGATAACAATCACTCGCGCCCAAAATGCCCAGGTTAGTGGTCCATCCCGTCTTCCCAACAGACCTCGCTCAGCGACACAGAATAAATTACAAGCGGCCCAGACGCCAAACCTGAAATCGAAGCCATGATATCTTGGTTTAACGATGCAGTGAAATCCATCGAGGTCAGAGGTGGGCTGAAGAACCCTTCCGAGGAAACTGAAGTCAAGATGAACTTTTACGACCCTAACAAAACAACGACCGAAGACAAATAGGCGCTCCATGAGGAGACAACCTGATGACGGTGCATCCATAAAAAAAGGAAACTGCATACGTTCGTCTTACAAAGATTTCCGTCACCCACGGCCTGCTCGAGGAGCCCACCATCTGCAAGATCGCCCCCTTCTTCACTGTCAAGAAGGACAGCATGACGTAGGTGACGGGACGGGTGCAGTCGTGTCACCTTTACGCCAACAGATTTGCGACCGAGATACGGCAGCTCCAGGGGGAGTGGAGATCATGGGTGAGGAGACTCGGAATCTGTGGCGGAGCGGAAGCAAAGGATGAGGGGAGGGGAAATTGCAGATGAATGCAGATGGGATGTTGTGTGAGACCTTATAACTACCAAAAATACCTCATTCTATAGCGAGTGGGTCCCTCGTCTTTTGACGGTCAATTTGGCCCAACATGTTGTGGGCCAAGGTCGAGGTGGATGAAAAGGAAACGGATGCCCATATACGGGAGGTTGACAAGGAAAGGAAATGGGGAAGGGTGCGCAGGATCATGGAGGGAATGAAAAGAGGATCCAGGATAAAGTTCGGGGACTTGGGAATGTTTTGGGCATATTGTGGTATGTCAGCAAGGTTTTTCATTATTTTCTTACCCTATGTATTGATAGCTGAGACTATGGAATCAGGTGAGTGAAATCGGGGGATGATATACTCGTCGGGCTTACAAGAAGGACCGAGGTTTCATAAAATGCAATGCAACTATCCTGTCCATAAATGATATCAACTATCATGGTGGTTGATAGACCTGTGGCTTCCATATCCACCCCAGACAACAGCTACAGTCCCCTGGTCTTCCTTCTCGTGCTCACAGTCGTGTCACTCGTATTACATATCCTCATCGTCCATCTGCTTTGGATGATTGCATGCTTCAGACAGAGGAGTAAATTAAATCATGACCGATGTGTCCTGGCTGTTAGCGATCTTGGGTTGGTCTTGACTGGCGACGCGTTCGGGTTGGCGATGCGCCTTCTTGTGTGGTGTATTGCCACTCGCAAGGTTCAATGAATGGTCAAGTCTCAACAGGAAGGTTCTATCTGTTTGGGGGTTTGATGGGTAAGTGTCTCATTTGTCCCAAGTTCTTAGGCAATCTTGACCACATATCGCTTGATGATTTGACGCGGCATGATCATGATGGCTTGTAATGAATGTGGTGATGAGTGACGTGGAGCAGATACAGGTTAGGAGGTTGGGGCTGGCTGATTATCGACTGCTTGAATTGGATTGGGGGGGTTCACATTATTCCATAGAGAAGTTAAAGTACTTATCTAGGACAAATATTCTTCGTTTTGGGATACGGGGGTTTTTATTTTCATATAACGTAGTCCACGGTCCAATTGCACACTTTGGCAGACCTTATACGACAATGTATAAGTTAATTCAACCACAACGCCTATCATCAATTGAAACTACTCAGAATCGTTATCTTCAGACGTCTCTACATCATTTCTACAAGTGCGCGCATTATGTCCGGGCTCGCCGCAGATTCTACAGCGCCGTACACGCGCAATTCGCCGCCTCGTACGACCACTAATTTGACGAAATTCGTCATGTAACTGCCCATCAACCTCTCATTGAGACTGTATGTCCTGTCCAGCTTGTATACGAAGTGACCCTCCACTCTGTAGCTGTTTTTTCTTCGCACGGCGACGTCGACTTAAGGTCTCATTTGCCTTTCGAAGTGATTCGACCTCGCCTTCTAAAAGGGCAAGCCGATGCATAACCTTCGTTGTACCTCGCGCAATCTGATCTATTCCAGCAAAAATTGACGTTGGTGAGCTATTTTGATGTCGTACAATCCTATTTTTCACATAATCGGTTTGTGATTGGGCTTCGGTTGGGTTGTTCAGAGTCTGACAAACATGTATTGGAAGAGCAGCGCCTACGTGAAAAGGAGCAGTGTACACGTTTGTCAGACTCTTCGCGTCGACCCTGCTCCTCTTCACGTCGGCGCTGCTCTTCTAATGCACGTTTGTCAGACTCTTCGCGACGGATCCGCTCCTCCTTGATTTGCTGTGTCAATCGGGCGAAATTTTCCTCCATGATGCCATGGTATGGGGTGTTTGAGAAGAGTATAGTTAAGCAGGTGGGTGGAGACCACAGGTTTAAGTGTATGACGCGATGACGATATCTACAAACACGGCGTGGGAAGAAAGTTGTTTGGGATGAGAATGCATCGGCACATCTTACCATTATATACTCAGGTATAAGGTAGTCCATGCACCGGCGTTACGTCAGGATGTGAATAATCCGTACTATGAACCTACTTGACCCTCCACCGCCAATCATGTAGCTGGCATTAATATTTGAAGGGAGGGCGCGGCGTCCTATGGCGCTACTGAGCCACGGCCAATTACGTATTGAGCTCCCACTCTTCTGCTGATGGCTTGCATGTCTCCGTCGAATCCAGAGCAGCATCAGATATGGATGCCGTCACTGGCTTCGCTTTCGGCATGCTGACAGGCACCATAGTAGAGATTTGGCTTGCCTTTTTGTTCGTTGCTTGCGGATGCTGTTGTTGGGCTTGTGGAGGCAATAACTCGGCTACAGGTCGTGCTGGCATTCGGATGCGAAGATGGGCAGTGTGCTACCCTGGGTAGCCGCGGACTGTCGCAGGGATGGTTGGGGAAGTGGCTTGTCTGCAGTCTGTGCCGGCATTCGAATGTGAGGGTGGACAGTCCCTAAGGTAGCCGCGGGCTGTGGTTGACGTTGTTGAAGAATTGATTTGGCTGGCATTTTGGTGTGACGACGAACAAGGTTGCTAGCCTGCGCGGAGAATCAGAGCTTAGGTAACACCACAAATGGGAAAATAGACCGCTTTCAACTCAATGAACGGATCGCAAAGGCGGGGCATGCTGGACTTGAGCACCATCGCAGATAGTATAGTAGTAGTCCATTTCGAAGGTGCGAAGGCAAGGGTGTCTGGATATGTCAAGGATTCGAATTTTCACGTTGCGAAGATTGAATCTGCTTGGCTGGGGGAGTTTGTATCTACGTATGCGGCCTTGAAGTCAAACTTGGGCCTTCCTCTATTGTTAGTTCGTGACCAAGACATGGTCACACCAAGTGACAAAGGTGGCGCTCTTAGGAGAATCGTGCTCTCCTTAGTACCACTTCATTCATTCAACCATTGTCCAACAGACTAACCGCATTGACCACCTTTTTGCACAGGCCGTAGCAGCTCATCGGTACGGTATCAAGGGGACTACCGTATTCGTCACGGTAATTCGCATCGCGACGCGGCCTCCAGGCAACAAAAGTTGACTCCAGAACAAGGAGGTTATCGTGAACTGGATCCTACACGAAGAAGTGTGTGGACGGGCTCCTAGCAAGCGTTATGTGGCCGACTTCGCTGCCGAAATCCTCCTTGCTCAAGGGGATAACAATACACTCGGCCAACACTGGGTGGATCACTTCGTTAGCCGCCATCCACAGATACGTACCAAAATTGGGCGCGTCGTAGATGCTAGCCGAGTTAGAGCGTCCGATTCGACCAAGATCCGAGACTTTCTGGCTGGCGGAAGACTGGTATATGGCCCCTAGGCTCCGAAGGACTAGTCGACGTATCTTGTGATCCTCCGGAGCCTCATACACCAGATCCTCCGCCTCATATATCACCACCTTTAGTTGCTTTTACTCCTCAGAAAGCGCAGCAACTATCTAGCCAACTACAGTCGAAAGAGAAAGCCGAGGGCGGGGTATCTCGTAAAATTCGTACTCTAGTAGGCAAGGCAGGCAAGGCCCTTACACTCCAGGCCGCCGAGAATGCCAAATTACGTATCGAAAACGAGCAACTATATAAAGAACTCGATACATACGCTCCAGATATACGCCAGCCCGTCGAGCCAGACCCGAATAAAGTATCGTTAACTTATCAGCGATCCGAACAGCCCAGGACAAGCGAAATAAGCGAATACGGCCTATTTTACCGGATAAGCAGTTAAAAATTGATACTTTTCTCGAAGGAAGGGTCCCTCCTAAAAAGAGGGGTCGAAAGAATATATCTAAGTCTTCGGACACTTAAATTAAGTATGTTCCGTATATAAATAATATGGACGAAGAATTTAGGTTGATTCAGTTAGACCCTGCAAAATGGGGGTGTATGCAAAAAGGTGGTCAATGCGGTTAGATGCTTTGTGTCCGTCAATACATATTCATGTAGCTAATTAACTGATCCACCGGGTGTTCCTGCCCTCAACGTAGCCAGATCATCATAGCAACCGGCTCATCGACATAAAGCAGATAATTGCTTAATAAATTGAAGACACGGCTCTGGCGAAAAATAGGGTTATCCAGAGGGCTACGGAGCGGAGTACTCCATAATTTAGGCAGTGGTTCTGATAACGATATCATTAAGCATGACTTTTGATTCTGTCCACTCTGCAAGCAGTTGCCACTTTTCACAGACGTAGTTCATCTCGTCTTGTACCTTCCTCATACGGATCTAACTGTCCATTTCGATAGAATGAGTGCAGTCCACCGATTTCTGCAGATATCATGTACTAAACCCGTTGCTCATCTCCAATTCAGATGTCCAATCCGTCCCGTCCATGTGTCCTTCCGCTGCCACACCACTATGCTCTAGTGGTAGACGTTTGAGGTTTTTGGTTGCAATCCCCTAACAATCCGTACCGATCCCTACAGCCGAACATTCGCTAAAACCGGCTTCGCTAAGCACAAAGGTAACGAGGGCCCTGACGATGCGGACACCGAGTCCCAGGGAGTGCAAGACATCACTCTGGTCTTATACAAGCGCAAATAAATAATGAGGCTGGTTTCGGTGGAGGTGATTTATCACCTAGGTTGCATCGAGACCAAGAGTCCTGATCGCGCCTTCGAGGAGAAGTCTTCCAAGCTGGTGAAGGTCGTGATGACGGACTACAGATTCCCATCAACGTGTGAAGGCCGTCATTGTGCCATATTTACAGTGGCCAAGAAGCTACTATTGGACAGAACCCCAGCTATCATAGACAAGAAAGACGTACACTTTTTCGAGAGGGTTCCCCAGATGGAGACGGCTCGTTCTGAAGCCGAATAAGAGTGGGAAAAATGGATGACAATGGAGGATAGAGTTCAGATCTTCTGGGAGAGAATGCGTGCTGGGCTTGATAGAAAGTTCGAGGGTCCCGATGGGATTCAGGCCACAATTGCGCGCAATTGCGGACGCGACTCATTCCATCTGCGGTGCACTGAGTTTTCAGGCGACGTAGATGTTGACCGCAAGGGTGTTTTTGCCGAGTTTACGCAGCTATGGAGGGGATATATTCCACTGGAACTCTTCATGCTGCGGAGGTGGTAGCTTTCCTCGGAATAACGTGCATTTGATCTTCTTGCAGAACAATGAATCGGGACGATAACTACCGGTGGGTAGATGTTTGCCTTTCCAGTTCCAATGGAACAATAATGATTTTCAAGTCCTAACTTGTTGAGACAATGTAGAAGTAAATAATGCAAGTGCCAGCAGCTTTATGTCATATAATGTAAGAGTTAGCAGATGTCCATACAATGGGTACAGTCGGTGCTCAGGAGTAGGCGCATACAGACATATATGAGACATACATGGCTGGGCCATGCCAGCTTGATGCCTAGTTACTAGATCCCAAGAAAGCTTCAACTATCCATGACGATCTGAACTGGAAGGTTCCGAATCGGCTGCATAAGCCAGTACTTTTCCCCCTTTCGCCGCTAGAAATGTTGCACAACAGCCTACTTGATGTCGGTTCTGTTTCACTAAACGAACTTGAGATTATATCCCTGCCTTGCAAACAATCCAACACATTATTTTGACTGGCATGCTCCGCCAACATGTGATATAGAGTGGCAAGCGAGGGCCAACAATAGGAAAATCTAGGAGTGAATTTCTCGAAGTTATCCTCCTCTGCAATCCCACGCATTGTTGGCTATCCATTCGATTGTTTGCTGTCTTGCCTTTCCCAAATACAAAAGTTGTCTCCTTTCAGGATTCAGTCACTCCGAACAGACCCCAACATCAACCTACCCTTCCCTCCATACTTCATCCTACCAGGACCAACACCAACGAAATACCATCATCATCATGTGTCTCATCCCCAGCCTTCTCACAGCGACCCTGCTCGCACTCTTCGCCACCGTTCTCGCCGATGGCGGCTACGCCTCGCCTGGTGAGGATCAATGCAAGGTCATCGAGCTCTGGTGGGGCAGGGACAACAACGAGGCCATCCAGGTCATCGCCGACTGTCCCGTCTACCAGGGGGAGAAGTCCTACTATTGTAGCAAGCTACCTCTGGACAAGTGTTTCGGTAACATCCAAGGACAGCTGAAGCCCATTCGCAAGTGAGTTCTGCTACATCATCAACTTTGGGGGTTGAAGTCCATCGTGCTCATCTTTCCGTTCTTGCCTTTGACGTAGTCGCATTGTTGACTGTATATTTTTCACTTAGCGGCGGCTTCTCGAGCTCCTGCCATGACTGCAAACTGGAGAGCACCAAGCTGTCTTGCTACTGCGAGCGTAGCAATACCGACACGGCCCGGTGGCAATACACGGAGATCGAGACGAGTAAGTCCTAGCTAACGCTTCGCCATGTCCTCTAGTCGGACAAGCGACCACTAACCCAACGTGTTACTGCGATTAGATGACTTCATTTCCAACCAGAATAGTCTTCTCATGTGTGAAGAGCAGAGCGGATGCCATTGCCAATTATGGGATGAAGAGCCACCCTGTACTTGAGTGATTCGTGTCCACTGGACCAACCAATGTATAATCCAACTCTTGTATTACGGCACTAGATGGGCTGTGCAGTCATCAGCTGGACCTTGTCGCCGTTTTCTTGCAAGATTTCTTACAGGGACTGGATCGTAGATGTTGTATCGACCGTAGAGCTGAATAAAGGAGCCCAGAGATCGTGGCTTACTAACAATTTCGATACTGGTGACTCTAACTCTTTCATCCCCTTCCGCTAAAAGGGGCGGAATTTAGTTCCTAGAGCGAAGAATACATATCGCGTCACTATAGGTGCGGTGTCAGAACCCATTCGCATAATGTCTCTCATCTCAAATTCCAATCCCGCTGATTCCATGGAGTCAGTTGAGTCGTCGCTTTATCTACGGGAAACTATGCCTCTTATCTAGTTATAACACAGTCGTGACCAATCTGCTATTTGGTACCAGATAGGTAATACGCGAAGACCATGTCCCCACCCCATCGAGCAACTCTCCCAGCGGTGCGGTCCTCCTTGTCGTTAGCTTCAATTTGCATAACATGCAATCTTATACTACCCACCCTCACCCACTTCTCTATTCTTCCTTGTTCCCGTCGTCGACAGGCCACGCTCCGATCTATGAACTGGAAATACCCAGATAAACCTTACACGATGGGTGCTGATGGAAATAGAGTCGGGAAAACCCAACCCAGACCACCAGTTCCTCCCACCGGAATAAGAGAATAAGAAACAGACTAAGAGATTAAGGTTAGATGACAGATTGTGATCGCCTGCTGGGGTGTTCTCTTTGGCGTCTCTGCGTACTTAAGCACATCATCCCGCGAGGTTGGGGCCGAGCCATTACTTGTTCAGATCTGCCACTAGAAAACTCTCAGTTATTCTGTTAATCCGCTTGAGATCCACTTCCAGAAATCAATGTGCCACTGGGTCGATAAAATGCCACCTTCATCTGGTCACAAGCATGAGACCTCCAGTGGCGGTTCATACCGCAGCTTACTCCAATGCCACGTATCGATCACGGTATCATCAAGCCCGAGGTTTGGAATACGTGTGGTGGGATCTGAAAAAGAGCTCTTCCATTTTGAACAGACTGACTATAAGGTATATTATATATATATATATATAAAGATATACCGAGATCGCGGTCTCAATATCTAGCCAGATTTCTTCCACCAGCCCACAGCTGCTGTGACGTCGTTGACGCTCCCCCAAAACAAATATATTGCCGTACAAAGCAATATATTCATGTCGCTCGCCATTTCTTGACGGGCTGCAGAATTGACCAAAGGTAAAAAGGAGGTGGTATCTCAGCAATTCGAAAAAAAAAACTCCAAGCAGTCCAATTCGCTAGACGAAGAATCTCAAGCGTCTTGACTTATAACGAAACGCCGTGTTGCCGTATGTACACCCTGCGCCGGTCTATATATCCCTCCCTCGCTTGCTTGAATTGGTGTGTGTCGTGACTCATGCAGTATGCTTGATTGATGATGTGCGATGCCACCGTTGGATGGTGGCAGAGTGGATCACACAGCTACGTCGATTGGTATACGGCGACGTACTGGACCTCCATCATGGAGCCGAAGCCATCCTCGGTCTCATCGTTGGGGTCACCGGGCCAGCTACCACCCTGCTATGGCGTTAGCGAATCGTATTCGGCGATTTAACCATATTCGGAGAAAGAAAATACTTACAACTGCAACGTTCATGAGGACATAAAGCGGGCTGTGAGCGATAGTCGCCCAGATGCCCAAGTCATTGATGTCAGACCCGGTGAGGGTGTAGAATACGGAGCCATCCAAGATCCACTGGATGGTCTGCTGGGTCCAGTCGAGGTTGGTACGATCGATCTTGAGAGCCCAGGTGTGAAAGCCGTCATCGGGGATGGCGACCGACTTCTGCGCACCCGTGTACTCGTTGCAAGGGCCACCCGTCTCGTCGGGGCCGCAGTGGGCCGTGCCGTAGCCCGTCATCACGCCGTTGACCTGCTCCATAATGTCGAGCTCGCCGCACATGGGCCAGCCCGTACCATGGCGCACGGCATCGCCCAAAGTCCAGAAGGCAGGCCAGAGACCTTGCTTGTTCGAGGCAGCGTTGGTGCCCAGGCCGATGCTGGCCTGGATGATCATGCTCTTGCCGGCCGTTGCCATCCACGAGTCCTTGGTTTCTATGCGACCTGACGTCCACTTGCCCCCGGTGGCTCTGCGGGGGATGAACTGAACTGTGCCTCCGCCACTGATCTGGAGGTTTCGGCTGTCTGATGTGTAGTCTTGGACCTCCTGGTTGGTGTCGATGGAGTCCATGATATCCCATACAGCAGTGTCCGGCGTGGCTCCCGCGGTGCCGGCGAAAGTTTCCGACCAGGCAAGGTTGTAGCCCGAGATGGCAGGGGCAGCAATGGCCGCGGCCAGAGCTGGGAGGAAGGGAAGGAGAGTAGTCGACCGCATCTTGCGTGGGTCAAGTCGAGTTGAGCTGAGTTGAGCTGAGGGGTGTGAGGGGGTGTCCGTCCGTCTGGTTGACCGGAGGGAGGTACTTTATGATAGAGTCCTACTACGGAAAGGTCCACAATGGGGAATGTATTCGCTGGCACAACCCAATATCGTTGAAAACAATGTGGAGATGTGTGCTACGGTGACGCACAAAGCAAGACCCGGCTAGCAGGAGGTGGAGAAGAGATATTCGGTGAAGAAAGAATGAATGACGAGGTTAAACGGGGTCAAGGTGTGACCAGACGACAAGGTAAAGAATGTATGTGCTCGGCAATAACGAAAGACCGGAGCAACGAAAGCGAATGTGAAGATGTAAAAATCAACGTGGGAACATCAGAGACCAGAGGAGTCGTTCTTGGACGCGGCGGAAGCACTCGACTTCTAATAAAGATTGCCTGGCTTCGGCACTGACGCCACTACACTAGGCAAGAGAGCAAGGGGATGTGGCTCCACATGGCAGAATACCATGTACCGAGAGCTAGGCGATAGGTACGAAGAAACCCGCCATGGGCCTGGCCGCACTTGCGCATGCGAGTCCTCGTTGTGTCAGCCGTGCCCGAACGACATGGGCGAGAAAAGATGGGAAAGTCGACGACCAAACAAAGCTTGTCGTCCAAAACCGGAAATGAAAAATGGGAAAGGCAGGGGGGCGACGTCCTGCTATGCTTGGGACAGGGCGGGCAGAACAGGGGACGGAGCTACACGTCTCCAAGCGTGCAGGTTGTTGGCGGATGAAATACCCCATTTTAGGTGACTGATCAACGCATGATGCAAATTGTGCAGTACCGGTTTACTTCGACGAGGGTATCACTACCCTGCGCAGCACTGAAAACGAGTGGAAGACCAAGTATTATGGGGGCTGTAGCCCACAACCAATCTGCATGTCTGGAGAGGTGTATGCGCAGGTGGATAACTGGGCGGTGTTGGAGCTCCTGAATTCCTGAAGCGACGACGGTGACCCTTGCCAATATGTGGGATATAGCGGACCCTGGGAGGGCTGGCCACGAATGTCCAAAAACTTCAGCAGAAGAGGTCCAATCATCATGGCTGGTTGGCTGCCTCTGAGAAACAAGCCTGTCTTCGAAGCCCTGCGTTAGCATGAATGCCCAAGAGCTCCAGTTGCCACTGACCAAAATGAGAAAGAGCCGGAGAGTGAAGACACACGACAGCGGCAAATGGCTCCAGGGTGTCGCGCACGAGAGACCATAGCCAGAAGAGTGCTCGAGTGGAACACTAGTTCCGTGGGAGGATCGAGAAATCCATACGTTGATCCCTCGTCGTCTTGAAGTTCGGCCAGCCGCATGTGGAGAAGAAGAATAGGCTGGCCGGCTGGTGGTTGGAGATCTGAAGAAAGGCCAAGAGCTGTCGGGAAAAGGAAGATCAACATTGGACGGATTGGTACCTGCGCTGGCTCCGATTCGCGCCAAGATCTTTGGCCAAGACCGGCGTGCTTTGCTGGGATGTTGATTTGACACTGAACCGGCGATTAATTGACCGGGCTAAAACCGTCCTTGAGCGTCCCTGCAATATCTTAGGGCAATTTCAGCCATATTCAAGCGCATGGTTCTCAACCTGCCAGCACAACAGCCGGGCTTCACACACGCCCAAGCAGGTTAAATGTAGAGAGAAACCGGATGCGACTTGATGCGCTCTGCTCTCGCATTGACGAGAGCCTGTCGATTTATGACTGTTAGCGTGGTAGCAGACGACTCCTTTTGTTGGTTTTTTTTGCTAGATTGTTTTTTCATCTCAGGATCAGGCTGGCGCCAAACAAACCCCGCCGAAGCTGACGGTGAGCCGGTCACCTGGGTCTGCCTGGGAGCGCATGAGCCTCCTGAAGTCTGAACAGAGGTCTGCAGTCCATCGCCACGAACGGGATAAATGCGTGACAGCGGCTTTGTTGCATCGAAACTTTCGCTTGCGTACCCACCCATTTCCAGAAGCCAAGGACCTGCCGTGCCCTTTTCACTGACAGATTGGCAAGAGACGCAGTATGATCCTGTCGAACTATCTCGCGCTGCCCCCCTCCTGCATTTAGGCGCATTCCGTCTCGAGAACTCGGATCCAGTCAATCGGCATCCCTTAGGACGCCGACAGATCCTCCTGCATGCGAGTCGACTCGATGCGCGAAGAATGGCAGCGCGCCACTGGATTGACAACAAAGTCCGGATGGAGGGCAGAAGCGACGTGCTAATGCAGCGTATTTTGTAGTTCAGGGGCTGGTGTTTCGGCGAAACGAGGCATGCGCAACCCAAATGAACCAACGAACCCATCTGGGCAACAGCAAGTTCGTTTCATTGCATCAATTGGACCAGAGTCGCACTACCCTGCAGCGGCATTCAGGGGACGCGCCTCGGCACCTCGGTTCTCTGGGGCTGCGCCAACGAGAAGCAAAGCGCCGGACAGCAGTGCATCAAACCGATAAGGACGGTCCTAATTGTGGATATTCCTGGCTGATACACTGATATACACTTGACTTGGAAATTTCCCCATCATCGGAATACTGACTCAGTTCCTTCGTACGCCGTCGAGGGCATGTAGGGGTCTGTCTATTTCTCATGTGTTGCACCAGGACAGGCCCAGCCAAGCTCCTCTGGTCGTGCCTCCACGTTGCTCTGCACGATCCGATCTGAAACAAGGCGCCATTTCTTTTCTGCAAGACACATCTTCCCAGCCCCGCCTCGCTAGACTTGTGAGCTGTCTTACACCAAGACAAATCTGACTACTTCCATGCTTCATGCCCATTTTCGTGTCTTTGATTTCTCCTTCTGTCGCAGTTGCAGCCGCATCATCATCATCATCATCATCATTACGATCACGCCAACGCCAAAACGCCGGCGGTTTCCTTCTGGCTTGGACCGGCGATCTCCCGGCCTGGCTCGATCGGGAAATTTGGGGGTCAAGACCCGGCCGTGCATATTGTGCGCTTTTATGCCTCGCCAGCCCTCGCCAGGGCTCGATCACATTGGGATTCAGGCACGGACGGGGCTGTTGCTGAGCAATACGGTCGCGGCGGGGTTTATCGCATCTTTTACAGGCCATTGTTTCCACAAGGCTGATGTCAAGATTGCCATGATATGCGTTCACGTCTCCCACGTATAAGACAACCCTTGGGTTATAATAGGAGGCGCAGTGCCGGTCCTGGAAACTGGGACCCCTCTCCCGCATGGACGTTTCCGGTGGCGGCTCTGTTGTGGCTTTCCCCACGTAATGCTCCAATTAAGTAATCAACACGAGAACGCGGCTCCTTTCTTCACCGCACGAGCAGTGGGTATGTTCTATGTTGGGAACACGATACCCTGAGGCGCAAAAGCAGCTTCGAAGTTCCAGCTCTTTCCAGAACACTTGCCATAGGCCCTATTATGTCTGTTCCCGCAAAGGTCCCGCAAAGTTCCGAGGTTCAAGAAGAAGCGGTGGTCGCCCGTCAGCTGGTGGTGAACTGGGACCATCCTGGTAAATCAAGTCGGGTATGCCCCCTTCCGGTGGGTAACAAGATGCCAACACAGCAAGTTTTTCTCTCAACCAACATGCCTGGCTGCCAACGTCTCCAACGTCTGCCAACATCCATAACCACATCCCCCGGAATTCTCCCCAATTCGTGCGACTGTCAACTTGTGGGCATAGCAACAGCGCAAGCGCAACTCGCACTGGCCGCACGCCGTCACATCTAGAGAAAAGCAGGAAGATAATCCATCCACCCACCTGGCATGTGACGGGAGTGCACCAGGGCCTATCAACCGACCCAGCCAAGAAGCTTCATCTACCGTCGGCAGCTCAATGTCGCATTAGAACGAATTTGGCCGTGGATAAATTGCTCCGTATATTGCGGCGCTATGTGTGTTCTGGTGCTTTGCAGCATGGATGCTCTCGTGCTGTCGGTTGCGTGCAGCGTTCGTCGTAGGGAGGCGAGCTGCACGCTAGACTTTATTCTGACGTCTGCTGTCAGGGTGAGACGGGCATGCACTTTCGCGGTTGGTTAGGCCATGGAGCGGATGCATATCAAGTGAACACGGGATGGGATTACGGGCATGTAGTACGACAAAGCTAAGCTTCCTGGCTTGCCCAACAAACAGTCTGGAGTTAGAAATGGTTGACACTCGGGCTCTGTTTACAGTGTCCAATGGAAGCATGTGATGAATTTCGGAACCGTAATGATGTCCTGTTGAAGGCTCGGCAATATGTCTTTCAAACCGAGTCTCAGCGCCAGCTCTACCCTCGGTCGTGCATATATCATGAAGACGCTGAGACCTGCTCCAGAAGAAAACCATCTCTACTGTGTATCATCCGAGCCGAAATGCTCATGGGTGAAGATAGGAGCTACGTAAATGCTCGACACACAACGCAATATAGGTCTAGGAACTAGGCTCAAACTATTTGAGTAGACATGAACAGGTGTAAACAGGCAAGAATCATCGCCGCTGGACAGGGTCTCTTGGCTATTCTAGTCGTTGCCGAGGACTGCACCGCAACTTTCGTGACATGTCTCTGTCTACCTTGGGCTAAACGATGTGGCGTTAGAGCGGCCAACGACCTGCTACGTCCTTTACAAGGACAAGCTCGACGGGTACCATCAATAGTTTCATTCTGAAGAGCATATACCGAAAATTCCAAATTTTCAATGGCATGAGACAGACCTCTCTGGGACTCCGAGCAGTGACCTTTTATGCCTCTGTCCGAGTATGCCGCACCTTTGTGGGTATCATTGGCCCCCAACATGTCTTTATTGCTGCATGATGCAGTGTCATATACTACACGTGATGAGCTTATAGATAGTGGGTGGAATGTATCGATATATTGGATGATGAGTGTTGGTCGCACACTACGTGGCACCGCCGCCGCATCCGGCTTTGTCCATCTCGCTTATACAGCCGACGACTTCTGGTTGAGTATCAACTACTCCCCGAGACAGAGAACATTTTCTAGCCCCAGCCACTCAATCAGGAAGGAAAAACATACTGCATCTTGTCCGCGTTCATTGAGCACAAATTTGCTGTCGAATATTCCCGAGCCCCTTGGTCCCATCCCGCACCCTCGTCTCCGTACTCATTGCTCGATTTGCGCAACGAAATCCAGCTCATCCCACCACCCGTCTTGATTCCCCAGGTATGTCCCCTCTGAGGTTCTTTTCGGTCAGCTCCTCCACTCAGAGCTCTCCTTGGTCGATGGTTTCGTCTCCGCAGCACCCTCTTCCGCCCCCTCATCCGAAATCCCTTGAAGCCGAGTACTGCAGTACCATCATCTATGCCAGCACAGTAGCCGATTGAACTGTTTCGTCTGATAGCGGCTCTCTGACCGGTTGATGTAGGCTTGACACGGGCCTGGACTCTGTCTTGAGGTGCGGCCCCAGCGTCTCGATCCAGTCACACACCGTCTCTAGCTTGTATTCTTTTTGGTTGGCATGCACTTGAGTGCATCAGCAATAAGCTCCATGACTATGTTGGCTGGGTCAAGGACGCGGCGGGTCCAAGCAAGTGTGAGGAAAGCGTTGAATATCGTGTAGGGGAGGCCTTGGAATTCATAGGGTTTCTTCACGTAGGCTGTGTTCATGATTAATGTCAGTGCGAGTGATTGCTTGACGTATTATTCTTGTGGTCATCCATACGCATAAGTGCCAATGTAACACAAGCTGATGTGATTGGGGAGTTCATCCTGTATCGATTGTTCACGTTCTCCATGAGCCTCATGACTTGATCCGGATAGTAACCCAACGCCGTAGGCCTGAGATACATGCTAGCCACGCCATTCACAATGATCACTAGCACAAGGTCATCATGTTGATCGCCAGACCAGCCGTATCGTGTGTCGTTTAGATCCCTCGCTCGTTGAATGACCTGGGGCACGACATAGCCGAATAGCTCGTAGTCGGGGCCGGCTCTTTTATGGCGGATGATGGCTTGCCCGACCAGGATGATATTGATAACGTCCTCGATCTGCAACAAATTGTTTGAAGATGTGATCATTCTCTAATAACTTCCAACAGCAGTGATATAGATACCGTGACTCTTTGGCTTGGTGTCAAGTGTTGTTCGCCGCGAAGTGCTGGCCTATTTGTATATTCCATTTTCTTTTATCCATCTGGGTGCTGCCTCCTGCTTCTCATCAGAATTAATGGCCATGGGATTGGCATTTGTGACTGCGTTTCTTCGATTTTGGATGTTGGCAGCGGTGATGTTGGTGGATCTTCGCGAACTTGCCGTATCCGACGTGCTTCTCTCAGTGGCCGGACCGTTGGCACTGCACCAATCGCCCATGTGACCATAATGTGGTCAATTCTCATCCTTCTTCTTTTGCACTCGACCCCTTTTATTCAATCTCCGTTGTATTTACTTTCTCTACTGGTTGAAACCGAAAGTTTCGGCCCGTCTGCGAGCCATGCTTAGTCTCGTGGCTCTGTCTTCGCTATACTCGACAATATTTGCCCTAATCACCTATTACGGCTTCTTACGCTGGATTTAGACCCAGGAAAATTCCGTAGCGCTCGGCAATGTTTTGGGTTTGGGGCTTTTCTCTCAATACGTTGGTGATGTTGTGGTCGTAGATTCATATTCACGGCGGCCTATCTGCGCCATTCCTCCGGTAGTCCTGCCATGGTTTTCAACAACGGCGGGCATGGAAATTCCTGGAAATTCCTAGCAGCTTAAACTGGTATGTATTCCGCCATGTTCTCATTCTACTTCTTCTCTTTCACATAATGAATAATCCCAGAAGTCAGGTTTCTAGTAATGATTCCCGTACCGCCCCGAGCAAGCCTAACTGGCCTGTCCTCCCGACGAATTCTTACCCGGCGCCTAGGTAGCACCTAGTAAATGTACCTCGCCACAACTGCCAAATCTACACACTGCATCAATATCAACACAGAGATTATTACGGCCCCTTCGAGATCCTTGCTCGGCTTCCAAAGTATGATGCGGGTTGAATAGCAAGTTTTCTCTTCTGTATAGTGGTACGTCTGCGCAACGGTTTTCGTTACATGAGACTTGCTGGAAAAGCATATGGCGGTCTGCAAGACGTACTCAGCGTGGTCTGTGTTGTTTAAAATGCGGATCTGGCAAGCAATGACCAAGGTGAGGTGGTCGACGAGATTGCCCTCCAAGTCTTCGCTGTAAGGTAGGGCTTAGCGAGATCGGACACAAACTGAGAGCAAAATGTTTCACGCCCGCCGTTGAACAGGCTGAGATGCTCGAGCTGGGAAAGGGGGATTCTGCCATGGGTGCCCATTCCATAAACACTTGGAAAACTTGGAAAGCAGGGAGATTCAAGGTGTGGCTCATCAGAGAACCAAAGAAGGAGTAATTGCGAAAGAGTGCCTCGGCCCAAGTTCTCAAAGGTCCCTAGAAAGACACGCAACTGTTGTGAAAAGGTTCGGTCTAAGTGCGAGCGCAGGGGAGTTGGCCGGTGTCAGTGACAGAACCAGACGGTGGGTTTCTGCAAATGGGATGATAGTCGATGGTCCAAAGGGGCACTTGAGTAACTCGTTATGTTGGAAGAAATACTCTGCTGTTGGCCGCAGTCCGAGAGCGACATCCAGGCAATCATTGAAGTCATTCTCCATAGTTCGGCGTTTGGCCACTCGTCAATTAAGGGGCCATAGACATGGTCATTTCTCAGCTCGAAATACACTCTTTGTTGAGGACGCTGTACAATGCAAATTGAAGTTTGTAGATTTGAGTATCCCGTTGAATATGCACGTAGTTTGGTATTCCAGGGACAGTTCCGCAGTAATGTCTTGTCTACCCCGATCGGCGTCCATGGAAAGACCCTCAGGTTTCCCGGCATGCAGAAGCTTATCCGGAAATTCGACATGTCTACGGCAGTAATCAGCGGTTTTGCACTGGGCAAGGTGATGGGAGTTTCCAAAGCAGAATCTTCTCACTTTTACTGATTAGTTGATTCGTATGACATGCTCCTTTATAATTCCCGTCCAGGTGCCATTCTCAAGAGCGCTGGCAAGAAAACACGATCCGAATACGCTCCTTTTTTCTTCACAACGACTGTTTCCCAGTAGAAGAGACGTCTTTCCAATGATTTTATAAACCCGCCGGCTCAGTGTCGGAGCCAACCATGGTCTTAAAACCCCCCACCACAACTACTGCGAAGTCTGTTCAGGCAAGAGACGGCGGTGGTTTATTCGATTGTAACAGAGCAGATAAAATAGGCTGTTGAGTGGCACCGTGGATATGTCAGCGTCTAGTTATCACGATTCGATGATCAGTAGAGTACCTACCTATTCCAATGAGCAGAGCGCCCAACCACAGAAAGCGGCTACTCTTTTCCCTACGGCGGGCGCTTCACAATATTTCTATATCCGTCCATCCACTTTCAACTAAAGCGAACTGCTGCTACACGTAACGCTCTAGCCAGGAAATCGCCTCTGCGTGTACTCAGTGGGCGCGTGAGCAAGCAGAGGCGAAGTGATGGGGATCGCCAAAACCCAGAGATGGAGTCCATGATATCCACACATACCAGAACGCTAGCCACAGACAGAAACCCTGAGGGTAACATATTGCCACGTTGGTCTCAGTAGGTCGATGCATACAGGGGTTGGATGCCCAGCACGCATTTAGCACCCATGTTACCATGAAAGTCGGCAGGTAGAAGACCAGAAGCTAGATTGGCATCTTCCTGTGTCTCAGCGACCATTCAGTGTTCTTCATGGGATCATATGTCTTCGGCACCGTGGTGTTTGTGAGCGCAGGATAACTTGAGTTTAGAGCCGCCGAGCTCGCGGCCAACAGTCGTGCGCCTTCGTTGCCCTGACTTGTATTCTGTACCGTAGGCCCTTCGGGAGCGGCAATACGATGAGCGGAGACTAGACTACACGATCTTGGTGCTATAGGTGATCTCGACCCAGGAGAAAGAGGGCTTGGAGACGTTGAATCAGACCATGGGCGACAGATGTCGCACTCTTTGCTACAGCAAAGAGACCCAGGCTGATACTGAGAGTTCACTGTGTATTTGGACCTGATTTGATGCTAATACCGCCAATATGGGACTGTTTTCTCTACCACAGTTCTTTGCCAGCTATAAGTCGAACACATGTTTACCTGAGTGAGGTCTTCAATTTCACACAGAATCAACAAACGTATTAAACAGTCTCCAGCTACCCCCAAATTTATACGAAGGCCAAAAAAGTATGTATTTTTTCTCTTCTCTGATGGTTACTTCTGGTTTGAGGCGGGGTTTTGTAGGTCTTCGGCCCTGCCACTTGACCGTACCTTCCCATCTCCCCCCTATCCTCAGCGAACATAAACCGACCAATTCATGACTTCATCAACCTCATAGTTGAAATAGATTCAACTAGTCGCACTGCCAAGCCGACACCTTCTGTCTACTCAACCGTTGAACTTGATCATAGCTGCACGCATGCTCCCCCATTTCCCAAAACTGTAGTTGGAACCCCAGGATCGTATCAAGGAGCTCGCTTTTCTCTTCAAAGACCATGAGGTGCTTTGGGCCAATATGCGGGTAAAGAGACGTGCCAAAGTCATCAGGCGCTCTAGCATGGTAGACCATTGCCATCAGGGTTCCTACTACACCATGTTTGGGCGGATTGTTCCATCCACCTCAAAGAGCAGCACCAAGCCAGGAGCAGTTTCCGTCCTCGCTTACATCTGACAGTGACCTCACGCCATCCGCTGATACTTTGGCCTAAGAAACAATGTCAGTGCGAGCCCGCAGGGAGTAATTATGCAACTGCTACAGTGTTACCTGCATCCGTGGCGCTTGTGACCTCGTTATCGTCTACGACGGGATTGGGGTAGCTTGCCAGTGCGTCGAAGGCCGGGGCAGTTGTTGACTTGAGAGAATCCGATTTACCTGATTTATATTTCAACCCGGAATCTTGACTTCCGGATCCATTGCTGGATAATTAGAATCATCAGGAGTTGGCAAAAGTCTCGATGGCAACTGGCCGTCCAACCGGTTGGTTATACAAGTTCGTGTCGTTTTGTTACTGAGTAAAGGAGATGTGCCTCTCCTGCGCCTAGTTCACACATGAGTACAGAAACGACCTGTCCAGCCACATATGCAAATGCATCCATTCGGCCATGATGCAGACCAGAGCCGCCACTATGGTACACGCCGATTCGTTTCCCCTCGAGTCGGTATATCATTACACCCTTCTACATCCTCCTGTCACGTCTCGCCACGAATGAATTCGCCGCATTTATGCCCTATAGAGGGCGTCGTTAGGGGGTACGGTCAACCAGGCAGTCGTTCAGGGTACACTCACGGAGGGAGGAGGAACTCAGCCCACGGACTGGCGATGAATGCTACGGCGGCCTGCGGAAAAAAAATTCAGCTTTTCCACTCCAGTTCATGTGAATGTAGATGACTTAAAGGACATACACCAAAGATGGCTATGCTTCGCACCATGGTGGCATTGTCGGGCGATGTGATGGTGTCGTAGGTCAAGCCGATGTAACCCCTGGACTGGGATGCCCGACGGGAGTCACTTTGGATTCGCTTGGTTGGCATGATGTGTAATTTGAGGAATTCGAAATTAGGGTGTAGGCTGATCGGTTTCTGTTGTTGTGAAGGGCGAATGTTGATTCAAGAGCCAATGCGACGTAGGACCCGAGAATGACGATATTTCATAAAACGAAAAAGTTCAAATGCGTGAGGCTGAGACAAGAGAGAGCTCAAGCCACAGTTGAGGTGCGGTGCTTACTTGCGGTGGAACAGGAGCCAAATGTGGCTGCCCTTTGATGGCGTCACATGGCGGCGCAAATCAATCTGAGGTCGACTACAAACCATTCGCAGTGCGCTTCCGCTTTCATGAAGACATTGAATTCCAAGACGAAGACTAGCCCCCAACTTCAACATGAAAAAACAACCTCATGATCGCTTTCATGAGACTCTTACCCCGAAGTCTCACATCTGAATAATGGCCACAGCAACCCCATCCAATTTCTCCACCTCTGGCGGCTTCATCCGCCCCCACAACACCACCGCCCTGCCCTCGCCAGCTCCAAGTACAGCATCAGCCCGCGCCGCCGCCGGTCTTCCACGTCCTCGTTCCAAGCCCCTCGTCCCGGGATCTCGGAAAGAAGAGTATGCGCGTCAATATGTCTCGCAGCGCATGCTGCACATCTCGCGGCGCTTTCACAAGAAGCTTGGCGGCGCGTTTGCCGACCCGGACGATCCAACGGCCGGATACGTTGCCTTTGACGACATCTGTGACGATCTGAGCGGGGTGGTGGATGTCCTCTGGTTCTCGGGGACTCGTGAGTTTACTCATTGTGCCTTTTGGATTGCGCTCGAGAGGTTGATGCTGACAATGAAATGGTTCAGCCAATATCCAAATCCCCTTCCTCCTCGATGTCGCATTAGCTATAACCGAGTACCTACCCGCCTTTCCTCCAGCGCCGCGCCCGACTTTCACTCTTCTTAAGAAGCTCGACCACTGCTTTGCTAGCCTGCTTAGTGGAAAAGACATCCGCACCCACCAGCCGCTGACCGGGCTCGAGCCCGCGCTGCTCAGTCGTCGCGGCATGACGCGCACCGACATGGTGCGCTGCAAGAGCTTAGCCGATGAGACGCGACTGCAGGTCGCCAACAAGATGAGCGGCGAGGCCGACGTTGATACGTACTTGTCTGATGACGACGACTTTGAGCTGGGAGGAAAGAGGCAGGGTATCCGCCATGATGGACATCTTGCGGAGAAGACTGAGATTGCCGAAGAGACGGACGAGGGGACGTCTACAGCGGATGACACAGAATCAAGGGACAGTGCCGACTCGTCTGCCTGGACAGTGAAATCTGAGGACAATAACGACAGTGACTATCTGCCGCCGGCCTCGACGAGACGAAAGGGGAAATCATCTGGCGATAATTATGTACCGACGGCCCCGAGGACGCGAAAGCGCAAAGCGGGCGACGAAAATGGGGAGACCCAGACAGCTTCTCTATCTCCCAAACGACAAAAGACGGTATCACCGCCAATCAAAATGGAAAATCTCACGCCGGTGATATTCTCGACAGCACCGCCAGCAGCAGAGGGAAACAGGGCCAGCAATGGGGGTCAATTTCAATGGAGTGTGGACGAGGATTCGGATCTTGACGATGAAGATGATGAAATTGCCCGTCAGGCTTCCTCTCCCGCTATAAGCTTAGGGAACGCCGGGACGCAGCAACGACAAGGAACACCCCAAAGTAGAGCTTCAGCTGTGGATGAAGTGGAGTCAGAACGAGAGGAAGAACTGCCCAGTGACGAGGATGATGAGTTTCACATGAATGTAGCTAAAGTCTACGAAAAGACCATTGTCGAGATTGGGAATAGGTTGGGCCAAACATCTTTAGAATCTCTCGTCGATTACATTTAATACGCTCTATTGTTTTCGCATTGTACTATGATGAACAAAACTACTGACTCCCGGCTACTGCAATATTGCAGGTGTATCGTGTATTTTCAAAAATCCGGATCGGACTCCTCCTATTTACGACATATTAGACTACTTACCGTTAAAGTCATCACTCTCAAAGTGAATGTTAGACTTGGCCAAACCTTGAGAAGGCAATCGTGAGCGAGTCAGATTCGGTTCGTGGAATTGGAACTGAGCCTACTGCCGGAGGGCATATGACCAGGTGGTGATACGGACGGGTTACTCTGATTTGAAGCAGGCGCCGCAGACTTCATGCCGACCCCCATCATTACAGGCGACTGGCCTGGAAGCACTCGCCCCCGTGAGTGATACTATTAGGTACTTTTACGCCTACCTAGAACAATGATTTACTCTGTTCTAGCTATCGTCGGTTTGGATCAGGTCTCTGGCGGCGAACGGCACAGGTACGAGGGTGTGGTTCTGCTTAATGAGAAGGTCAGCGTCAATCCAAGGCAGAGCTTGCAAGTATAAAAAGATACAATCGCCGGGTTTCAGAGACTGTGTAACATGGTATGTTGTCGTCGTAGCTATCTTTTGGATAGCTCTGGTCTAGAGCTAAGTGAATCATCATAAAAGAGGCGGGGGAGGCAAGCAACTGCTTGCCACTTGGTAGAAAGTGTAACACAATGGAAGAACTGGCTTACCTGTTTAATCAATTTGGTGGTGGCTGGTTTCTGTCGCGTTCCGTCTCGCCTGGTGCTTTGTCGGGTTAGTCGTCTGCTGGCCCGCGGAAGTCGCTCGCAACGGACGAGAGCTTGAATCCGGCTTGCAACACACTGCTTTGTTCTCAGACTACTACTACTCGCTACCTCTCACTCCCCCCCTCCGCGCGATCCGTGGACATGCGAGGATCAATGCTATCGCAGCGCGTTTTCCACCAGTCTGCTGTACGTCCCCTCATGTCTTTTTTCCTCGGTGAGTCTCGAATGTTTGCGTTTCAGTCATCGTATCCGGTTCGGATCGTAGGAGGGTGACAGAGAATCGAAGTCCAAAATTGAGGCTGACCAGGCCGAAAGAAAAGATAAAGAATGGGATCAGGTATACAGTTTTCAAAGATGACGCACAAACTTTTTCCTCGTTGCCGCCAGAATCAGAATCCTTCCCCCGTAATGTTTGTCTTCCATTAAAGCGGTCAAGTGCTGGTGGTGGTACAGGATTTCACGCGTAGTAGAATGTCGAAGCCAACCCGGATCAATCCAATAGCGCCAGTTGTTTCGTTCAGAGTGGTCTTTCCATGTTGCGTGCGTTGTATACGTCATGAGTCATGCGAAATAATGCGAAAAAAATACCAGAAGGAAAAGGGTGAGGGAAATTAATGGACACGCGCCCCGTACGCCCAGAAACTCGCAAGAGAATGCGGAAATCCGATGAGTATTGCCAAGATGGAAGGTGTGCTTGTGGGGGATCCAGATTGAGTCGGGAACTTCGCAGTGCCCAAACAGTGTTTAAATGTCGTCAATGAGATGGGTAAACAAATGAGCGAAGAGTTGCGAAACCCTGGATCGTCCGATGAGCCATCATGCTTTTCAAATTCAGACTCACTGTCCGAGTATGACCTCTTTGGGTGTAAAATGGGGGTTTTTTTTGATGGGTGTGCAGATCGTCATGGGCGTTTTCTGACATGCAGGATGCACAGATCACTGATTCATATCGTCGTGGCATGAGTCCCTTATACAACCACCTTGACTTGTCGGAACCGCAGATGCTGTTCGCAGACCTTCTTAGCCAGATTATGCGACGGGAGGGATGGCAGGGGCGGCGACTGCGGGTATGTCGACATCAACAGGAGCGCCCAAGTCGCCGTTGGCGGCCTTCTGAGGGCAGTCTCGAGAGATATGGCCAGCCTCGCCGCATTGGTAGCAGGTCTTGCCAGCAGTGTTCAGGGGTCCTCCGTTGGGCGCAGTACAGTCTCGCGAAATGTGACCCAGCTTACCGCAGGCGTAGCACTTCATGGCTTGAGCCTGGCAGTCGCGGGCAAAGTGGTTGGGACCGCCGCACTTGTAGCAGGTGGCAGGGCGGGGGCCACCGGTGAAAGCACCACGTGCTCCGAAGCCACCTCCAAATCCACCGCGACCGACAGGTGCACCGCGGCCCACGCCAGGACCGACACCAGCACCAGCAGGGTTAGGGCAGGATCGAGCCAAGTGGCCGGGCTGGCCACAATTGTAGCAGCGGCTGCTGGTACCAGCACCGCTCAGGCGCAAAGTAGGGCAGTCTGCCTGCACATGGCCGAGGCCTTGGCAATGGTAGCACTGCTTGGCCTCGGTAGTGCGAGGAAGAGGGCACTGGTTAGACTCGTGTCCTTGAATCGAGGATCAGCAGGTTGCGGCATTACATGGACGTATTACTCTCATACCTGGCTGCTTGCAGTTGTAGCAGAGGCGCTCCGCAGAAGAGCACACCTCGGCGTAGTGGCCGACGTTGCCACACTTGTAACATGCGCGACGCGATAGAGACGACATGGCTAGCAGTGTATGAGTCTGTTCAGTTCCGTCATCAGCACGACACTTCACGTAAGCTTGATCTCCAACTGTCCACTCCTTGATGACCCGTTTGCAGCGGTGTGGTAGGCCGGTGTGGTTGCCCCGGTCCTGGTCCAGTGGAAGCGATTCTTCAGTCGACGTCGCCGACATGATATTGACCAGTCCTGCTAACAGTGAAGACTTCTTCTTGCCTGTATTTGAGCCAATGTCGCAAGTGTTGTGCATGTGTCCTAGAGGCCGGAAACGCACCCCACGAATACTTTTTGACCGTGACCGGTTCAATGTGGGTGTAAACGATGCTGTCGCACAACGGCAAACGGACCAAGTTTTCTAGAACCTGCAGGGTGCATGTACAAGTAGCACAACAAGCCCATTTTGCTGGCCCAACTCGTTTTCGCAAGCCGTACGGTCCTGTTGGTTGTGGCATCGCACAATGAGGTGCCAGGACATGGCGATTGCGCATTTGGGTGATATGGCCACATTGTCAACAGGCCGACATACATCCATGTGTCGGTGTGAGGCGCGCAATTGTAACGATTCGTTCGGTCCGGGTCTTGGATTTCTCGGCGTGTGTTTCGAAGGCAAGTCCAGTGTTGTATTATCCAGCTGAGCAAAAAGCACACTATTCCGCGGATGCGACGAAAGTGTTTGTCGCGAGACACAGTAGGGTCGAGTCGATACGTTTGGATGCTGTCGCAAGTAGCCCTCAAGGTTCCCAGCGACAGGCGCCAAGTGGAACAGACATTGAGTTGCGTCTGACTTTGGGTCCACGGACTTCCTTTCAGTGGCGACAGGCACCGCACAACCGGCAAACGGGTTCTTGAAGCGTTGAAAAACGCAGACGCAGAAAAAAATAGAGACCCTCTTAAGGTTAGGTACTCACCTCTTTCAGGAACCTTCCCAGATAATCGGTAATCCTTCAACTTTCCTGACCGCATGAACAACCTTCGCTTCTTCCTAGCGACGACGGCACCGAATCTACAACCACCAAATAGAAGTGTGATATTCGACGAGAGACAGAGGATGTGAGAAGGGGGAAAGAGGAGGAACGAGCGACCGGAAAGAGGAGAAGGGAAAAGTTCAAGAAAACCCAGCGGGCAAGACCCAGTGAGCTTGCAGGGAAGGAAGGAGCAAAACTTTGTGGACCCGCACGGGCTAATGGCTCCTGGTGTACAAAGCAAAGACTTGCCTCTTTGCTGGATTTGCTTATTTAGAACTTTTCAGAGGCGCCAATCAAGCCCTGTCCAGCCCTGTCGGCGCGGCTTTAGCTGCCAAATTGCTTGATTCCTGCGACGCCGCTTATGTACCTGACAGGTAGCTCGGTCCCCTCTTCGCCTAACGTCTGACGATGACTTCGCTTTTCGAACCCTCGAGTACCCACTTTCGCATTTCATCACCGGCAGGAACCACCAGGAACTAGCAGAAACCAGCAAGAACCCCTGCCCAAAGACTTCTGCTACGCATTACTTCTGGCATTTTGCACCTGCTGACCCAGTGCGCTAGCTACTTATATACACGTAGCACATTCCTGCACTTAACTTAGCGAAAGCCATCCCTCGTCCCTTCAGCTCCCCCTGTGGACATTTACTTTCTCTGTCTTCAGAGTTCGTCGAGCGAGTCAAGACACGACGAAGCTGCAAACCTTGTACACTAAAGCCTCGGGCATTTGAGTTTTCACCATGTTACAAGCCCAAAGGCATGAGCTGAACGACAGCGAATGCATCTCAATTTGGTCTCCCGAGGCTTGCGAGGGGCATATCTGGGAAATCGGCCCAAGTGCGCCCCACTTGATTACATCGTGGGCCAGAACCTGGAACAACGATGATGCAGTAGAAAGAAATTTCAGCAGCGGCCTTACCACGCCTCCTCTGTTTCCAGGTATCTACGCATGAATTCGGACGGGCTACACAAAACACTCAGCATTGTTTAATTATTTCTGGCTTACTGGTGCAGTGAATCGGGCAACAAGTTTCAACTTTGCGCGCTTCCCCGCCGCGCGATCAAATTCCGAGTAGTTTCCAAACCCCTGTTCTGCCAGACCAATGACATAGCCGTCGCAAAGCAAGCTCGGAAGCCCAAAAACGAGCCAAGCGGCTGCACGTTGGTTGGTCCCAAATGTGACGATCCGTTGGAAGCAAGAGCCGAATTGAATACCATACTACACACACAAAGGGACAGGCGGCTACAAGTCAAAACTTCGCCACATCTTCGGGAAATCGGGTTAACTGCCTCAAAGGGGAAAGCCCGTACCAGATATGTGTAATAATTGCATTAAAATTGAGTTGCGCCTCGGTACCGTCAGTTGTCGTTCAGCAAGCAGCTGACAGCCTAATGTCAACGGTGCAGGGGCGGCAAGCTCCAAGCGAACAACAATCTCCAGGATGCATACTCACTAGCAACCCGCCTGTCGCCCGAAATGAATATCACATCATCCAGCATCCAGCACGTGGCGCCTAGTGTGTCCATGGACCCGTTCTCACTTGGTAGAGAAATCCTTAAAGACGCCGGGGCACCCCATGCAAACACAGATAAGCTGACACGGCCAGCCCACTCGTATCACTGGCTTTTAGGCTTCTTGTCGGTTTCTGTGTGAAAGTCAGCTTCATACTCATAGTGCCTCAACATTGTTGCGCTGTTATCTTATTCTCCCGGTCTCTGATATCTACAGAGAATGACTGGACTAGTTCTGCCCTCGAACCCTGTTGCTAAGCTTGCACACATAGTATCCAGCGGTTAGACCACTCGAAAGGGACGATAGTTCCATCTTCCGTGCCTGCATCCAGTTTTCATTCTCAGTTAGAGCCATAATCGTGCCAAGTGTAACACGCTCTCACTACTGGCTTGTTGAGTGATACCTCAATGTGGAAATACAGGACGAAGGAACGTGGAGCGAGGTAACATTTAGCGACATTATCAATGTTAGAACATGTAAATGGTATATTCGCCGAGCAAGTGCTGTTGTAAATTGCAACATCCAGAATGTCTTTGTCGTTCTGCTTGAAAAGTAGTTCCACACAATTTATCTGGATCTGGAGAGTTCGAGTATAACATTAATATCACCCATCATTCGACGATATAAGGCGGTTTAATTGCTTTGTGCTAGGAGTATAAGAAACGATTGGTGATGGAAATCCCCCTTTATAGCACAAGTTGCATTATTTGCTGACGTATGACCTAAGCAAGAAAGGTTCGAGTCATCCCCTGTTCCCGGCTCCTCCAAGTTCCAACACTGGCGGTCTTTGATTCTCTGATTGTAAGATCACAATGATAGAAGGCAATGACACTCCAAGCCCAGACCTTTGTAATGGGCATCCCGCGGCAAACCTTGTATACACTATCAGAGCTCATGCCCGCTCGTTCCCAGACGAACAAAACCAAGGTTTGTCAACAACTCATCAACCAAAAGAGTGCCAGCGATAGGACCACGCCCACTAAAGAAGAGAGAAACTCAGAATGTTTGCCATTACCGACGCGTTTGTCCGTGTAGGAATCAATTTGTGGCCCCTTTCCCTCAAAAGACAGCAGTGTTTACACTCTATCCTCGAGCTTTCGCCCCGTATCCATTTCTTGCAGTCTATTTCACGAGAGTTAAATTTCGATGTAGCACGGTTTCAAATATGATTTCTCTGTACTCCCAGACATATGAAGCAGATCTCAGCACCTATGATCAATAAGAGTCAGACACTTGTGCAGTGCTCGTCATCTATTGAACTGTTCTTCATTTATAGACTGCGCAACTCTCAGCTAGCTGAATTGAACAGCACAGATGTAATGTGGCAGATCTCCTTGTACACGAGCTCAACTTTGGAACAAAAATGTCAACGATACACCGCCTCTAAAGTGGTACAGACACAAGGTACGGAACATATAACATACTATAGACATTGTGGCAGTTAAGAAGTTCTGATAGTTACAAGTTCAGCTTATGATGCGTCACACTATATCACATTCAGTTCTGGACATCTGCATCCTTCGTTCCGAGTCACCCCTTCTTTCATCTCCTAGACGGACAACATCTACCCCAATCATTTGCCGCATCCTCAATGATTGGGGATGGAAAAGCTCCCCAGAAAGGCCACAGACAACCCAAACGCGAACAAGACGTACCACCATATCACCTTGTCCACCCAAGCCGCATTCTGCATTGCCAGCCGCTGTTAGTAGCCAAAGAGATACACTTTATCAACGCCGCGCACCTCTTGAGCAAGGGTTATGCGACAGCCATTGCACTCATCACCCCATGTGCCGAGAATCTCCTTGGGGTTCTTCATGTCATACTCATATAGCTTACCCTTGTGGCCGAGGTAACAGGGCCAGCCCAGAAAGACTCACTACCAGCGTGCGCAATCGTACGGGTGGTAGCCGAGTGGGAAGTTGACAACGTCCATTTTAAATTGCCTTGATTGTTTCAATTTCATACAAGTCGAATTATAATAGTGTGGAGTCGCGATGCTAACAAGATATTTAACTAACAATTAAATAGTTGGTAGACTTTGCTAGGATTTGGGGCTAGATATAGGAGCGTATGGTTCCTTGCACACTTGAATACTGAAAAAAAGTCTTTGGTTTCTGAGATAACAACACCACCGTGGTGGTACAAATACTGCTTTCTCGTGTCCGAAAAGGGGAAAGAAAGGGGGTTTACAACTTTCGTATCTCCATACATGTGAAAATCTTGAACACGAACATAACTCGTTTGATATATAAGTGCAATGCCGTAAACTAACCTAATGGGGTAGAGGGGACGAGAGTAATGGAAGGGATGATGCAATGCTCTGCTTCATATAATATGTTTGATATAACCGACCTATGTAGCGGAGTGACATCTCATATCTGATTGTTAATGTTCAGAATAGCTACATTCCAAAACGAAACATCCACATCCTCGGTTTTATCTCAGCTTCATAATATACTGAAATAACAGGAGGGCATAAATAGATACTCAATGAGTATCGGGGTGTAAGAAATATACCCCATAGTCCATTATCCCCATATCTGTGCAAGTTTCAACTTCTCATCACAACTATTCATAATTGAAACACAGCCCCTTTCAAGTAAATCTAGTACACGATATGGGTGAAAAATCCTCTTCACATAGTAATTTCTCTGCCTGTACCAACTATAGAGCATACAACACCCACTGCAGAAAAAGTGCCAACTGCCTACGTCTCAAAGCGACGACCCACCACTATCAGAACTACGGTCCTCCCATGGCAACACCAATTCCAGTCAATCCCTACGTATCCTTACCGGTGCGATTATCATGGTATTGTGCTTCGTTATACTCCTATGGCGTATTTGGAAGTTAATTTATTGGTTGGCGCTACGTTGCGGTGTGATGCATCGGAGGAATCAAGTACGGTTTGATGATTATAAAGCAGTAGTGTGAAACCAATGTGCTAATCCTGGTCAGGTGCCGAGACCGAATGGAGACAACGAAGTTACAGGAAAGGGGTATATATGGTACGGATCGTCCAACTAGAGAGTCGAAGGTAGACACCCATTCATGAAACCCCGATATCATTCTGTTTTGTACGTTATCAACAGAAGTGTTTCTGCTGGCGAACGAATTCAACTCAATGGTAATACCTCAAAATTTGTATAGGGCGTTTGGTAGTACTTTGGTCTTTGTTCTTTGCTGTTGATCGGACTGATCAATCACGGAATTTATACGGGACAGAACAACTACGCATTACGCTTAGACATGTATGAATATGGTCTCTATCATAGACGACTCTATACACACCGCGCCTTCTCACGCTGTCTTTGTCCCTTTACTCTCTGAAACTCGCCATTAAGCCTCCTCTTCACCGTTTCCCTGCGCAACTTCTCCCGAATTCTCAACATAGAGCCAGACGTAGAAGCAAGCAGATACCTCGAGCAGTTGTTGACTAAAATCCATCTGCCCCAACGCCGCCGCACCAATGCAGTGTGATGCAATGCTCGATCCTGATCTGACCGAATCTACCAACTCCCAAAACCCTCCAAATAAATACATTCATATGCGCCCGACTTTCTTTTTGCGACAAAACAAATACACGCACACAGACTGATAGTCTTACTGATACGACACAACTGTTTTACATCACCCCCGCCACAATACTCTTTCGTTCCCATTCGGCTGTGTCCGTCAGCCTCCCGGCCTCTACCTTGCAGCGAGATGCCCACCCGCCGTCACTCTCTCGGAAGGGTGCGGAGGCAACGGCACATCACCCAACGGCACCACGCTTCTCGGCCGCGCCTCAACCACATACTCGACACCGTCCTCACTAGCGTAGCTGGGCGGACGATTCGACGTAGCTGGCCGACCATCGTCAGCAGAGTCCCACTCGCCATTCTCAGGCGTAGCTTGGTCGTTGCGCTGCCAGTAGATGCGGTTCGGATCAACTCTCTGTTGTCTTGGTTAGTATTACCTCTTCGACGCCCAAGTCGAAGGACAAGGATGTTCAGGGATACATACCACGCTCTCCCTCCAGAGCCCGTACGCGGGCGGCTGCAGTTTGGTGGTCTCGCTTTCCATCCCAGCTGCCTCTTCGTCGCGCGCTAGAACGACTCGGATAGGTCGTCGGGGGATGGCGTACCCGCCCGGTCCAAGCATCTGTGGCAAACTGCTGCGACTTCGATCATCTTCCAATGAGGGTGGTTTTACTACCAGCATGCACAACCGGATCAGACCGTGACAGAAAACAATGGTAGTGAAGAGTATGACAAGGATGAGGAGCACGGTAAACTCTGAGTTGTTGATATTCTTTGTTATGCTGAGTGCAAGGTCTGTTTCACTTTGGATTAGCTGAATGGACATAGACCTGGGAAGTAGATGTACAAAAGGGTGAGATAGGAAAGCGGCAGGTGTTCCGAGGCAATGGGCATCATGACGTACAAACTGTTAATAGCAGCGTCAGGAAGATGCCGCTGACAAAACACCGAAGGACCTGCGTGCGTGTACGTCTGGACTTAATCCACGGGAAGCAGAAGAGGAACCTCTTAGGTTTTTCCGTCCCGTCACGTCTCCCAGACCGACGTGATCCATCCGAGTGCCCACGCGCTCGACGACGTCTCCCCGTCTCGGCCAGATCGGCAAGATGCATCTCAGCGGGGTCAGCACCCCTGAACCGCCTGCCCGAGTTGATGCTGCCCCGCGAGCCATGACGCTGGTGCGCTGTCGGCGGTGGTCCCACTATTACGGGGACTTGTTCCGTGCTGGTATGTGGCTGGGACGTACGGCCTGATTCGACGTGGTTGGATCGTGGTGGCGACGTCTGGGTTGATGTGGATGCACCGGAGCTCTCTTGGGTCCATGCTTGCGAGATATTGGGCAGATGAGGGCGGGTCGACGACATCGTCGGTCTTGCCAAGTTGAATCGTGGAGTCTTAGGACTGTCCGTCTCGGTGCCGTGCGTATTCCTCCTCTGTAGCACTAGTCGTCGGCTGAATCGTCCGGCTGGACCACCCAAGCCAAGCGAGAAACCGCGGGAACGAGCGCGAATCCGTCCCTCGTCTTCCCTCATTTCCGGCAGACGCTGCTGCTCTATATCGTCATCCTGCTCATTCGACGTCCCGCCCCGTCGCAGGATGTTGGACCTGAGAAAATCCATTTCGCGTATAGTTCAGCCAAGGTGTAGGCTCCGAAGCGTTGTAAGGAATGTCACCGATAACCTGGGCTGTGCACGCTTTTGTTCCACCACCTATGAGCCTTCACAGCAACGACCAAAACCAACGGCGAGACGCGTCCTGTGGGTGTCCAGATCGAGTGTAAACAGTCGAACTCTTGTTGAATGCGAAGTGATATTCGAGCTGAAAGTCAAGCGAGACCGCGTCTTGTGTGTTGCCTTGTTTTACTTCCGTGTCTATCTTTCCTGTTTCAAGCTCAACAGCTCCGAACGAACCAATTTCGGGCCAGGATTAAGTGAGAGTGCAGATGTGGCATATGTCTTGGATTTCGGTAAGGTGGTCGATTGGGTCCAGCCAAAAGGGGAAACGAAGGAATGGAGTCCTGATGGTGCAAATGAACCAACACAGGGCCGTTGAATGGAAATAATTAGGTCAAATGTTGGACTACCAGAGCCAATCTACCTGTTCAAGAGGTGAACGAAGGCGAGAAGAAGAGCCGGTTGCACAAACAAATAGTGTCGGGTGGCCGAAAAAGAGTCGAGATTAGTTTGACGGCATCGAACGAGCCAAAGAGAGGGTTAGGGAAAATATGACACGAGCCCAAATGTGATCAGTCCCAAACGAACGGGAGACACAGACTCAGAAAACTCCCAGTGGGGGGAGGGAAAGTCTGGTGAGAAGAGGTAACCGTCACCGGTCGTGGTGATGGAACCTGAGGTACGAATACAGGAAAAGAAAGGTTAGGTAGGGAACGTAGTGATGTGCTGGGTGGGTAGGGAAAGGCAGCGTAGACGTCAGGAGCGTTTGAGAGTCGAGTCCACCCAACGAACACATTGGACGAACCCACGGACAATGGCCAGACTCCAGGGGACGCAGGGCAATGATCTCCTAGCGGTCTCACCTATGGGCTGAGAGCGTACTTCGTAGACCCAATCGAGAAAGACCGCGAGACTCCAATAATGGATGCAACGCTCTGCCCTATGAAGCATTGAGCAGGCTAGGTCACAATGGCTTCAAAGATGTGAAATCTCGCGTCGACGCGACACGGAGCCGCCTGGGTGCTTGAAATCCCTCGCTCTGGCGCGAATCCTGCACTGTCCTGCACAAACCGTCAGGCACCCGAGGTAGGGGATAGGCGCAGAAGCAACGCCTTCTGTGACAAACTGGCGGATGACTGCAAGCATGAGACAGGAGACAGGGATGGCGCCGGCTTGGACGGTTTCGGAATTTGCAGGGTTCCCAATTAATTGAGTAGCGGAGCATGCTATGCCATTTAGGGTTGCCATCAGCGAGCTGAGGCCAATAATGCAAGGGTACGGGCCGCGGCTAGCAAAATGCTTGAGAGGGGAAGTACGCAGTACCTTGTACTTACTAGTTTCCCTCTTTGACCACGACCGGAGTAGTGTGTTGCGCATTCAAATATTTATCAACGCCCACGAAAACCAGCAGGTTTCTAGGATTAGACGCACTCGCACAGTCCGGAGTTTGGGGCACGTTGGCTTCATTTAGTTGGTATTTGGCACCTGGGCCACTCCGACATTGGGAGCTTGGAGCCCTGGAACGGTTCGGCACCTGCAGTTCTTCTGCTCTGTGGCTGTTACAATTGCCCACGTAACACGATGGGATGTTGGTGACAACACTGGTGTTGAACCATGCGGCAAGCGCCTACTATATACAACCGTCTTACCGCTGTCAATGTTTCAACCGCCCACATAGACAACCCGCCCCCAGGCTTGAGCAGACAAGGCCAGACTACTGATGCCTAGACCAGTGTCTGTTCGAGTCAGTCAGAGGCCGGAGCGGCCACAGCTCTTTATAAACTCACGCGGAGACAGTAAAATGTTTCACAGGTCACGGAACTGAGGGCTTAGATATTCTTCCGGGATGTCTCCTGGAGACTTAAAGGTAATTGTTTAACTTCCTTTCCGTTTTGCTCCGAGTTTGTAGCATCCAATTTCTTTGCTCCTCAGCCCTGACTCAAGGTATGCAGGTGTCTTTTCCCGCATTGTGTGCACGGCATGGATGCGATACGTCCCCTCTATATGCCTCGGCATTTTGGGATTACAACGTCTTTGTCGACATTCTCAATTGTGACAACCCTGTTGATAGTTCATCATATACACCCACTGACGAATATGTCTCCAATCTCAAATGTGGGAATGACCGCTTGGGTCTCCAAATTTGAGGCTACTGGCAGACAAGTTCCTTTGGCTTGGGCCAGTTGTTCGCCCAGATCTTTTGACTGGGCGCAGTCGCGTACGTGGTGGCGGAAATGCCCAATTGCCACGTCCAAAAAGTTACAGTTCGTGCGCGCCTCGACTCTTCATCGCAATTCGCCAAGCAGCATTCGACGATCTGAAGAAGCAGAAAGGACTGCTAGAATGTTAGCAGACAGAACGAGTGATTCAAAGATGTTGGACGACTTACTCATGGGTTGTTCGTTAGTCGCAAACTCGGCGCAATTCACAGCGCCCTTGTGCCCAGGAAGCTTGTATAGTAGCTTCCCGTTGTCGGCGCCCCAGATGACCACGGTGCCGTCGCCAGCGCCCGCCGCGATTTTCTTCCCAAGTTTATCCCAACTTGCGCGAATCAGATTCTTTTCGATACCCATTTGTGCACCGTCGAATGTGCGGATATGTCGTTCGGTGGGCGCAAAAGGTCGGATATCCCACGTCTTTGCCGTTGAGTCATGCGAGTAAGACAGCAGCGATTGCGCATCTGGTGACACACGCAAGCTAGTCACCGTATCGCTGTGCCCAAGCATAGAGTACACGACGGCCTTCTTCCGCATATCCCATACCTTGATGTCGTTATCAATGCCACCAGAGTAAATCTCGTTTCCGGCTTCCGATATGGCCACAGCCGTAATGGGGAATTCCGTCTCAATATAGTCGGCTGCGTTCTTGGTTCGAGGGTCCCAAATGCCAATGGTTCCGTCATCACTACCGCTGATTAGGAGCTCTTCCCCGCGCTTACTGGTGTCTAAAGCATTGATGATTTCCTCGTGTCCAACATAGCGTCGAATCCGTTGGCCCGATGTCAAGTCCCAACTTGCTAGATGCATATCGGCGGATGCCGAGAAGAGGATCTCCGAGTCGCGGGACCATTGCAGATCCAATACCGCCCCTCGATGTCCGGTCAAAATGCCGTAGTTTTCGCAGTCGCCATTCGAACGCCATAGTACTGTGTCCGTGTGAGCTGTCACCCACGCTCGGAGGAAGGTAAAACAAACATCCCGAAAGGGGGAAAAAGACGTACATATACTCCGGTCCATAGACCCAGAGGCGATAAGGTGGCCCGTGGGATCAAACTTGGCTGAGAAGATTTCACCAGAATGACCAGTAAGTTCCATCAACGGCGCATCGAGATCGCTTGTTCGCGGTGCCTGAAACAAAATCATATCAGCATTGCAACTAATTGTAGGCGCGCTGGCTGTGGGAAGCACCATACCGACTGAATGAGAGCACCGGTCGAAGATGCATCGCGATGGGCAAGCGCGGTGCTAGTTCCAGGCTTCTGTCTCTTGACCATCAGTTGGCTGCCTGGGTCGTCGGATGGCCTTCGAGGTCGTTTATCAGCCATGGTTGCAGGCTGGATGTGAAAACAGCAAGGTTTGGAATGAGAACAAACTGTTCACGTAAATGGTGAACAGAGAGTACGAAGGTGAAAGTTTGCAGGAGTTGAAGAATAGCGCGTCAATACCTCCATAACCGCTTCCATCAATATTGAGCTCCAACCGTCAATAGGCCGACGAAAATATATCGGATCATGAGATGTTCCAGCCGGCAAGTTCAAAGTCGGCCATAACATGACAGCTCCAGATGCTGTCATGCCCCGCCAGTCGCGTTTCACCGCCTTGATTTTGCCAACCTCAATCGATAAGAACAGAGGCATGGCACCCTGCCTGCCTTCATTTGACGGCCATCTCAAATTCCGACAGACAACCAAGGCAAGCAATCTCCAGCTTCTTCGCAAGCTCCAGTAAAGCCATTCTCATCCTTTAAGTTGTTCAATGACCTGAAGAAACCACTCTCAAGCTCGGGAATCGAGCATGTCCTCCAACAAAGCAGCCCGAGTGGGCGAAGAGTGAGTCTCAATCTTGAACGAGAAATGAGACGGCAACCTAAACTGACATTCGTAGGATCTGGAAGTAGGTGATGTGCTATCTCTTATCGCTAGACCCCTCCTTCCGAAATCGAAACATCATCTCACAGGCACTCGAACAGAGGTCGCATCGACAAGGTCAACGCCGAGCTCGTAACCCTGACGTACGGCACCATCGTCGCGCAGCTATGCAAGGACTTCGAGGGCGACTATGTCGAGGTGAACAAGCAGCTCGACAAGATGGGCTACAATATCGGCGTACGCCTCATTGAAGACTATTTGGCCAAGTCCAACTCGATGCGACGCTGTGCCAATTTCCGCGAGACGGCTGAGGCAATTGCCAAGGTATGTCTTGTCTGCTTTTTCTTTGCCGGGATAACATGTGCTATGACCGCATGGACGACGGCTGATGATTTGGCTCCAAGATCGGGTTCAAGATATTTCTCAACATAACGCCCACTATCACCAGCTGGACCAACGACAACAAGCAGTTCTCGCTCGTCTTTGAAGAGAACCCGCTGGCCGACTTCGTCGAATTGCCCGACGACGGACGCGCGCAGGACGAGTTGTGGTTTTCCAATATATTTTGTGGCGTTTTGCGCGGTGCGCTCGAGATGGTGCAGATGCAGGTTGAGGCACATTTCATCAGCGATGTGCTGAGAGGGAATGATACCACGGAGATGAGAGTTAGTCTGATACGGTATATCGATGATGAGTTGCCGCCAGAGGACGATTAGGCGTGAGTCCTGGAGTGGCAAGGGTCGAAATGTACGATGAGTTGATGGCAAGGAATACCACTTGCAAGCAAGCCAAGATGGCATTTCTGTCAACATGTGGTCGTCAACCCCGGGGGTTTGAGCCAATGTGGCACAATAGTTTTGCAGGGATGGAGATCTCAAGATCTTCCCTGCCGTGCTGCTGTCTGCCTCGATGTAATGTTCAAAGACCTTCACTAATAAATGCGCACTTGATGCAATCTTGAAACATAAAGACAACGTCGGCCGACTTCAGTCTGTTGTATTCGTGTCTCGGCGGAGACGGCAGGGACGGCAGAGAGCGTAAGCTTGAGCGGGATGCGCCGCTGTCTCCTGCTGCCGGCCCCCGCTCCGCTCTCCCGCTCTACCGCCCATGTTCCGCAGACTGCCGGCTTCGTGCAGGGGGCGCATGCAGCAGTTCCAAAGCGGGAACCGCGACACGTCTGATTTGAGATCGGATTGACCTCGCAGGAAACTAGTGTAAATCTAGATGTGAGAGAAGATGTATGAAGTAATCAGGTAATGAGGGACCGCATCAGTGGGTTCTTGCTGATGCGCACAGGCACGTCGTACCTGCGTTGGGCGACGCCGGGCGTGGCGTTTTCTCCATTTCCTCATCAAATAAAAGCGCCGAATCAGGAATAAGAAAATTTATTGAAAACGATTGACAACTAGTAACAATTGTTGGAAATGTGCGATGCCTTACAGCGGGAACTATTTTCATAAAGCAGTCCATTCCCACTCTGCAGGGTTGACTGCAACTCACTAGTTCCACGGAAACAAATCCTTACATTACTTCATTACCCCAGATCGTGAGCAAGGTTCGCGCGGTCGACCGGTGGGGGAATGGCAATTGGACACCTGGACTAATGCGTAGATCTTCCACGATACTTATCATAATACTGGGCCGGCTAGCTGGAATGAGATTCGTCTACTGCAAGACATAGGAGTTGCAATGTCACATTAATTACAAACCACATTCTCATACGAATACATGGAGTGATCCTTTAGATGCAATGAACACGCGGTAGCATGTCAAGAGGGCGGTTGACTGGCTGTTAGTTCCCATCATGAACAGGTAAGCCGAATAATATAACATTGTCTCTGTCCACCATGAGGGTGTGCCACATTCACAAAGGCACTCTCGATGGTGCCGTGGTTGTGACGAAGGCTGTCAGTTTTTGTTTTGACTGAGAACTCAAGGCGGCTTCCCATACGTAGGCAATTGGTATGGGGCGGTTATGATGATTTACAGGTAACCATTTTTCGAAGAGGGTATACAACATTGAAAGTATCGTGATTTCCAAGTTCATATTCTCAGTTGCACTCGCAATTACAGAAATGGAGTCAACCATCGTATTACTTCTAAGTTTAATGAAGCAAAATTTTCACCGTTCGTCCAGAATTGATCATAACCAAGGGGAGGAGAGAGAACTGGGTCGAATCGGTCTTCAGTGCGGTCTTCCTATCATCGCGCGGAATAGGAGATAGGACGTGCATCGAAACCAACACCAGGGCCCTTCAAGTTTCTGGTAGTTCATTATGTCCGTCCCAAGTTCATCAAAATAGTTCTGTCAAGCATTCAGAAAGTCTGACAGCGATGACAACAGGCTCGAATCATATTACCGACTTGAGCAATCAGGTCGTTTTGCTTTCGTCTATTGGTCTAGACTCCCGTGCCCTGATATGTGACGACGCAAAAGTCCTACGACGTAGCTATCCACCCATCACGATACTGCGTTGCGGGCTGAGAGTTGTTCCCTCCGGGTTGGAGGTGGTGATGTATCAAACTCCAAATCCCCAGGCCGGTTTACGCCACAGCCCATGATGGTCGACAGGCTTATCTGCTTAAGAAGATGAAATTCTGGCCTGGAAGGAGACAGACAGAGCACACTAGACAATATACAGTGCAATACCAGCTTTTCCTCGGATTCCTGTCATGGCACTATCGTTCTTGTTCAACACCACGTTTATCAATAATTGGAGAACTATCTCCGTACGCGCCAAGACTTGATGCCTTAGCGGCCTGAAATTGGGTTGTAGCAGTATGAGAGGTACGCGTGCAGCCCTCGCCAACGACATACAAAAGCAGCGGCGCGCCGTTCTGACATATTCGCCTAAGTCGGGCCGTGCCCATCTAGTGACCCAATGCTTCTGAGACTGAGGTCCCCCCATTTTGCAACCAAGCTTTTGCTCCCCCAATTCATCACGTCCCCCAGGGCTCCTTGGACGACCAGCAATTCCTCCCACCACATCTCGAACCTCTTGCTTCGCTGGCTATTTGAATGTCCCTATCGACGCAGCCCCCGTCCGCGATCCCGACTTCGCCTCATTGGCTTCCCGTTGTGGGAGAGGAAGACAAGCGATACTACAGACGAGAGGCGCTGTGGTAGGAGTAGGCAGAAGCAAGAGCTGGAAGTGCCTGTGTGAGAGAGCGAGTGAGCCCAGATACACCGACGAGAGCAAGGCCAGAATAGAGAGCGAGGGAGCTTCGCATGCGTTGCGCTTTCTCGAACTTCTGACTGTCTTATCTTTATTTTCATTTGTTTTCTTGCCCCATCTGACTTACACACACTCGTTGGCTGGGTTTTTGATCCTCAGCGATCGAGCTGTGTTGTTTGTTGGAGTTGGAGTTGTCGTCAATCTCATATCCAGCCCGCTACCACCACCTCTCCTGTGCATGGTCGACCCAGCCCCCGTGGTCCATTCTCATTAGGAGTCCGCCGCCGCCCCGACTTCAGCATCCAAATCCAACTATTACTGCATCACTCCCCACGCGCATCACGCTCAGCCTGATAATACTCGACCAGAGAGTTGATATTATCCACGCTTGTGGAGAATCTCGACTTTCTTTTATCAAGGTTTGGACGACGTTGCGTTCCCTGTCGTCGCGCCGCATATCGAAATCGAAAATCAACCACGGCTACCCGAAACCACACGCCATTTGCCCACTTTCGGTCGGTCCCTGGTCTGGATTCACCCGTGTCGCGACTGACTTCTCGAATTCCCACGCTTCAATCAACCACTACCCCCAACTTCACTGGCTACTTCTTCGGTGCACCCCGTCCCAATAATAATCCCTGGGTCACCTGTATAACCCCGTCATTTTTGGCCTCTTGTTTGTTGGTTTCGCTCTTGTCTGCATCTGCCTGCCCTTTTTGTTTCGTCGGTTGGTGAGAGACATTTGTCGAAAAGAAGGCAGGGCACCACCGCCTCGTTTTTTTTCCGCCGCCACGCTCGCCCACGCTTGCTCCAGTGTCACCGACCCCCGAGTGAATCAGTCGTCCTCCGTCCCTCACTGGCCCCATCAGGCAACATCGTCGTCTCGTGTCGCCGCCGCCCGACCAAGAAAAAAACAAATACCACAATCTCGTCGGACCTTGCAACTGTCACGTCACGTCACGTCTCACCACTTATCGGCTTTTCCCAGCGTTCCGACCCGAGCGCCTCCCGTCGACCACGCGATCGACGTCGACCCATCGAAACTGATCCACTCAATTTGTCGACACTGACTGAAAGCTCCTTGAGCGCAAGCAGACGTTGTCTGCCAACATGAACGTCGGCAACATACCCAACATGAATGCCATGGGTGGCCCTGTGGGAGGCGGAGGTCCCATGCCCATGCCGATGAACAACGGCGCAATGGCCCAGGTACAGCAAACACAACAAGCACAGCGACCCGAACCGAACCACAGGACCATCCTGAACACCTACATCTACGACTACTTCCTGAGGGAAAACATGTTCGACTGCGCGCGCGCCATGCTCAACAGTAACCAGGAGATCAACGTCGCCAAAGACAGTCCCGGCCGCCGCCGCGACGAGAACGGAAGTGTGGGCAACGGGCTCGGCGACGCTCCCATGGATACGGATAGCAAGGACGATATGGACTCAAAACGACCCAACGACCTGCCCGCCCCAAACCTTCCCGCGTCTTCCGACAGCTGTTTCCTCTACGAGTGGTTCTGTCTGTTCTGGGACATGCTTGGCGGACAACGTACCAAGCAGGCCAGCAACCCACAAGTGAATCAATATATTAATTATACACAGGTAGTTCACCTCCAGTCAAAGTCTCGAGTAGGCGCGTCGTTTCTGACAATGTATGTAGCAACAATCACGGTTAAAGTCGACGGCCCAGCAGGATATGCTTCGCCAAATGCGACCAGATGGGCCCAACGGCATGCAGTTCAACCCTATGGTGCAACGCATGCCAAACGGCATGGCTATGAACGCGAAGCAGAACAACCTAGCAAGGACAGCCATGGCCAACAACCAAAAGTTTGTGATACCTCTGCGAAGCGACTGCAAAAGGACAGGCACTAACTGAAGTAACTCCAGTCCCCAAGCCATGCAAATGCTCCAGCAAAAGCAGAACCAGATGCAGCGTGATCCGTCGGATATGGAAGGGAACAACCGCCGGCCAGCATCTCCTGGGTCCAATGACAACGCGCCGTCGCCGAGCAAGAGACCACGACTCGACGGCAATACCCCGTTCAACCCCCAACAAGGAGGCATGATGAACAACGCGCGGCCGCAGCAAGCCATGCCGGGGCAGCAACAGGTGGGCATTGGCCCCAACGGAGCAGCGTCGCAAACTCAGCAACTGCTCATGAGTCACGGAATCAACCCGCAAACGCTGACTCCTCAGCAGTTCCAAAACTTTGCAAACCAGCCCGCCCAAAACCAGCAGAAATCCATCCAGGCGTATGCTCAGAATCTCCAGCAACAACAAGCCCAGCAGATGCCCAACAAGGTCATGCCAAACCCGGGTGCCCCTCAAGGACAAGGCTCGCCCATGATGGCTCAGGGGCCCAACAGCGCCGAGCTGACCAACTTCTACAACCCTGGTGACATGCCCGGCAACGGCGCCATGCGACCAGGGCCCGGCGGTAATGGTCAAGGGGGTGGTAGCAATCACGCACTGCAGGACTATCAGATGCAGTTGATGCTGCTCGAACAGCAGAATAAGAAGCGCTTGATGATGGCCCGGCAGGAACAGGACAGCCTGGGCGGCTTGCCCCGAGGTGATGGACCGGCCGGACCTGGAGGTCCCGGCGGCCCCGGTGGACCCAACGGCCAACCATTCGCCGACGCATCGCCCCAGGCACAAAGGCCAGGCGCCTCTCCGAATCCGAGCGAGCAGATGAAGCGGGGTACCCCCCAAATGAACCCAGCCGGCATCCCCTCGCCAATACCCGAGGGTGCGCAATCACGCGGGTCTCCCAACCCCATGAGCTTCATGCCGCAACAGATGGAGCCCAACATGGCGCCGCACTTTTTCAAACCCGGCATGGACGGCAGCGTTAACAACAATATGGCTGCTGTGCAGATGAACGGCGGTATGCGGCCCCAAGCTCACATCCCAACCAGCCGTTCAACGGTCAGATGAACCCGCAGATGATGAGGGCTGGACAGCAGGGTGGACAGGGTGGCCCTCAAATGCAATGGCAGAATGGCCCTAACGGTGCCAACCCCATGGCGCCTCAGGGTGGTCCCCAAGGGCAGGTCCAGGGCACGCCGCAACAGAGAGCGATGCCGCCGCCGTCGGCGCCGGCATCTGGCAACGGTCCCAACGGTCGAACCCAGCCTTCGTCGCCAGCGCAGAGCAATGCCGCTCCCCCTACGCCCCAACAATCGAACAAGGCCGCGCCCAAGAAGAAAGACACCAAGGCCACCAAAAGCAAGGTAAGAACGTGTTTTGTCCCAGCAAGTCCAATACAACTGACGTGCTAATTCAGGCTGCGGCTTCAAAGAAGAATACAACAACCGGTGCAACACCAGTGTCCGAAGCGTCTCAGGAGCCAGAAACCCAACAGCCCGCGACGCCCATCACGCCCGTCAACCCTGGAGGTTTTGCCAAAAACGGCCAAAACGGAGGGGGTGCGCAGCCGATGCCTAATGCGCAGACGTCTGCCGCTCCTTCCGCGCCAGTGCCAGTGGCACCACAACATGCTGATCCCGCCCAGGGTGGCTTCGGTATGGATATGAATGGCGGCATGGTGAGTTTGATGGGACCTACTACCACACGCAACGGGACTAACCCCGCCCAGGTCGACTTTGGCCCATTGGAATTCGCAAATAATGGACCGGACGTCCTGCAAGATTTCGACTTTGACAGCTTCCTGCATGACGGTGAGACCGGCGGCGACTTCGACTTCAACAATGGTTTCGGTCTAGAAGGCGCAGGCGAGATCGGTGCCGAGTAGGGACACCTGCCAATCCAATCACCCTCACCTACATAAAACGGGCAACGCTGCATAATCGCACGTGCGCGCATATTTGCCTTGCTCGGCGTTGCAACGCTCTTTCAGGAGCGAGAACCCGGCACGCTTTGCTGTCCAAACGCCGTCCATCCATAGCGAGATATCCAGCATCTGGTGTATCTGGGGTTTCTTCATCACAGGGCATGTCAATGGCGTTCGAGGCAACTTGGTTGGTGCCTGGCTTGCTTGTTTCGACTAGTCGCTCTCGCATCGTTCATCATTATGGGGAAACCTGAATTGTCTTTTAATGGGCTTTTGTTTTCTTTTCTCTAGTTTTGTTTATGCAAATGTGCGCTCTCCAAAAGACAGACCAAAACCATGGACTTTTCGTTATTTGGTCATGGTACAACAGGTGCGCCACCTCTGTGTCTGAGAACCGGGGAATGCGAAGACGGAGGAAAGAGAACCTCGACGTTGAGAGACGAAACAAACGAACGCGAACGCTGATCCGAAAAAAAGTTTCTGTTGTCATTTCCCACCCCCAACCCCCAACAAAAACACTCCTACAACATACAACCTTTTCTTTTTGTCGAGAAAATACCACATCTGGTTTTCTCCTTGGCGGCAGCAGTAGCAGAGGACATTTTTCCTTCCCCAAATTTTTTTTTTGTCTGTGTTTTCTTTTTGATTTTGATTTCCCCAGGGATCTGGTTCTTTATTCGGGCTGATTTGGCCGAAACCAAGGGATGGAAATGAAATGGACGGACCGGCTACTACTTTATTCCCCCCCTCGCACCCCTAACCGCCTACTACTGGTCTTGTATTTACTTAAACGATCTATGCGTGGTGCTACCATTGTCGTCATCCCCCCTTTGCGTAGATTTGGGCGTTTTTTGTTGTCGATCGATCCAGGCACATTTGCTTTGAGGATTGAAATGAATCACTATGAGCACTTACGTACCTATGCCTCGCCTTTGAATATGTTAAATGGGTGATGGTGACTCGTCTTTGTAGTTGTAAAGTCAATGAATGCATAGTAGTATATGTAACTGCTTCTAAGTGGCGAGGGGCGAATTGAACTAGAAGCTGGGACTGTGATGGTGAGTGATTGTGTTCGGATGACTATGGATGTGATGGATGTAGCGCGACAACGTAAAGTGGTAAATGTCGGAAGGGAGCATGTTGAGTTTGTGGTGAGCCTACGGATCTCCAAGATTGGGGGGGGGGGGGGGGGAGGAGGAGAGGGGGAGAAGTGTTAAACAACTTCAGTTGCCAAACTCAAGTCAGGGTTACTAACAATGTTGTGAATTGACATACAACAAACTCTTTGTTGCTAGTTGTGGATTGGGCAAGTGGAGCAACGAAGAACAACATAATAGATTAAGGTCCTTGTCAAATATGCTTTGCCGTATTATACCTATGGCAGGGCCTACAAAGACTTGGTGTGAGGTTGGTTCCGGTGTCTAAAGCATCGACCCAGTTCCCCTGTTTGAGCAGTCTCAACTTTGCATTGACTTTGAATTTCCTCCAAGTCAACCATCATACGCCATGCCCTAGAGACCAACAGGGATTGCCCCCCAACCCCCACAATGAATCTCAACTGTGATACCCTTTACCTTATCTCGGAGCACCTGCCTGAGAAGTCTCTGCTGCATCTTAACTCGTAACAGAAACCTGCGGTCCTCGATCTATTCTGACGTTATTGACAGGAATGCCGGAGGCACATCGTCTACTTCCTCTGAAACAGAGCATGACGTAGTGAATAAAGAAAATGGATAGGGTGGGACCAAGGTAGAATGGAAACGATCAGAAGGTATCGCTAGGTAAAGACAAAAATGGCATCGTTGTACAGTTTACGGACTAGTGAAACGTGGACTTTGGGCAGCCTATTGGCCTTTAAAAGGGTGTAGAAATCAGGAAGAATCGACCCCATAATTTGGCATAGTATGGGTACTCTGTGTTAGTCGGGAAACCTGAAAACGGCCACAAGCCGAGCAGCTTCTTCACAACCAGGACACATCAATCTATGTAATTCGCTTATGGATAAGACTTTGCACTAGAATACATTGTACTCGCAACTACATAACGAACATGAGACTTGACTTTTTGCGGAGGGCTTGAGTACATTCAATATTTTGCTCGACGGTTGTGTGAGATTCGTTTATTTATTTACCAAAGGCTATGTATTTAATTGAGTTTCGAGAATCATTCTGAGCTGGACTTGGAAGAAAGATCGGAGAGAACGTTTCTTCGGCTACCGGGGAGTCGGGGTCTGAGTTGTGTCATCAGGCACCACATGTTCATGTATAGAAAATGGATTAGCTGGTTGCTGACTTCGGATTGTTCAGGAGGGAGTAGTCTAGAGCAGAGGGAGTGACTACCAGTGCGATGCCCCAGACGTTAGTATTGGGTTCGGATCTGCGGGCTGTCGGCTCATTCTGCACTTTCGTAGAATTCCTATGGATGTTGACGTAGTCCCATTCGGGTGTAATCCCATTCAGGTGCAAATATTTCCTGGAGTGTAAGACATCGGCATTATGAAGCACTCGTTCCGACTGTATGAGTTCCCTACTGGGGCATAGGACCAAATTTGACAAGGTCGCGATAAGGTCGCGATAATACATGTAGTAATTGCTGTGTATTTGTCAACCATTATACTAGGTCGATGTCGTCGTCGTCGGTAAAGGAATCGCTGCTTACTCTATCTCGTTTCCACGTATTTTATGGCCAACCTAAAGCCTTCTAGCTTTTCCCACTTTATCTATGCTCTAATAATTGGTTAATAGCATTGAGATTCCATACCTTGAGCCGGCAGCCAGGTTATACTCCGGATGGTCTGGCTTCAGAGTGTCGACGTAAACTCTACCAGGTTCGTCGGATGAGATTTCCAACCTCTTTTGAAAACGGAGCGGCTCAACCATACTCAACAGGATTTTGACGAGTGCCGTCAGTTTATCGCGTACGTGGAGTTAAAGGAACAAACAGAATACTATAGTCATAAGTTCAACAGCAGAACAAGAGGAATGCCAGAATATAGAGTCAATTTTGTCAATCTATCTTATGGTCCATAACAATCATCATCCGAACCTCTGGAATTGCTGTGGTCATCCAGCCAGTAAGAGAAAAAAGAGAAGGGAGCATGAGCAACCAAGTGAGTGAATTTGGAAAAGAAAAAGGGGAACGCCATGCCTGGAATGTTGTTATACAGTAGTGATAAGAAAAAGTATTGAGACGGCAGACTTTGACTCTATGACCAATGCTCAGGGTAATGAATGAACCCGCCAATGATCAGTGTAGAGACCAAAACCGGTGCTGTATGTGATCACAAACCGGGTGGTGACGTCCAGTTCGTAGTGGTTGGCTGCAGTTGCAAAAAGCGTTCAGTATAGGCTGATCCAAGAGGAAAGATCGAAAAGGTGTTGAGTATCGAATGGAGAGGGGAAGATGGCAGGCTCAAACCGGTCAAAGGCTTCTGGCATGTTCTTGTCCTCCACCTTGTCCACGAATACATGCACATTGGTAACAGAATAACCGAATTCACCCTGAAAGTCACTCGCCATCGCCATCCTCATACGGGTACCAAAGTGAACTGCTTGCCAAATGAGTGGGGGAGCATTGCATCCAGAGTGGAAGATTCCGGACTTGCTGTCGTTGACTGGACATCACTGGTGTATCAATTGTATCACTAGTTCTTAAATGTTGTCTTTGACGAATGTTGTTTTGCTGGTTGGTCAAGAGTGTATTTCGTACACGGACAAATTGCGTCCTGGGCATACATTACGAAGTGTGCTGACTGCCCTGGATGCCGATTTCTGAACCCGTCAAGACATTATGGCCAAAGTTGGTCGCTTGAGTTGAAATCTGCCGATCGAGGCCTTTCTTTTCACGAACTTGACTGATCAATGATACAGCTTCTTATTTGCTAATGGATGGCTTCACTTCGGGGGTGATATCGCTGACTAGATTGCTCTCGACATTGGTCCGAGGTTATGTGCACGGACTTGAGCTTGCTAGAGACCAGTCGGTCTTGTGATGTGGATCTCCGGAACGAGAGAAACATCCAAAGGGGAAAAACAAAGGAAAACTGCTGTGTGATCGGGGATCTGTGGCGACTGACGAGCTGGATGAATGCCAGGGGTGGATCGAGCTATACCAATCGACTTATCGGGAATTGCAGTAAACAGTACGAAATCTTCCCATAGGGTCCTCAATATTCTTTCCTGTATTCCATACCAGTCCTGAACGTGAGTTGGTGCAGTGTGCCATCGGCAAGCTTCACAGGGTTGCCGGTACGGTACATGCTGGTAGGTTGCAACGTAACCTGGTGACAATATGGGAGTTTTGCGGACGAACTTGGTGATTTTTTTGATGTTTACTTTTCTGTGAATAATTTTGGCGAGTGGAAGACTGAGATAGGAGAAGTATTGAGGAAGAAAAGAAAGGGGGGGGGGGATAATCATGCCATGGAGTTATCTCCTCGAACTGATGCTTCATGCAAGGGGGGATTTTTATTATTGCCTCGAGCGAACACAAGCGACTAGCAGCACATTGCTGCAGAACGAGAATATCAGTAGATATATCCTGAAATCTCTGGGCTGTCTGTATGCCTACCTTGATTGTTGGCGTGGTTATATTCTGTAGCATAGTGATCGATAGCACGTGAATCGCCATCTTTGATGCAGAAAAGTGAGTCGACGGCGGTGTGTGTGAAATGAAAGGAATGTGAATGGTGACTTATTGCCCGTTTTATGACGGTGGTATTGATATCGAAGATGAGGTTGGCATAGTTAATGCCTAATGTCTCCAGTTACTTGGATAGATATCAAAAAATATCTCCGTTCTTGAAGTCTTAGGTCGCCTCGGCCTCATCAATCTTGTCCCAGGGCGAGTGGCCACACCAAGAGCGGCAATCGCAGTCTGCTTTCTCCTGCCAGGTCTTGCCGTGGGGGCATCTCGAATTACAGTAGCAGTTCGGGACACCGCCAGTAAGAAGAAGCTAAAGAAAGTGCTCAAGTTAGTTGAAATCCAGCAAAATCGTCAGCTTTGGGGAAAAAGCCGAGAAAAGGGAGAAAAGTGACAAAGCCATAGTAAAGGGGAGAACATGCCGCATAGATTTTATGCTTCTTCTTGTCCATCCGCTGCTGCCCCGTCTCGATGTCCGTCCAAACATAATCCACTTCCCATATGAGCTCCCGCATGGTTCGGGCGACCCAATTTACTTCATTTACACTGAAGACAGACATGTTGCGAAAGCAGTCCTCACACCATCTCTTCGCGACGTTCTTTTTGAAATCCAGCACCAACACATTGGTCGGTGCCAGGCACTCAAAACACTTGTCATTCGCCAACCCTGAAAGCACCGCATGGGAAGGCATGTCAAAGATGGGATCCACAACGTTGTCCGGATACCAGCCCATATCGAAGGCGTCGAGGTCGTCGGTGAAGCCCCACTTGGCCTTGCGAATGAGACTGATGATACAAGGGCGGAGAAGCGTTTGTAGGAGATAAAGATGGGGCACCTCGTTGAAGAGTCGACGGGTGAGAGTGCTGGCCTGGCCGAAGCGCAACAGCGAGTAGAGGTCTAAGTGGTCGCGTAAGATCATCACGCGAATCTCGGGCGGAAGACGGGCCATCAAGGGGATGATGCGGTTCCGGCGGGTCTGGGTGCGGGTTAAGAGGTTGGGATTGGCAGGGAACCTGGTGACGGTGAAGACAGCACCATCGACGGACGTGGCGTTGGCGTTCAAGTCTGGGTTGAAGATTTCCGGTTTTCCGGATGTGAAGGCGTTGGCGGCAGGGGTGTGGTGGAATGGACCGGACTGTTGATAGTAGGGCAGGGGGTAGTTGCGCGTTAGCCAGACGTTGGAAGGGTCATTTCCACTGGCTATCTTGCGCGCCTTGAAGGCTGACATGCTCGAGAGCCACATGTAGAGGGCCCTCGCGCTGCCTTTGGGGTCTGAGACAGGGTCAATGTCCATAAAGACGCGGGACAGTATATCCAGATGAAAGGCATCGAAGTGATCTCTGGGGTCTTGCCAGTTGACGACGTGCAGGTAGAGGATGTTGAGTTCCTCTAGGCATGTGTTCCAGACTTTCGCCTTGAATGCTCGGGCCTGGATGTTGGCATCGAAGTCCAAGTCTGGCCTGAAGTCAAGGCGGCCAAAGGGCTTCTGTTTGCGGGGAGCCTTGGGCACAACCGGTGACAGTGCAGTTCTAGTTGTAGTTGAATCCGCAGAGCACGAGCTGTTCGACATGGAGGTGCTGCTAGGATGGGCATTCAAACCAGAAGCCGAAGGGGCTGAAAATGAATGTGTAGCATCCTCAGGAGCCGCAAACTCGGAAGACGGAGGTGCAGGTGTCTCAGAAGCCCCGACACCTGAATCTGGAAGACCCGATGATGAAGACGGGGACTGACATGTTGAAGAAGACGGGGAAGACGGTAGCGGTGCCGTCCACACGTACGGCCAGAAATCTGGAGACGAAGATCGAAGCGACGAAGGAGATGAAAGTCGTACACAGGGTGGGGACGGGGTGCGAAACCTCTCCCGACCCCTCCTAGTGGTCTCGTTTGCTCTAAGGGGCATTTTCTTAACAAACGGGGGAATTATCTCCTTTGCAGCAGAGCCTGGGCTGTGCTAAGATTCTCAGAAAATTCCTGGACTGTACAAGAGAACTTGCTGGTCAGCCGACGGTGACAGGGCGAAGATTACCAGAGTAACTTACCTTTGCTACTTTTAAATATAGTCGAGCCCGTGGGTTCACTGAGGGAAGAGTTAATCTTGTTGCGTGTTAGGTGGAGGTCGGAAATTCGGGAATTCCTGAGGGATTGAGCATGCGAGATGGTTGGGAAATAAGATCGTGGAAGCTGTCGAGCTTGAATTTGGCCCGCAAGATCCTGAGTGGGTCAGTTGGGCTGTTCTCGACACACTGAGGCAAGACTATGGTCAGTATTCATTCTGGATAAGCAGCACAAGACGGAATATTCACACATCCTTGTTATAGGAAGATATTCGTTTCTGGCTGCAACGAAGGTCACAGGTGTGCCTTATCAAGTGTTTGAATTTACAGATCCTTGTTTACCTGGCGCACGATGGAGGAGAGTTGCAGCCGACTTTGGTGTACGCATCACAAAGCAGAGCCACCGAAAGAACCAAGTTGTGCCCCACGGAGCCACGTCGCTCTGGCATCACAATACGGTGACACAGTCGCGACTCTTTCGTGATAAAATGGTAAGTGCGTGAGAGCCACAACCAGGTTGAAGATATACAAAACCGAACTTACAATATGGACAAGAAGGGAAGGCGCACCGAGAACGCTTGGGTCTTCAGAACAGTCGTATGGCGCATCTGCACTATCACGAATAGTGCCAGGGTCAAAGGTGCAATGGTGTGTTTTACTACTCTGATGTGCCCAAGCCGTGATGAGTTTGAATGATGAATCTAGATGGTGCTTGGTGAGTTGCACGTAGGCCATAACATGGACTGAATAATCAACTTACGAGATCGTAGTCGTAGAAAGCACGACCTTGCCAGCGTCGGTCTGCTTTTGCGGCACTGTGATGGCTTTGGCTGGAGGTCTGGTCAACTGAATGGAAATAATCGCGGTCTGCGAGGTCACTTGTGGCCGATTCAAGGAAGATGGTGAGACCAGTGGTAGAAGCACCCTTTAGAGTTGGGATGGACTCGGCTTGGTTTGATGTCTAGGCAGTTCGCAATAGGGCAGACTTTGGAGGATGGGAGTGAATTGATGTGAAGGTAGTGAAAATGAGACCAAGGATAGAGTGGAACAAACCTTCTAGATTAGATGAAGGAACATTTTGCCCTGTGAATGCGTGGCATTTGGCAGAAAGGGAAGGTAGAATTTGGCGGTAGAGGAGAGATGTATGGGGATCAAAAGGGATTCGCTCATGGGTCGAGTTGCTGCTGTGCAGATGTAAATTAGGCAGGCGTTGGTAAGTGGGACGTATTTGGGGTTTGGTTGCTACGGCGGTTAGGTGAAAGGCTCAGATAAAGGTAGATGCCTCACACTTTGTGAATGGATATAAATGTTGATGAGGACAAAGTACACCGCAAAGTGCAGAAGATGGATAGTGTGGACAAGCTACAACTTTGTTGCGAAGGCCAGGGAGTAATAAATGTGGGTGCATTCACGAAATATTGATTTGAAAATGAGGTCTACATATTTCTGTGAATATTAATGAAGTACCAGGCAGTCATCGGCATTTCTGGCCCCAAACAAGTCGATGCTATCTTTAACGACCTCCCCAACGAGTGAGCCAGCGGAATCTAGAAGTGGTTCAACGCATGAGTTTTTAGGAAATGTACACTTAAGCATCTTTCGAAGTCCTGCAAATGGAATCCAAATCTCAAGCTTTAGCATTAAGCTCCAGTTCATACTCCAGCTTGACCAGCGATGCGTCACTGGAATATACTGGCGCGCCAGAGGTCATCTTGTATTCATTATGCCACCAGGAAAACCAATCGATTCCGGTAAAATGACCACTGGTAGTTCTGTGATCACTCCGGTGTATAGTCATGACATGCAAGCGAGGTTATTAATCGCAAGAAAACCCTAAAGGTCTGAACTGGTCCCCAACTGGATGGTAACAACTCTAATATGTACAACGAACAGCTTCAATCCCAGTAGCACAACTCGATCCGGTACTGTCAAGAACAGCCGCAGCAACTCCAGGGAATCTACAGGAAAAGTTTTAGAGAATGAAACAGCCAACGATGCATGAACGCATGAAGTTGCTGCCCCAGGCTGAATATTGTGGTTAGCTCACGGCCTCTGAGTACGAGACAGCTATCTCCTCGAAGAAAATACCCACCCAAAGACTCGACGATCATTAAAGGCCAACATACGAGAACTCAGTTTCCCTGAAAGGAAGAACATAGTCGATATAAGAACCTGCTTAGGAAGCTAAGTACACGAGACAGGCAACGTAGATTATGGCGGGGGCATTTATTCATGCAATGGGAGCTTTCCGCAGAACAAACCGAAGCAGTCAGGAGGGAGGGAATGGCTGTAGAAACAATATCACTGCTGAAGCAGAGGGTTCCACAGCAAGGTGTGTTTGGGAAGGGCCGCATTCACGAAGGGCCTGGAGCAGAGAGTTTCCAATGAGAATTGTGATGTCTTGCTTCTCTATCTAATGAAATCAGACCCCAAACACAAGACTCATTACTCTCTGAGACATCTCCAGTCGGTATGAAGTCTGCTGTCGTCGACATTGTCTGAAAATAGGCCGGTGCAAAGCCCCCAGTGTGTGATGCGGGAAAGAGCCGGTTTCAATAAAAATGGGTGTCTTCGTATAGGAAAGAACGAAAGAAAGAACCGTTGAGACATGGTATCAGAAAGCCACCACAGACTAACGATACCAGGAAGCACTTGTCGCCGAGAGAGCGCGTACCTCCACAACCCATCCTTAGATCCCTCCACAATTGCCATCGTCATCATCATCAAATCCTCGTAGAATCCAGTCTCAGAATCTCTGTCAGACCTCTGACGCGTTCTTGAAATCGGAGTTGGAACTGGAATCTTCAACCTTGTGCTCAGATGTTCGCATGGCTTAGGCACTTGAAGGTGTCGAAGACCAGTTGTAGACTGAACCGCCTCAAGGATGACGCAACGATACTATGGGGCTGTTTGATAACATGATACTTATTAAGTGAACCCCCGCAAGACACCTTCTTTACACATTCGAGGAAATAACCAGAGGCAAAGAGGCAAATTATCTCACTCGACGCGAAGCGATTGTGTACAAGTTCAAATGAGAAACAAAGTAATGTCAATGCCACCTAGGAATGGGACGAGATCACTCTTGTTAGCTTTGAAGTGCGCCTGGAGTAACTGGCATTTACATAGTCATGTACAACAATGCGTTGGGCGGTTGGATATCATATTTCTACACGCAGACGTCTTAGCCCCGAGGTTGTCCACATTCAACTCTCACGTGCAACACATCCTGCAACACATCCCGTCTCCATATATACACAAGTAATGTACATTGATCTAATCCCTACCCTACTTGGTCAAAAACTTCTGGAAAGCCTCCTGCTCAATCACCACGTTCCCCACACTCCTCAACTTCTTCCGACCCTCCTTCTGCTTCTCGAGTAGCTTCCTTCTGCGCGTGATATCACTCGCATGTAGCTTGGCCAAGACATCCTTGCGGAACGGCTTGATCGTCTCCCTGGCCACAATCTTCTTGCCCACGGCGGCCTGGATGACCACCTCGAACATCTGCCGCTGAACGTGCTGCTTGAACTTGGTGACCCAGGCCCGGCCCAGGCGGTCCACTTGTGACCTGTGCACGACGCGGCTGATGGCGTCGACGGGTTCCTTATTGACCAATAGCTGTAGCTTAACCAGGTCTGACTGCCTCCACCCGGCATCCTCGTAGTCCAGGGTTGCGTAACCTTTCGTTGCACCTTTGAGCTTGCCGAACATGTCGTCGACGAGCTGGGCGGTGGGGAGTCGATACTTGAGAATGACCTGCATGCCGTGGAAAATCTCGAGGCTGACTTGCTCGCCACGGTTGGACTCGCACAGCTCAATGGCGCGGCCCAGGTACTCCTCGGGGAGCGTTATGGTGGCTAAGACGAAGGGCTCGTAGTAGGTGGTGCCGCGGACGCGGTGTTCCTCACCTTCAGGGAAGTCAGCTGGGCTGTTAAGCACGCTCTCCGTTCCGTCGCGCCATACGATCTTAGTCTTGACGGCGGGCTCAGTGATGATGATGTTCGCGCCATGCTCCTGGCGCAGTCGGTCCTGGAAGACGGAGCAGTGCAGACTGCCGAGGAAGCCGATACGCCAGCCGGCGCCGAGGGCCTCGGAGTGGTCCTTCAAAAGTGTGACGCTACGGTCGTTAAGGACGAGATGACCGATGCTGTCGGCTAGACGGTGGTAATCTCCTGGATCGGTAGGGAAAGCAGCGACGAAAACCATGGGCTTGGGCTCCTCGAAGCCGGGATACGGCTCGACATTGAGCTCTTGACCGATGGTCGTGAATGTGTCTCCAATCTTCGCATCTTGGATCTTTTTCATGCCGGGGTTGAAGAAGATGTATCCGACCTGCCCAGCTCTCAAGACCGTTTGGGGAGTCTGTAACGGATACCTGATGCCGACTTCGCCAACCGTGTACTTGAGCCCCGTCGCAAAACTGTACAGACTGTCGCCAGCCCTGACCGTCCCATCAAAGATGCGCACCAAACAGATCACCCCCCTAAAACTGTCGTACCACGAATCCACGAGCAACATGCGCAGCGGCTTGGTCTCATCACCTACGGGGCCGGGGATGCCCTCCACGATAGCAGGCAAAACGTCCTTGACGTTCAACCCCGTCTTAGCACTGACGCCAATCGCATTGCTTGCATCAATCTCGAACGTCGACTCGAGCTGCTCCAGCACCCTCGGCACGTCCGCCGCGTTCATGTCGATCTTGTTCACCACAGGTAGAATCTGCAGCCCTTCGGCGAAAGCAAGGTAGAAGTTGGCCACTGTCTGCGCCTGTATGCCCTGACTTGCATCGACCAGCAATATTGCACCACCACAACTTGCATAACTCCTCGTCACCTCGGCACGGAAGTCGACGTGGCCCGGGGTGTCGACAAGATGTAGAAGGTAGTCCTCGCCCTTGTGGTTGTAGAGCATGGTGCAGGTCTGCGCCTTGACCGTGATGCCGCGCTCGCGCTCGACTTCGAGTGTGTCGAGGATCTGCTTGTTCGCTTGAGAGGATGAAATCGTTCCCGTGATCTCGAGGAGTCGGTCGGACAGCGTAGATTTGCCATGGTCGATATGGGCGACGATGCAGAAATTGCGGAATCGCTCGATGGGGATTGCGGCTATGCGTCGTTCGAGGTCACCGACGATTGGTGTTTTGGCTGTTGCGTACCATCGTTGAAGCGCACAAGAGAGAGGGGAGAGGTTTGCTGCCGTGGATCTAGGCGCAACTGGACGGCGTGAGTAGGAGGAGCTTAGGGATCGCCATGCCGGCCGAAAGCCGGTGCTATAACATCTGGATTGGCGGAGCGTGGATAGACATGATCGCACAGAGAGAGATGTCAGACGGAAGCTGCCGCCCATTCATGCAACAAACACTTGACTTTGTCGAGGTTATTCGCCGGAAATGAAGCTATTCCGAGCCAAATTTTGGGACAATGTTCACAAGCCGTCAGGAATCAGGCACCTTATCTTATCGCCGTGCATAAGCTTGAAGGCTGAGCAACGCTACCCTGAAAAGCGACCCTTCCTCACAGCAACCTCTCAGATACCCAATTGCAGTGTTGACCTCATTACTTCAAGTATATCAAGTAGCCAACAGGCGCGCTCTAGCCACATCGATTAAGGTGTTGGGATCTCAAGATGCTCGAATCGATTATTTGGAGTGCAGACTTCGACCACAATCAGAACGAAGCCGTTGATTAAGTTATGATGTCCTCACTTCCAGCCATGTCAAGCTTTGGAGTCACCACAACAAGCTGGAAGCCAGGCTCCCCCCTCCTCCAAGTCCCCATCCCTCTGGGTGGGCAACTTCTGAATGCAGCCGAACGGCCAAATTTGGGACAGAATATGTACCATACGCTCAAACTATATACACGGAACCATATACACGCCCACGGTGCAACGTCCAGGTATCTACTCGGGACGCATTCTTCGAGACTGTGTCTTCCATTCCGATTACTACTCAGCGTAGCCAGCCATGCAAGAGTTTATCTCACAAGTGCCAATGCCTCGCCCCTTCAGATTTATAGCGGGCTAATAGCACGCTTCGCCTTTCGGGTCTTGGAGCACTTGGGTCTCGCCATGCTCGCTGGCGCGCTGGTGGTAGTCGGCACAGCAGCTTCAGTGGAAGACATGGTGACAGCAGCAGCGGCAGAGATAGTCGCAGGGGGCTGGCTTGAGACCGCAACACTGCTGGATAAAGCCTGGCTGGAAGCAGCCGAGACAGAGATGGCGGCAGCGGGCAGGGAAGTCTCTGAAGCAGGGGCAGCACTAGTGGTAGAACCAGCAGAGCCAGTAGCAGCAGCGGCAAGCACACTGCTCACCGCGGTCCACGCGGGCTTCTTGGAGAGAGTATCGTCATACAGACACGCCTCGCCCTCGCCGGGGAAGGTGGTGGGGACCCACGAGTACTTGTCGCTGAAACCCCAGAGGGTGATACCGATACAGCCGCTCTGGGCCAGGCAAGCACCGACAACGGTAGCATAAGCCGCCGCCTGATCCTCGAGCCCATCAGCCGATGCCGGCACACTCGAGAATTTGACATCCAGCTCCGTGAAGGCCACTTCAGTCACTCCGGCATCCATGTAACTCTGCATAGCCGCCTGTATGCTCTCGACGCTGGGCATGGAGTCCACGATGAAATGCCCCTGCATGCCCACGCCATCCACGCGCGCGCCAGCGGCGGTGATGTTCTTGATAATGCTGACGGTAGCCTCCTGCTTAGCGCCCGTGGATTCGATGTTGTAGTCATTGTAGTAGAGCTTGGCGTCTGGGTCGGCCTCGGCGGCCGCCTTGAAGGCCAGCGTGATGTACTCCTCGCCGAGCACCTCGTAGAAGACATTATCGCGGAAGGCAGCAGAGTCGTCCAGCGCCTCGTTGACTACGTCCCACGCGTAACATTGGCCCTTGTAGTGCCCGACTTCGTTGGCGATGTGGACGTTAATGATGGAGGTCATTTCGGCTGCCGTCCAGGTGGTGGAGCTGACTGTGAGGTTGTAAGTACTTATATTTGCGCATTTTGGATAGCATCATTAGCCTGGAGAACGCACCCCATGATGGCAGCTGGCTGTACCATACCAAAGTGTGGCATCGCATCACCTGGCTGTTGGTCTCGGCGAAATCCACAATTACGTCGCCCTTGGTGAAATCGAACGTCCCTTGGGAAGGCTCGATGTACTGCCACTTCTGCGTGTTGCCGGGAGTGATCTGCCCGACTTCGGACACATCCGAGAGGATCGCCGTGTAAGCCGTATCAGTCAACTCCGAGTTGTCCAATGCGGAGCCCAAGTACTTCAGTCCAGCGGCCTTGGCGAGATCGTTGAGTTGCGCCGATGCGTACGGGAGCGCGACCAGAGCCGCTGCGGCGGTGTTGGCGAGACGCATTCTTGTGAACATGGAAAAGAGTGACGTGGATAAGGTATTTCAGTAAGCAAGATTCAAGGTTCAGTGGTATACGAACGAAAGAAATACTGGACTTAGCCAGTTAGAAAAAGAATGATAGACGCAATCGCTGCAATAGGAGAGAACCACGAAACAGACCCTGTTGCTCGTGGTTCGCAGGACATGGCCTCGCTTTTATTCCAGTTCTGACGTCGCATTCGCAGCGTCGTCTTTACGGAGTACCTCCTACATCGTCAAATTCGCCGGCCCCGCTATTTTACATCTTCACGGCTTCTAAAGGTGTACCTGGCAACTATAGTGTGGAAGGAATGGTCATGATTGGAGCATTTGTCTCGGGCTTAAGTCTTCGTTGGTGGACTGTCTGGGGTAAATTAAGGGACTGTGAGATCGGACGTTGCCGGTGTGGGTCGAGCCCCTTGGCTCATTTGCGCGTCAGTGGATTCAAAACTGGCAACAAATTATATGATAGATTCTATCGTTCAGTTGCGCCATAAGAAATCATGCAACAAGCACCTGATTGCTGCTCTTACAAGGGATAGATCGACGTATTCGTGCAAGTTAGGGTCCCTGGAGTTGATTTTCTTTTGTAAATGCATGATGTTATGGTATAAGAGGTCCACTTCGTCTTATACTTGTAGATTGAATCTATAGAGCCACCGTTAAGAACCTTCAACTCAAGCTAATAAGGAAACCTCGTTTTAGTTGCAGTTATTGAAGCTGCATTGTAATGCTTTAACTTTTTGATAATCCTCAACCAACGTTATAGAAACAATTGCTCATCACAGACCAGGACAGGAGATTACCCCAACATCTTGCTCAAAATAACATCATAAGCAGCCCGACACTTTAGCCTCAAACAGAATTGTCAAGGCGGTCAAGCGTAGTCAAGGGCGAGTTGCTCGACTTGAGTACGGGCTGCAAGGACCAGTTACTTTACTTGCGTACAGCCGCCTGAAATAACGAGTTGTTCTGCTCGCAGACGGGCCGCATTCTTCGTCCCGCAAAAGGCGTATAGAGTTTTTACGTGCGCGATGAAACATTTCCGAGGTAGTCACATCGTCTAGAGCGAATGAGTCGCTGCTCTATGGCGGATTTTTGGATCGTAAGCATACAGGCAACTCTTCAGGAACGGAACAGACACTCAGCGAGAGCCGATCACTTCGGCAGAATTTCAGTCGCTCCTTATAGTATCAAGGTGTTGAACCCACATTTCCGAATCTGTACAGAGCCAGTGATGCGTGCACCTAGGGGGGAGGATGCTATAATGCAGTAGTGCGCAACGTTATAGTATCTAATTGAATGGGATTCACCTAACTAGTGGGTCCCCCTACCTTTTCGTATTAGCTAGGGACCCTCCAAGGGCGTCTATATTCCAGCTTCACGTCCACTTCTTGGCGATCGGTCTATATATCCGATAGATGAAAGTCCGGCGAATCTCTAATGACTTCGGCCGATTTTTGTTGGTTGCTCGGTTCATTGCTAGCACATAGAGTTCTGATCTCTACGATACACAGCGGCCTGGGTATCAGCTTGAAGCTTTGCCCCTCAGATTGGGGATGTGCGATCTCAGCAGCTGGCCAGAGCCTAGCTGGGGGCGATGGTTGACTTCGGACATAACACCAACATAGCTAGCATGGGAAGGACAGGTCTAATGAGACATACAGAAGGGAAGCAAAGAGCTGTGTGGAAGGGTCTATTTACTGTATGATCTCAGTAGGAGAGTTCTCTGTATACTCAGTCATTAAATCAAGTAGTAGGAATAACCGAAACTCTGCATTAGTCTTCATTTCCAGTGATTAAGTTACATACTGTTACAAATTATAGCCTAATAGTGAAACGGGGCACAAGGAAAAGTAAAGACAAAGATAGTTCACAAGCAGAATCAGAACCGGAGAATTGGCTGTGACCCACATCCCATCGCGGCTGATTATGACAGACGAGTGTGTCTGACAGAAGTATAGCGTTCTCTACAGTATCAATATGTTGGCCGGGAAGCTGTAGATCATGGTTGGTTCAGAATATGAGAACTCGGTGCAGCTGGACCATATGCAGGGTTCAAGGACAGGCTGGGTCAGCTATTCAATTGTGTGTTTTACCCCTCTCTGTGGCTCTCAATAACTTGTCCATCCTGCCATCATGAGTATGATGAGTATGATCTAGCTCTTCAGAGCCTATACCTGAAATGCTTGTTCTCCTTATCCGTCATATCTTCATACCCCTCAATCAACTTCTGATCGCCGTGAACATGCTCATTCGCCCGATCCCTCCTCCTATTTTCAATCCAGCACCACAGCATATACAACCCCTGCAACACCATCAAAGCGCCATAACTCCCACATAACCCCTTTATGGCTGTAGGATACCTGGGCACCTCAGCGTCAAGAAACAAATGCGGCCCCGCGATGTTACCAGCAATATACATAACGAAATATGTCCCCATGACGGCTGTCCGCTTTGTGTGCCCCGAGACATTAAGGCCAGGCACCGTCCAATTGAGCACAACACACGGCCCTAAACAATTCTGCAGCCAGCAACACGCTGTCAGTGCTAGCCGATTCTCGATTGGAATTTTCAAAATCCCAATCAACCCCGCCATGCCCGGTATACACCCCAGAATGATAGCCGGCCCGACCATCTTCGATCGCTGCGAGACCCAGCCAAAGAAGACACATGCCACGATCTCAAAGGCACCACCAGGTGCCTGCATAAGCGACGTCCGCAGGGCATCGTAGCCGAAACCCTGGATAATGGCAGACAAGAAGTTGGCAACGCCGCCGTTGAGAATACCCACGGCGATACCGCTCGCGTACAGAAGATAGCACTTTCCATCGAGCAGGGCTTCTCTGATTTGATAGGGTTTCAGTGTGCCGTGCTTGAGACCGATCTGGTTCTTGGAGACGCGCCAGACGGCCACCATGCGCTCGTGGGGGGTGAGCATGCGGGCGTTGTGGGGGCCGTCGGGGAGGTAGGTGATAATTACTAATCCCCAGAGGAAGGTTAGGGCGCCGACGATCTGTACAATACCATCAGAAAGCGGTCGAGAAATAGGCCAGGTAACGGAACTTACAAGATAAATCAGCTTCCAATTTGGAATCTTGAGTCCCACAGCCTGTCCCGAGCCGTACGAAAGCAGGGATCCGAGGATACTCGAGATGCCATTGGTCGAGAGCCAGATGGAAGTCCGCATGCTCTGTTCATCGCGTGTCCACAACATTGAAGTCAGGAGGACCCAGGCAGGCGAAATGCAAGCCTCCATCATGCCGAGGAAGAATCGGATGGCGAAGAATCCGGAAAAGTTGAAGACGGCCGCTTGTAGCATACACAGCATGCCCCAGACGAATAGCATGCCGCCGATGAGCTTGGCGATAGGGAACCGCTGGAGAGCTATATTCCAGGGCCATGCCGCGACTAAGCGTCATGTATTGGTCAGATGTTCAACAGTCAGGAATTGATGGCTAAAGAAGGAGACTTGACTAACCGATCCAGCCAAAATAAAGAGCCGAAGCGACCCATGAGTAGTCGCCGAGCGTCATATGGGTATCGGCTCTGAGACCATAGGGAAGGGAGTAGTTGAGCGTCTGCTTGTCGAGGAAACTCAGCATGTGGTTGTCATCATCTGCCGTTGTAAATAATTAGCTCCAGCTGAATTCCATCTTCGCCTTCTTTCCAAATGATTCGTAACATACCATCGGCAAAACTATGAAATCCAGTTTGCGTCGGACCTTCTTCGCATCGGCCTCGAGTTGCGCCTCGTCAAACTGCAGCGATTGCTGCAGAATGTCTCGGCCTAGATCATCGAGGTCATTGGTGCGGTGAAGGAGGCGTTGGAATGCGTTTTGCTTGGGGATGGAACTGCTGTCCGCAATCTCGGGGTACACCGCGTCTTCGCTGGACGGCATGCCCGCGTCCTTTTCGGAGACGGCCATTGCAGAAGGGTCTGAAGTCGAGTTAAATGCAAGAAGACTGGCCAATGGCGATGGTGAGAATTGAAGCTGAAGGTCTAGATGCGAGCCGAGTGATGTATATAACTTCAGCTTCTCATTAAGTCCGGATATTCTGAAGATACGTTTACTATCAGTGAATAATAGCTACATGCAGCAAGTCCTCCCGGCCTCTCCTCAATCCCTTCGCAATCCTCATCATTAAGCATTGTTATCAAGTTCCCTGACCATCGGCAGAGGTCCGCCGAATAAGGATAGACGCTGATTGTGGTTGAAAGCAAGTACTTGCAGTTGACTCTAACCCTCATGGGAATAGGGTGGCAGTTTATCCCTGTTTGATAGGTCCCAATTGCGCACCCTGTCAAAAGTGTGCCTCAGCGACGAATAGCGGCGCATAGCCGTCGAAACACTATCTCGAGTTATCTAATTAGATGCTGCCGCGGGACTACTAGGTGACGTCGTAGTCTAGGTTCATCAGATAGTGCATGGAACATGATAGGCGTAAGAAGGCAACCGATGATAAGTCGACTGTTGAGGCGGGGGAATGGATTTGAGCTATCAACTTCAGGTTATCTCCGCACAATGCCAAGCTTAAGATTATCAAGACTTGAACTAAGTTGAACTTCTAATATTGTCACCCGGATATGTCACTGGCGAAGAGCCAATCCCGTGACAGGCTATGATAGCTGCGATGTCGGAATTGGCGTGGCCTTCCGGCCGGCAAACCACATAATAAGTCTCTCATGAACCAGCGATATTGTCATATTCTCCAAATGGCAAGTCCATGCAGTGTGATTCTCCGCTTTCTCCAGAACGTCCAATTGTCCGTCCCCAACCAATAACCGCACTAGCCTGGGTATATACAGGAGAGTGAGACGGACGAGATGAAATAGGACCAAGTTGCAACCCCATTCCCATCACGTAGAAACTCGTTTACAACCTAGCCATACAATATTATATCTCTGTCTAGTTCTCAGTTGAAGTCTTACATCAAACCACTGTACAAGATGACCGCCTCAGCCAATCCCCTAGCTGGAAAGACATGGAAAGAGCTTCAAGCGGCGAAACAGGCCGAACGCGCCTCTCGTATCCCCGAAGAATGGAAACTCAAACCCGAGCACTTCCCCCCTGAGGGCACAGTTGACATGCGCCCCGTGGTGAAAACCTGTGGCATTCTGTCGGAAAGAGAACTCAAAATCACCGGTGATGACTACGACGCCACCTCGCTCGCAGCAGCCGTGGCGGCGGGAGAATACACCGCTCTCGAGGTGGTGACGGCCTTCTGTAAACGTGCGGCCGTTGGCCACCAGCTCTGCAACATCCTGACCGAGATCATGTTCACGGATGCGCTGGAGCAGGCTGCGAAGCTGGACGAGATCTTCAAGTCGACGGGCAAGGTTGTGGGCCCGCTGCACGGCGTGCCCATGACTTTTAAGGAGTGTTTCCACTTCAAGGGCTACGATTCGACGAACGGGTACATGGCAAGGGTTTTCCAGCCGTCGGACAAGACGTCGCCTTTGGCGGAGCTGGTGCAGGCTGCGGGGGCGGTGGTGATTGCGAAGACGAATGTGCCGCAGACTATGCTGGTTGCGGACAGTCACAACAATGTCTTTGGAAGGTCGAAGAACCCGGTGGTCAGTCATTTGACGACGGGTGGGAGCAGTGGTGGAGAAGGGGCAGCGCAGGCGTTTCGGTGCAGTGCCCTGGGTATCGGGACTGATGTCGGGGGGTCCGTCCGCATCCCCGCCGCAGCGAACGGTGTATATGGCTACAAACCCAGTTACGGAGTTATACCCATGACAGGATACTCTTACTCGGGCTGGACGGGCTCCAACACCGGCATCCCCGCCGTGACCGGCCCCATCGGCCACTCCATTCGCGATCTCGCCTTCTTCACCAAAATCGTCCGCGCCGCCAAGCCCTGGAATTTCGACCCGGCCGTCATCCCCAACATCATGGAACTTCCCCTGACCCGAGACCACAAACCCATCGTTGGCGTCATCCACCAGTCCGGCCTAAAGCCCCACCCGCCCATCCGCCGCGGCATCTCAGAATCCGTCTCCAAGCTTCAAGCCGCCGGGTTCGAAGTCCGCGACTTCAATCTGCCCGTCGACCTCCGCGCCGTGCGTACCATTTCCGAACAGCTCTTCACTCTAGACGGGCTCTCGTACCCCCGAAAGGAAATGGCCAAGACGGGTGAGCCTCCCGTGCCGAGTGTGCACGAAATTGGGTTCTGGGAGCTGCCCCCCAAGACGCAGGAGGAGACGTGGGCGTGGAATACGAAGAGGGGAGAGTTGGCCAAGGGGGTGTTGGATGAGTGGGTCAGGGTAAGGTGTGATGTTTTGCTCATGCCGGTTGGGGCGCATACAGCGGTGCCGCCGGGGAAGTGGACGAGTGACATATATACCGTGGTTTGGAATTGTGTTGATGTGAGTTTTCTGTGGTGTTGGGTGGAATTATTGAGAATAAAACGCTGACATTATGAAGTACCCTACGGTCATTGTCCCCGTGGGAAATGCGGACCCTGAAAAGGATCCCAGGGATGAGGAGTTCAAAGCGATGCATGAGGCGGATGAGTCGAATCAGGCCATGTGTGAGTATTTCAACTCTTCCGTTGGATTCGCATTGTTCCTGACGAGTTACAGATGATCCCGCGATCTATAAAGGTGCCCCAATCGCAGTGCAAATTGTTGGACCGAGACTGGGGGATCAGCAATTGTTGAAGGATGTGGAGATGATTGACGCGGTCCTGAACGGGAATAAATAGGCTGGTTTCAGAGGGACATCATGCGGAGACAAGTATGGACATATCTCGCTTGTTTTGTATCTATAACGTATTGCTTGGTTATGTGTCAAGTAGTGATCAGATGGTGGGCTCGGTCATCACTTTGAATAGGATGATATTTTGCGGTTCCGTGGGTCCCTCGACAAGTCACAAGAAGCGCGTCTCATACCTCGCGAGACCAAGCTGTATGCAATCCATAATAGAACAATTGTGGTATTGTCGGTAGTGTGATGTTAGGTCGCTGACTCTCGCGAAGTTGTTGAGCACGTCATGTTGAGCCTGACTAAGCCATCATAGCAAGTGAGAGCTGGTCGCTTATAAACAGATGTGATCTGAACCAACGGTAGAACATCGCGGTCTGCAGATCAGACAGTGAATCAAACCCCGCATCAGGCATTTTCTTTGTGAAATCGAATACAAAAAACCACGTGTTTTCTATACGGCGGCTGGCTAGGATCTTTTGGACAGTTTAATTCGAATTCCTGTAGGGGGTATCTCCAGATAGCACGGAGTGCTAAGGTCTTGGCATGTAGCTGGCGCACTTTATAACGACCATGATGCCGATTAAACTAGCTATAGCCATAGAATCAGACAAGAAGACGCAAATACAAACGTGACTAGCACTGTCAACCTCATCCCGCCCTCATACCTCAACAACGCCTCTGACTCCTCATTCCCAGTCCCCGAGCTATTGTTCCCTGAGGAATTCCCAAACCCCTTGCCATGTAGACTCGCCTTAATCATCGGTATCAACCCCCCGTTAATATGCTCCGGCGACCTCCAATCCGACCAATCATGCGTCAACAACCCCCAAGATTCATCATAATCCTGCTTCCCCTCTCTCACATAATAACTCCCCGCAATAACCCAAATCGTCCACCCCGCCCCCTGCGCCGGTATGTAGCTCTCCAGACATCGGGCAAAAGTCTCATTCCATGTCGTGGCATCCTGCACGAACCCGAACTCAGTCATAACGAGGGGGAACTGGTTCGGCGCGTCGTCGGATAGGCTCTGGAAACCGTCGTTGAACAGATCATCCTGGAGAGCGGTACAGTTGTTCACGCCGCTGCCGCCGAGGATGTTGGCATAGTTGTGGAGCTCGAGGACGAGTTTGTTGGAGTAGGCTTGGAACTCGTCGCGGTTGAACTTGGCTGTTCCGGGGGTGAGGTCGGTGCCCTGGACAACGGGGTTGAGGCTTGTGTCGGAGTCGAGTCCGGAGAGGAATATGAGAACGTCAGGGTTGGCTTTGTGGATAGCGTCGGCTCCTTGTTTGGTGTACTTATACCAGTCTTGCCAGTTGTACGACTGGGCGAAGAGGTTTTCGTCGAGGAATGGCTGGCGTAGCTCATTGCGGAGAGACATGGACATGAGATTAGCCCATTGCTTTCCCTACGGCTGATTAGTATGGACTACTGTATTAGTTCAGCATGTCTGCACGTACGTGATCAGCCATATAAGAGAGCCCACGCGTCCAGTTCGCGGTTGAGAAATAGATGTCTCCCCACCACGAATTGCCATCGATTGGGGTGCAACACCACCCCGCCTTAGAGACGTGGTTATCCAGGTGGATATAGATTTCCTGCTTGGCACATTCGTTTGCAACAGCATCGAAGACCTGGATCTGTTAGTTTCTAATTTTCTCGATAGAATCAGGACACTGTCCCCTACCTGCAGCCGGGTGGTATTTGCACCAAACGACGGATTATTCGCGACAACCTGGTTATACACTGCCGTCCCATTCTCCTGGCCCAACGCCGTAGTAAAAGCCGTCTGGATCGGGATATCATCGCCCCCGTTACCCTCAATCTCATCAACCATCTGGATAGCGTATGTCAAGCGCACGACATTCATATCCAGACTCTTGATCTTGGACACGATGCTCGACACTGACTGATATTGCAGACCGTCCGGGAGCATCGTGTCTGCTGCTGCCGGCCAGTTCACACCGACATACGTGACGGTCGTACCACTGGCATCCGTCATTGCACGTCCAGACGTGACAAATGGGCCATTCGGCCATGCTGCTCTGGCAGTGGCCTCGGCCAAAAGCAAGCCCCAAAGATGGCGAAACATGGTTATTGGAGTGGACGCAAAATCTGGAATAGAAAGGTCTTGGGCACGTCAAGACGGCAACCCAATTAGTGCCGTAAGAGAGTTGATATTTATCCAATGCGCAAGCTGGTCTCGACAAAGCCGTGTGATGTTTCAAGGCGGAAGTCCGGCGCGATGTAAAACTTGTTTTGTAAATGCTAATAGCCGGGGCGGTTGCAAACCTAGAGGGACTTTTGCCGCCCACAAAAAAAAACGCGCCCTGCGAGACGGTCAATAAGAGATAGTGATGATACTATATATATGTATAAGAACGAAGTGTTGAAAGCTTTCTAAAGGAGAATATTCAACATCGTGTGCATTGTCTCAGCAGCTGTCGTCATGTTACGAGAAACCGTTTCATCTGATAGGGCTGGGTGTGGCTGTGCATAGATGATGCAAGAGCAATAATAACAACCAATCAAAGCGCTAATGAGGGTTGCAGTGTTGCATTTTCGAGTACGTAACAACCAGCTGTGCACATTTACAGTGGACTTGACCAAGGTGGTTTCTAAGGATTGATTTGCGATTACGGCCCTAAGTTTACCAACTCTTACTATAAGCTTGTTTGCGGCGAGAAACGTGGACTTGCGTAGTACTAGATCCTGTTGGAATGTACGAAGACTCTTGCTCTTCCTACATTGGATTGTTCCACAACTTGGAAATCCCACGGCCACAAGGGACGAGAGCCTGATTCTGAATTTTATGTGATACCATTGCGGTCCGAATTCATCTTAGATAGCCGCAATCGCATTCTTGACTGTTGATGAAGTGGGAGGTCTTAGTTGCGAGACTAATCATGATCTCGAGTGCAGAACAGATTCGAGGGGAGTCAGGACATCAAGCTTGACAGTTTGGGCTGCGTGCTGTACAGCCTCTCTTAACTTCAGATATACTAAAGTACACTTTCAAGAATCCTAATATTTAAGAACTTCATTTATAATATACACCGTTATTAGGTAGAAATAAGCGAAGGAAATAGGAGCGTTTTTTGTGGGGTGTCTCTTGTAAGTCTCTACTTTCTGGTCAAGTGAGATACATACTAATGAGATGCGTGATGCGATTGACTCGCCCATAATCGCTATAGAACGGAATATTACCCCAGGAATAGAAGAAAGTCGGAGAAATAAACAGAAAGTTACTGTTTATATGTTGAAATTAAAACTACTAGTATTATTTTACATTTCATCATTGTGGGATCGCACTAGTACTAGCATTCCAGCTACATACGAAGGTAAAGAAGGGAAGTAGAGGCTAGGGGCTCCAAGCACCAAAAGGGCCCTAAAGTATCTAGGTGTACGTCACCATGACATCGCCCACCAATTCCATAGTAATGATAATATTTAGACAATAAATTCTTCGGACTAGAAATTAATCGCGGCTTTTGTCATTAAATTATAGATTTTGAGATTGTATGTAGCGAGCGATTTTACCTAAGCGAAAGGGTGGGGCGGGATGCCATTGCTTTGGAAAAATAAGCAGCACTTGAGGAGATTAAGGTCAATGAGAACGTGGTCTCTGTATCGTAAAATCTGGCCGATGCTCTGGTCCACTGCAAGCTGGGCGCAGGAAATCTTCTCCGGGCTCATACAATTCGCATCTATCAAGCAGACCTCTTCGAGAAGAACTACCAGGTCCAACTCATGGGGCAGATATACGCCAAAACCCAAAGGGCCATTGATTGGCTTGGATCCGAAGCTCTATTTTCGCAACACTCAGCCACCATCCTGGATGCGGTCCTGGATAAGGCAGGAGATGAGATGCGAATTAGTTGAGTTCGCATGAGTGCTCACCCCAGTTCGATGTGGACGAGACGATTAATCAGGATGATGACGTGTTCCAGTCTTCCCCCAACGCGTCCAAACTAGCAGGTCAGCTTATAGCGCAATTCACATATGCTTTGAAATCAATCACACACCCTACACGAACCTTATAGGGGCTGCATGAGGTTTACTCCAGACCTTTCTGAGAGGGTGTATGAATTAACTGAAAGTTTTGAAGGCTGATAAAGTTATTTTCAATCTAATAGGGAATCGCAGGGTCACTAGCATGGCTCTGTAACCCATAAAGTTGTGTTTTCGCTGGACTCGGGCTTGGTGTAAAGACTGTAAACATTTCGATTCCGACCCACAACAGTAAACTGGTTAACGTGGAAAAGGAGTGGGAAGACACTAACAATTGGTTCACACGCAAGACTGGACTTGAGATCTGCACTTCGTAGGGGAAGGGAGAGGGGGGGATCAGAACTGTGACATCTTCTGGGCCAGGACCGGCTTATTCACATGGCATATTCATTTAGTTATATCACAAGGGACAAGGGTTTGAAACGTGAACTCCTCCAACACGAAGCAAATTTTTGGAGATAAGGATAGACTAGTAAATACACTCCTATACAAGTTTTTCAATTTTTGTAAATGTCCCATGTAACCTTCAATTCAAGGGAGTGACCAGGCACTATTCGTAGCCTCAAGTGAGTTGTCTCGAATCGATGCCATATTAACTGGCATCGGGCATCTTTATCAATTTGGTTCAGTCAAAACGAGTTGGAGAAAATGTCACCGCTGGTTTGGCTGTATTCGTCAATATACACTGGGGTTCCTACAGCACTTATACGAAGCTTACCTAGTGGCCGCGGTGGCTCGAGTGGGAGGACTGTTGCTGACCCTTTGGTCGGGAAACTATCTTGGGTCTATGCTCGGGAGGAACAGGGGCAACAGGATCGACGGGCTCGCCAGGCTCGTCTCTTTCGTTGACCGGCGCGGCGACACCAGCAGCCGCCATGCCCGTGTCCCTAAACAAGGGAGTCGCGGAAACGACACCAAGGAGAAAGTAGAGAACTGTATGGATCTTCATGATGATTCGCTTTTGGAGTTGATGGGTATGATACTGTTTTGTTTATGTGTACAAGTGTATAAGTTGACCACTTCACGCATCATATGAAGTTGAATGATTTCAGCCCTACGGGGTTTATATAATAGCGATACGCTCTCAGAGACCCATCACATGCATCAAATAGCCGAGCGTTACGTTCATCTCATCTCATGCTTTGAGCTAGCATGAAACAGCAGCCCTGAGGTGCGACTGAGGTCGGCTATATCACATTGGGACGGCTAGATCTGCATTCAGCAACCAAAGGGTTTCATCCGACTACGAATAGCCCTTCAGAAGAATCAAAGGAACCGAAATATTTAGTTCGACTAGTTACAATGGTAATGTTGACGGTCTTCAAGATCAGCGGAAGTAGACCTCGGAGTTGTGTCGTAGGTCTAGAACGGCACATGAGCTGAAATGCGAACTACAATAGTCCATATTATTAGATTTTGCCCCTCGGAACAATTCCCCCGAAGGGTATCGCTTCGATTGATGACATGAATACGGCACGAAGGAGAGCGTCGAAATCGGCAACCTTGTCGACTCCTTGTATGGTGCCCGGCCGCTTCACGTACAGCTTTTCCAGCTGATTCTCCCATGCCTTAGCTACATCTCATTGAACTCCATCGCTGCTGGTTTCTGGAAGAGGCGAGGGGAAACCGTGAAGTTTAACGTTCCTTAGCGTCATGGCTCCGGTATTATCGTCCCCCATCAAAGGTGCGGGGAAACTCATATGATGGGTGCAGGATAATATAGGCAAGATCGTGATCGAGGAGATCTCAATTTTTACATTTGGTTGGAATTTCCGTGTCATTGGAACCGTAATAATACGGCAACTTCTGAATAAAACTCCCGCATTAGATTCTTTTCCAAGTTGATCATTCCGTCAGAGCTCCTGTAAAATCTGCCGAGGGAGATTCCGCGGTCCCTTGTAACCTACATTTCCCATAACAAGGCCTATACCAGTGCCACGCCCCACTCCTCTGGGTTTCGCTTGGGCTCACCAGGTAAAGCGTGAACTCCGTTTACAAATTGGTGTAATCCACTTTTACTGTCATGTCTGAATGTCCCGGGCAATAGTGTTGGTGGAGGCATTGTCACGAGTAAGGAAAAGCTTTTGGCCATAGATGGTCTCTCTTTCTTCATCATAGATATATATGAACCGACCAAGTAATTTAAACGCTTTTCATTGACTTATTCAGAAAACTAGCTTCGCACTGAAGGGCAGGATTTACAGGTAGCTCATGGGCCCATTGCTTTCATGCACTTAAAGATTGGATTGGATTGTTGCCACCGGGGATGCTACCTGCGGAAGAGAATGAACAAGTAAATGAATCAATGTAACTTTAAATGTTGACATTGTGAGTCTTCTCCTCCAGTCCGAGGCCAAATGGACGTGAAAGCCTCGCGCATATGTCCCCCAAGCCTTCACAAGGTTCCATGCACATCGCGTAAGCATGGTGAAACCCTCGTACCGAGTCATCGTCGACATCTTTGTCTGGACGCTCGTGTCATGTGCTCACGAGGGAAACGACGGGCCCAGCGTCTGATTGCCGACGACAACGGGCTCGCTTTCCGACATAATGCCAATCATGCGTGCCCACTTGGTCGTGCTTGGATTACGCCAAGCGTGCATAGTTGCTCGCTGTATGGCGAGATCGCCAGGCTTCAGCAGCCGGGTTTCGCCGCTGTCAAGCTGCAGCTCAATCTCGCCCTCGACGGGAATGACAATGTCGAGACTGACGGTGCGGTGCAGGGGGGAGGCTCCGTTGGGCGGCGTGTCGATGTACCAAACGACGGCTCCGCCACCGGGCTGCACGAGCGGGGGCAGATTCTGCAGGCATTGCTCGTATGTTGCGACGTCCATATTGTTGGCGTAGGAGACGGGTGGACGGTCTGTAACGTAGCCAAGCCGGACGAGGGATCCGTTTAGGTTCCGGACTACTGTCAGCGGAGCCGGAATGTCGGCAAAGACAGCCTTGGCGTCCGAGTTGGTGTCGGTGATGACACGGTTCGGATCAGGCAGATTAGGTGGCGTGGTGAAAGACTGGGCCATAGTGATATTGAGACTAGAGTTGTTCGGTGTACTGTCTTCTGTAGCTTGTTTTTTATTTCTTGTGTTTTCTGTTGGGGATTTCTTGGGCTGGTGATGGTGAACTTGGATAAACAGGCCTTAGCAGTGAGAAATTGGGATTTATTAGATGCGTTGCTATGTGATTTTGATGGGGCAGGGGGTGAGGGAGATTCACCTCAGTAAAGGTAAACGTAGCAGCAGCGTGAGGGCGGCCCTAAGTGAACGACCGAACTTCATTGTTTTATATTTGTAATCAGTGACTAATGGACGATGAAGTGGATTTACATTTAGGCGCACTATGTGCAGTTACAATCTACCTATAGTAGGTACTCTTATGCAGTTGAGAGTGATTTGCGACGTGTAGCTGTTCATGAACCAACCAGCAGCTACCTATGGTATTTACCACATTATGATCGACCACACACGCCCTTCATCCGAGGCTTCTTATTTGAAAATGTTGGGGAAGGGGACTCTCATTATTATTTTCTGCAGGAGTGGGTACGCAGCTTCGTGGAGGATAGGACGGTACGCCTCCGGTTCGATGGCAAGGAGTCAGAGCCAATCCCCCTACGAGCTGGCGTCCCCCAGGGGTCACCGCTATCCCCGATACTGTTTATATTATACATTTCAACGCTGTACGAGGAGGTAGCGGAGCAGCACCTACTACTTTTAGTAGTCGGGTTCGCGGATGATACGAACCTGCTAAGCGTCGGCACCGATCCAGACACGACCTGCCGCCGGTTGGAGGGCGCATGGGCTACGTGTCAGCGGTGGGCAGTGAGGCACGGGATTGAGTTCACCCCTGACAAGAGTGAGCTAATGCACTTTACTAGGGCCCGAGAGCCCTTGCCGAAAAGTATTCGCCTTGGGGACGCCACAGTGTCGCCGGTAGTCTCAGCGAGGTTCCTAGGAGTCTGGTTCGACCGCAAACTGACGTGGCACGCCCATGTTGAGCGTGTTAAAACAAAAATGGCAACTCAAAAGCTAGCCCTGACAAAGCTAGTCAATATGTCGTGGGGCTGCGATCTTATACGGGCGAGGCTGTTATATACGGTGGTTATCCGTAGCGCGATCGCCTTCGGGGCGACTGCGTGGCATACTATAAGTGAGGAACCGGCAGGGCCAGCTAAGAGCCTGATGGGGATACAGAACGAGTGCCTCCGGGTAGTCTGTGGCGCCCACAAAGCGACGCCGGTTCGCCACCTGGAAGCAGAAGCAGCAATCCCGCCACTAGACCTCTATCTTAGTGCCCGGGCTGCTAAGTCTGAAGAACGGTTACGGCTTAGCGGGAAGAGAAATCTGCTTCGCAGCGCGAGCGCTAAAGCGTCACATATACTCCGGCAGGATAGGCCGGCGAAGAGGAAGCAGGCGTCGCAGCTACTCCGACCGGCAGGGTACACTATGGAGAAGGAGGCCCGGGGCTCCGAGTGGATGAGTGCGGAAAAGGAGGTCCCGGCTGCCCTCCTCGGCCACTGGAGGAAGAGATGGCTCACCGGAGCAGAGCATCACGATCGCCAGCGACGCGCTATCGCTGAGGAACCGGAGGGCCCTTCGATGCAGATACCGAAAGGGGGCAAGTATTTCGGCCTGAACCGACTGGAGGCGTCTACGCTGTGCCAGATCAGGACGGAAAAAATAGGACTAGCAGCCTTCTCATTCAAGACAGGGCTTTTGGCGTGTACTCGCCGCTATGCCGCTGTGGCGACGCCCCTGAGACGGCAGAGCACGTAATCCTCTTTTGCGGGCTGTTGGAAGGACCGAGGGAACGATTACGGGCCGCTATCGCACCACGGCCACTATACTCTCGCAGAGACCTCGCAACGGCAACAGGAGAACCAGTAGTTAGTGGGACTATTGTAAGGTGGCTGCTAGGGACGGATCGGACAGCTTCAAGGCCTAGATAGCATCGATCTTCTCAGGGGGGACTTTGTTGGTAGGTTGAGAACCAACGTAGTATGGTAGTGAACGCAACGCAGTCGCCAATAGGGCGAACCGACGACGCAGCGTATGTATTTAGTCCAACCATTAGGGCACGGTTTGACATACGGGAGTACTGGTAGAGGTACCGGGGGCTTCGAGCCTACGGCGTATTTAATAATAATATTTTCTGCTCTCAAGTTGCCGATCCGGGGTCTTTTTTATCGGTTGCCCTTTTGGCCGATGCCAGCAGAGTCCTGAAGGATCTTCCCGGAAGTACCCTACAGTACTCACTTATGTACCAAGAAACATCCAACTTTGCCGCTCAAAGTGGGCGTTGATCTCAGTAGTCTGAAGACGGAATCTAACTAAAGCAAGACATGACTCGATTCCAGTTATGTGATGAGTCGATTTTACGATGAGTTAGCAGCATTTCACCGACTTTCAGGCTTGCACCAAACCCCTCACTCGCTCGCCCCCTCAGTCGGCTTTATCGACTCCTGGCAATACCTATAATTGGCTCTACGCCAACCTAACCCCATGTCCAATATTATCAACGCCGATCTCATCCTCGGCCGCCACGATCTCCTCGTTCTTAGCCTCAATCTTCTCCCTCGCCGTCTCCATGAACGCATCTCGATATGTCTTAGCGGACTTCTGTTGCACATCCACCGGCGTCATCTTGTGCCGTGCTCGCCATGATGAAGACCTTCTCGCTTATTAAGCAGTTGGTAATATTGTCAAGCAGCTTCTTCGCGTTAACGAAAAGGGCCATGATGCTCAGAGATGGGAAGGTACGGCCAAGTGCAGGGCCGAACGCCTACAAAACCCCGCATCAAGCCAGAAGTAGCCATCAGAAAGAAGAAAAAAAAACATCATTTTTTGGCCTTCGTATAAATCTCTCAGGAGCTAGAGAAAACCCTCATACCGATTCATATGGCGCCGGAACTCAAGTAGCTCCTCTTCAGGGTATCTTTCGCCAAAGAACGCCGAAGATCATCGAAATAGCCTGCGGTTCCATCCGGTGCCACTTCTTTTAATTGTTTGAATGCACTGGTTCGATAGTATTCGTGGGACGGCTTTCGGCCACAGCAGGAGCTTGGAAATAACTCCCCTCTTAACTCCCGTTGAGGCCAGCTGCACTGTTTGGGGCTCCTAAAATATTCAAGCTTCTAAACTTGGTCAAGGGAAGATGTTGCAACATGATGCTCTTCGCTGGCTTGATCCTCCTCTCGAGCTTTTCCAACATGATTGCCTACGAAGCACAGGAATACGCTGTACATATGATCTATATCCCGGCTGTCCTCGTTGGTCTCGCCAGCATATTACTAGTGAGCCCGACTATCTGCACAATGACTTTAATGAACATAAAATCCTAATCTTCCGTGAGTTGATGGGAGTTGGGTGCGAGTGATGATTGAACTTGGTGCAAGAATAGTTGGAAGGATAGGTTCGTTCAGTATACGGAGAACCTGCTTCTTCGAAGGAAAATGAACTAAAATCGGGAAGGGAGAATTACACATCGTGCTGACTCTCATGAAACTTGCATTGCGAGGAGTACAGTGGCGAGTATTCTCAGTGGCTAATATGCGGAAGGCGGATTAGGGAATATTATCTAACATAGAGGTATCCATAGCGGGACATAGGACATTATGTTATAGCCGAGGAAATATATGGTAGACGTTGAGAGGTTGGATGTGGGATGAGAAGAATCAATGAAACATAACGATTATCGAGGTCAAAGGAGTTACGAGCTGTTCCGTCACCAAAGAAAGTGTCGTCAGCTTTTCTTCTGCACAAACCTTACGCCGACTTGTCCAAGCACACTGAAGGTGTTATAAAACAACGACTTTGTTCATTTCAGGCGTAAACTTCTTACTTGCATTATATATACATATATACATATATACATATTTCTTGACTCTTGATCCCACTTACGCATGTACAACATCAACATGTAAACCATCCACCATCTCTAGGAAACAGCAGACTATTTGCCAGGCAGACAGCGCCTACCGAGAAATAAGCACCAATGCCGTCATCATCAACTGACAAGGGGTCCTCAAGGGGCAAACCTTCGGCCCCTGCTCCTCCCACGCCTCCCAGGTCTCCACCCCCGGCTCCACGTCCCGTGTTTGCGCTGCTCCATAACCCGAAGCATCCGCCCAAGCTCCCAGACTAAGTCGCTTTTGCGATCCGGGGGCCATAATGATTTGCAATGTGATTATCTGCAGGATTCCGCGATAACGGCAAGTCCTTCGCCACGAAAGTTTTAAATGTAGGTGATTATCAAGCTATGTAAGACACGGATTATATAAGTAATAGATGACATGCATCATTATTTTTGCCGATCAACAAGCCTCTATGTGTGTCCGTTCACTGTAAATCCCGAGTTGCCAGCTTTCCACTGTACAATGCTACCATTTTGTGTTCATCAGTCACTCACTTAGCAGTTACCATGGTAGGTACTTGATAGGCAAGTCTTTGGGGATGTTTTTGCATGGAATGCCTTCGTGTGTATGTCACTTAATTGGCCTATCTTCTTTTGAATCCAGTGTAAGGAGAATTGTGTTTTCCCCCACTGATCAGTTTAAGTGCACCATCGTAACTATAGGCAACTAATAGATAATAACGCTAATTAGCAAATGGGGTTCTGATGCGCGTATTCTAGTCTCCGAAAGCTATTGTATCCACGAGATCTGTTACGAAGCTAGCTCAGAGCCTTCCCTGCAGAATACCACACTGCCGTGCCAAAACCCCCAAAAAGCAACCTTTCGCCCCAACCGAGGTGTAGGGGCGCAAAAAAGCGGCGTGGAAATGCGTGCCTTCCCATACTGAGAGGTGGTTGTTGGTTGGCTGGTTGTTGGGGATTCACTGTGTTGGTCGTGTTACCTGCACGTATTTCCACCAACAGCCAACACATCCCTTGAGCACCCTTAATCTTGCGCGCTGTTTAAATATGCTACAAACCTTCCAGTCAATTTCTACCTTGATTCATCCGTCGAAAAAGATTGCCCAGCTCGCGGAATGGACGCTCTTACACAACTCCTTGTGCTTGTGACAGCACTCCTACTGGGGTCTTCAGTCGCTATCTCGTTAGACGACACCCCAGTCCAAAATTTCCAAAAGACCTGTGTGAAGTGGGCGACGAAAGGGCCTGCAATCCTCGTCGCCGTTTGCCCATCAATGTCGGGAGAGCAAATCTGCAGCAAGCTGGATCTTGACCTGTACCTGCCTTGACTACTCTGCATCCCGCTGCATCACATGCTAACGATCTCGTTCCAGCTGCATGAGCGTTTCTTGGTTCGGGGACCGCCCTTTTGATTTCACGATGGAGGGAAAAGATAACGGCTACATCTCAGATCATTGCGTGGGATGCTCCATTCGAAACGATCAAGTCCTAATACCTCCAGATGTAGACACGCAACTCAAGTGCGAATGTAGTCGAGAATCAGTCGCGGAACCGTGGACCGGCATTGTACATATGGGTAAGAGCCATAAGCTTTTGAATCGTTGGTGAATGCTAAAAATACTATAGATCCGTGGATAGGCAACGTGGACGGCTACCTGAAGTGCTACGAACATGTGGGGGAGAAACAGGATAGCTGCCCTATCTAACCCGAAACACCGCAGGCGATCGCAGGTTGGCGTAACTGGGAGAAAGCATGTAACAGGGAGCAGGGCGTCATCATTTGGTCTGCAGGGGATCTTGTGTTGGCTTTAATTTGCGACATTAAATATAGTACTAATCCATCCGATCTGGTTTCGGACAACGTGATTTTCATCTTGGTTGAGTTCTCTCTCTCTATCGCGATTCGGATCAGCCTGTCCCGCCTATTTCTTGTGGTATTCATCAGCAGCATCCTTTAACGTAGCCCTCAACCTCTCCAACGTATACGGGCCTGCCTGAATATCATTGAACCTCGACGGGTTGTCCTCAGAGATGCACGTCGGCAACGTAGACACCATCTCGTCATAATTAATGGAGAAGAAGAAAGGCACGCTGTACCTCTCCTTGTCCGGACTGCGATTAACTACTCTGTGGACAGTGCTTGTCAGAGAACAGAATGCCATAGGCACCAGTGGGTGTCAGGACACTGAACGCAAGACACCGGTGGGGCGCCGGAGGGGTGTTTCGGACAAAAGACTCCCGAGTCATGATTACAATCTATGTGAAGCTTTGGGATGACGAGAGTCAAGATCCTTGGCATCGCCGACCCTGCTGTTATGCCGGGTCCAAGCGGCGGCCTAGCTATCTATATAAGGACCATCTCGAAGTAGGATAGGGAAGGAGCAGAGATCAATGCATCACCGTGGGCACCCCTACCTGAGACCGCCAGTGACCACCCGGTATTACGTAGGAGGGACGCCCGTTACTCCCCATCACTCTGTACTATTGCCTTCGGCCTAGCCGTACCCTGACAGTGCTCTTGTAAAGCCCGTTGGTCCAGCGCTCGAAGAAATCTGCAATGTTAACGGTGAAGCAATCTTGATGCGCCGGGGCCGAGATCCATTTCGGCCTTCCGTTTTCGTCAGGGTTAGGCGACAGAACTTCGAGACCCGGTGTTTCGGAGGAGAACAGGAGGGTGAAACACTCGTAATCTGTGTGTGCACCGAGACCAATCTCTTCATCCTGAGCAGTGGCCTTTTTGGGCTTTTGCGGAGGGTAGTAGAGCAGCCTGGCGATTGTGCCTGGATGCGTCATCATCTTGTCGAAGTGGGATTCTGGTAGGTCAAGGGAAAGAGCGAAGAGGCCAGCCAGATGCCGGGCAAGTGTGAGGACCTATCCGTAGAAGTCAGTGAATTTCTTGAATTTCCGGGGAATTAATACTGGCCTACCTCAGAATGATACTGCCTAATTGCATCGAAGAGGCCCGGCAAGTCTTCATCGCTTGGCCACACGTTTGCCCCCTTGGGATACGGCTCCAAGTCGAGCTCAACATAGTTCCCATCGCCTCCCGTCGCATCAAGGCCTGGTTCGTATCCCCTGATCTCGAGGTTAGAAGGCACACATAGTAACTTGCACTATATGAATCTGACCTACCAGTTATAAGCTTCCTTCGTCTCCTTGCCCTCCCCGTCTTGCCCCTTCCAATCATCCGGATTGACATTAGAAACCCCACTCGGCTCGTATCCCCTCATCAGCTTGGAGTATTTTATATGGAGTGCGTCTTTCTTCGCTTGCGGCAAGTCATGAAAGAAGCGTCTAGCTTGTTCCATCACTCCTTGTCTGGCCTGCGAACTGATTCCGTGGTTCGTAATCTGGAAGAAGCCGATCTCGCGGCAAGCCTTTCCAATATCCGCGGCCACCGCTTCCTTGGCGGATGCATCGTCGCTGAATGATGGTCCAATGTCGATTAACGGGATAGTCTCTCCGCTGGACGAGAAGACGGCGCCACTAATTCTCTTCATGAGCGATTCTTGATTAACACGGACTTGTTGCTTGGTGAGGTCGTTGGGCGGCTTCACCAAGCTTGGTGGTTGGGAGACTACGGATGCCATGACGATGGTGGTTTGGATCTCTCCGTCTCACCGGTCTTTAGATTAAGTTGAATGATTGCAAGTGGTGATGACAATGACGAAACGAATACGATTCTGGAAGAAGATAACTCGAGGTCTGGCCTTGGGCTAGACTCGGACCATTTTAGGGCATATTGCTAGTTACGGGGATCCACTCATGCTGTTACTGCGGTACGTAGGTAAATCAGCAGAATTGCTGTAACAAGCAAGTATCCCCGGAACTGACCGACGACGGAATGCTTATCGCCGATGGTAGCTCAGGGCCACTATAGTACAGGTGGCAATTATAGATAGCTAGGGACGACATAAGTATACATTTTCTCTGTTCATCTTATTCCAATAATACTTCAAATATCCGAGTAATCGTGGTTCCGCGGCTTGAAGATACGGGGACTGGGAAAAGACGACTTGGACGAGGAGTTGATGCCGAAACTTATGCACGCCGTTTATCATTTAATATGAATCTGTGTATAGAACTGCCAGCTCTAATATCTTCGGCCCTCGTCAAATACCAGCCTCAACCCGTCTGTCTCCAAGGGGATGCATGCATTATTGATTGCGCATGTCTTAAAGTGGGTATTCTCGCAAGCACTTTCTTCTGAGCGCCCATTTCGTTGCACAGCCGCCTCTAGGCAGGCAAGCATCATATATATAGGGCTTATAAGTGGTGAGAGATCCAAACGGCACGTTGCACTGCATAATGTGAGGTATGATTCGGGACTGGGGTCGTAAGAAAATCAATCTTGAAGTATTTCGGCCCCCAAGAGGTTCTTGGCGCCAGCAAAATTAAATATCATCACATTTCCTCCCCCTCCTGTGATTCCCTGTTCTATCTTTCTTCGATTCCGTTTTCATACCACCACATCGGCGCAAGTAGGTGAACAGAATGATCTTTCAAGAACTGTGAGCTCTTTCCGCGGCCACAAGAGATCGAGTCAGCCCGCTCATATTCTACCCGAGGGGCCACAAGCTAACTTTCCCCACATCCCCCACAATGGCGCCAGCGGGCTCCATGATTTCTCTCGAGTCGCTTCTCCTCGAACCTGGTTCAGCACCAAATCAACGTCGCGCAACGCGTTGGCATGCTTCAGCCCAGTCGTTAAATGCAACCCCCCAAGTTGTGTCCGACCAGTTGAAACAGACGTGGAAAGAAGTCTGGCATGATTTACGATCGGGCCGATGGGGGCGCGTTGGTCTCTGGCTTCTGTTCTTCTGCTGGGTGATATTTATTCTTCTAGTGATCTATTCTCTTGGTTCATATGATTCATCAAGTAGTTTTAGTGACTATACTTCACGATCAGCATATCAGCCAGACGGGAATTTCAGTCCGTTCATTGGCAATTTCAAAATTTGGGACTCTTCGGGTTTCTTCGAGATCACTTTGAGATTGGCGCGCGTTGACTTCAGTGCGGCAAAGGTCATCGACATATCTTGGGATATTTTAAGGCCCCTAAGATTCAACTCAGACGCTACGGAGTTTTTCAACTGACACTCATGGATTGGCAGCTTGTTGGCCGATTCGGCCAAACTATCCTGGCTTACGTGTCATGGCGAACGTTTGCCGACTACATTTCCACCTCGATGGCTCATAGCCCCATAACCTACAGGACATTCTGGATCGTCTTCATCCAGAATGAGCCTGGCCTGACGTCCATTTTCCGTTTGATGCGGGATTCTATAAAGTACCGTCGACTCGAATTGGTCGTGGCGATGCTCTTCATGGTCGCGACCATGGTCTTTCTCCTTGCTTGGCCGACACTGGCGAGCGCAATGACTGGGTACACCACCGCAAATGAGGCTTACATCAAGAGTCTGGATGACGAAAACACTATCAAATTCTCGTATTTGAAGCCCCTGTCTTACGTTATCCACGACGGTGACGGAGTCGGCTTCAGCAAAGATTACCCAGTCCCCTTCGAGGGCTTTAGTTACTGTGGGTTCTCTCAACAATTCGTTGATCATTTCTAACAAGCTCAGCTGACAGGGATATCATGATACCAAAATTCACTGGCGAATCCGACGGTGACTTGAATTCCTTGTATTCCTCGCATGATAATTGCAAATCTTATTCCAATCTGCTGTCTAGTTGTTGGCTACAGAGAAATTTGTCTAACTGTAAATCATGAAGAATCACCATGGTTGACCACTGAGGGAAACATTTTACAGTACTGATGGGCCTAGATGTCAAAGAATACGGGTTCTACGGTCTCAACACACAATATTCTTTCTTCGGCTTTGGCGACGGATTTCTTCTGAGAAGAACGCTTAACATATCCGCCTTTTGGCTGCCAAAGTATCTAACCGGAAATAACTGGACTGACCCCAGATATAACACTCAACCGTTCAATAATCCTCATAATATGGCGTACACTGTGCAAAATAAGACATACCTCTCAGCTACATCCTAGGCAAAGGCAACGGTAGATGCCAGCCGATTCCGGAGGTAGGCGCTCCGTATACAATGTTCTTGCTTTATCATAGTACTAACATTCGTCGTCCATAGCAATATGAGTGGGGCTTCTCATGCATACAACTCTTCATCACGTTATGTCTATTGTTAATCTGGACGATTGGGATATACATCATGTGGTTGCGAGCCCGCATGCAGCTACCACTCCAGGGACAACCCGAAGTTCCCAGGGGCTGGAAATGCGTCTTGACCCTGGCCAAGTCAATAGATACGGAGTTTACAAAGATCGACATCAACCCGTATACACTCAAGGACAAAGAGCTCAGGAAGATAATTCGTCGAGAACTCCACGGTGGAGAGGTTTCCTTTGACGCCCCTCTTACGAATATCAACGTAAGCTTCCGCCGGGTTTTCTGGAATTGGCTGAAGGGAGATATATGGTTGTACACGGTGCTGGCCATTACAGGTGGGGTTTTCTTCACTGCCTTTTTAACCTCCGATGTCAAAGTCAAGGTTTTCCTGGCTACTCTATATTCCACAACATTTATAGGTGTAATCCTCGCACTCTTTGTTGGAACGTCCAAGAGGAGTAAATGGGCTATGACGCTGTTTTTCCCAATATCAGGGGTATTTCTTTTTCTGATCATCGAACTTCCAATTATTATGGGGCGGAAGGGAGAGGACGTATAGTACTGAAGGCGTTGGAGATGGCTTTCTCAACACGGCGGTGTCAAAGCGAGAGTACATAAAAGCAGCGTTACTAAGACTGAGGATAGATAGTGCATCTATTTTTGCGAGACTGTTTCCATCGATACGCTGTGACGGCTCACACAAAAGAGTCAGCGCCATATGCTACTCTCAAGGGTTCGTCAGTTGGCGTCCCATGCCAATGCATGCAATCACTTCGAGTGCCTCAAGCCAATCATTGCCACTGGTCTCACGGAGAAGAGTTCGTTTTCTGCCACACTGAAACCATCCAATCAATCCAGGTTCACTGTATCGTTGGTCCCTCATGATCCTCTGACTCCCCTATTTTCTTCAACTTCTCCATTGCGCTTCAAATAATAACATCAGTCGGCTGGTGTAGTTGGTCACTTCGCTGGTAGATAAGTCCCGATTTGAGCCTCGCCCACTTGGGTCGGTGACGAGTCGCGGGTTCGAATCCCGCAGCTGACACACAAGGGGGTTTAGTCAACCCTTACGGCGCGCTGCCCACCTTGTTGACTTCGCCTACCTAGCGATAATAGGGAGATTGGTGCAGTTTAGGATTACGAGCATCCTAGCCAGTCGACCGTCAAGCACTACGTCGGCGGAATATAACTCGACAGCCGGTCCAGAATTCGAATCGTTAATCCGACCCCTTATCGGACCTCGCCTATCCGATAACGCTCATCGGCGAACCCGTCCCCTCACGATAGAAGGCGCGCAGCACGCCCTCTCGCCGCGATTCTTGCGAGCGTCTAGACCACGTTACGGTCTATCCACTTGAGCGTATGGTTGAGATGTATACGCTCGACGAGAACCCCAATTAGCAGATACTACGACTTGTCGCGACAAAAAATAGTCGAGCATCTTCTGCACATCAGCAGCATCCCACCCCTGAGGACGAATTTAAGTGCCACATTACCACGCTTATCGGTAGTTCAGGCAGGGGTTGTAGCACAGACTTAGGGAGGGACAGGAGGTTTAGTAGTCGTTTGGCTACAAGTTTACCTGTATAACCGCCCGACGCGGCTTAAGGGCCCGCTATATCATCTATAGCCCCTTAAGGGAGTACTTGTAGAGGTACCGAGGGTTAACACCTACGGCGTATTTAATATTTTTTTTAATAACATCAATTCTCCTCGCTTCACCGCAATTCTAGCCCCTTTCGCGTCTCTCGTTCGATTCTCCTCGACTCTGCTGTCCTGTTTATGATAAGAACTATGGATCTGTTCGAACATCACGCGCGACTAAACACTCAAGCTGCAGTTTCATCAGCATGACTTCCTGCGCAGCGCCTCTAGAGGAGTTTAACACACGGCACTTCGGTCTCTGGAGAAACGATCAATCGTTCAAACGCCCAAGCCAAAAGCCAATATTAGCCTGCCTCCGGCATTCGTTTCACAGAACTACCGAAAGCGAGATTTTCATCACGGCGACCAGAACGTGTCCCCATGTCTGCCTCTTTATGGGAAGAAACGCTGCTCGAGATACAGACCGACGAATCTGAAGCCAAGTCAAGGGTGCGGTAGCTGAAAGCTGTGAAGGATATGCTGAACTGCAGGGTGTGACAGGGATAAAATGGAATCAAAGTCCTTGGGATTATAAAAAGACGCGAGGCACATGCCGTTGGGTTGATATCTCCTCACACCATCTAAAACTACTACGCAACCTTTGGACATCTGGTACATTCACCATCAGCTATCTGTATGGATTGAGGCATACAACATTATATAAGCAGCAATGCCATGTTCTGTTTCACCATTACCGCGCTCTTATTCTCGATATTTGCTCTCTTTCTATTTCGTGGAATATCCGCTGCCACGTCTCTTGCTTGTAGGTAGCGGATATTTTCCCTGTCCTGTTTACTAGGTCTATTGCTTTTGGAGCTCGGCCTTTCCTGCCGAAATGTGCCGCTGCTTACTTATACTGTGTCCTAGTTTGTATCACGGTTAGAAGTTTCCCCACTTCATTGACCACATACATAGGCCGTATGAAATGTGATGTAGATATGGGTGGATACATCAATATAAGTACAATTTGTAATGGACAACACAAGAACCATAGCGACTGCAATTTGCTACCTTGAACAGGGTCATCACTGGCACCTGCGGTCTAGGGTTTATACTTCACCTAGTGTCTGCACTTGATGGAATCTATTTCTAATTAACCGTTCTAGCATCTAACAGCAAAAGGTCAAGCCATCTTCATTTTTCTGTTGCACTGATCTTCACCAGTAGTGTATACAAACTGTGAACACAGCTTCCCCAACCCCCTATGCTAACTCCGCCGCATTACCATGCGTGCCAACCGGATTATCTGACGACATCTCTACCACTGTCTCCCTAGGAGGCGGGCTGCCCGACCCTCCATACAAGTCCTTAACCCCAGCATGTGTACTTCCCATCTGCTGAGGCTGCATCATGCCCTGCTGACTGTACTGCTCCTGGTCGGACTGCTGGTTGTAAGCAGCCATGCCACCGACGGTGTTCATGTATGGTGCCGGCGAGCCACTCGGGCTGGGATAGCCGCTCATGGGACTCAAGGGTCCATTGTTCTGAGGGTTCGGGTGGGCGGTAAAGACGCTATACCGAGGGTCGGTGAAGGTTGGCGCTCCGGGTGGAGGCCCGGGATCACCTTGCTGCATCTGCATATGTGGTGTGTTGGATGATTTCTTCTTACGGATGAGGAAAAAGGCTAGGAGAACGAGGAGGCCAAGTACGGCTACGCCACCAACGATACCGCCGACTATGGTGCCGATGGAGGCACCACGTGAAGAGTCCGAGGTTTGAGGATTCGAAGTTGGAATTAAGGCGGCTGAGCCTGAGCTCGTGGCTGTTTCACTAGGTATTGTCGTATCGTCATCATCGTCGCTGGTGGAAGTGGAGGCGCTTGTGATTGATGGTTTTTCGGCTTGCAGGAAGTAGCCTCCGGAAAATGTAGACTGGTCGCAGTTATACTGCGTGAAGACGTCTCCTGGGGACGCAGTTGTGGACCAAAGGTACGTCAGGCAATAGGGGTACGATGTCTCGAAGGTGCTAATCAATGTCAGTCGAAAACGAGGACCTGTGTCTGCTAAGTTGTCGATTTACCAGCAGAGAGTGTTGGGCCCAACAGAGGCCGAGCAAGCTGGTGCTGTGGCATCAAGACACGACGTATAGTAGTTCGTTGAGGAGCTACAAGTAGCACCCTGGCAGCATCCACGGTAGTCGCCAGAGTTGGTACAAGTGTAGTCGGCCCCGCATGTCAATGGATACCAGGCTGTGATTCAATGTTAAAATTCGATGAAGCGTACACAGGGACGTAGGGAACACTGACTGCCAGTCCCTGAGATATAACCACATGTATCCGTTCCCACATCCCGGGCAAACAACAAGTCGGGATCTGTTCGGGCCCGGCGTAGTTGAGGTGCTGCCGTCACAGCAGGGGAAGACGGCGCAAGCGCTTGGCCAAATCGCTCAGCAGGCGAGGTTTGACGTGGAAAAAGGTCCAACTTGGCCGCCCTCACCTGAATCATGAAGCCCGCAAGGGGAAACAACGAAGAAGATATAAACTTCGTCGGCACCATGATCGTTGATCAGTTCAAGAAGAAACAACGAACAGGTTCACTCTCCAGACCCAACCTAATCCTCTAAACTCGGTGCCAGTGGAGAAAAAGAAGAATCGGAGGACAATTTGAGACGTCATGGCACGCGCCGACGGGGTAGACGACATTTATCAAGGACAGGGGCAAATTGGCGGCGCCGGTAAACGGCTGGCCAGAGGCTCGGGCATATGGTGCTTTGCCCAGGACATTGAGCTGGCTCTGAAGTCATGCCGCTTCAGGTATGGCCTAGCATTTTGGGGGAATTAGTTTCTGTCCGGGTGTACGCTTGTCCATGATGGCGTATTCGGCATGGAATTAGCATCAAAGCAACATGGCAGGATTCAGGGCGAAGCTGAGCTCAGTTTGCGACAAAGTACGCCCCTTTTGTGACATGTCTGTCGACGAAATGAACATATCATCGCCATCGCCAGTGTGCAACGGAGGTACATGTTGATATAGGATCAATCAGTGCTTCAGTAGTGAAAATATGAAGCCCGCGAGCGGGAATGAGTGGCAGTTATGGACAGGACTTAGGCTTCGACGGACACCTGAACTCGAACGACGTCGTAGATCACCATTGGCTTGGTGGCTTTGGGAAGGGCTTGAGCTGCCGAATGGGAGTTCAGAGAATCGTTAAAAATGGCCGAACTCAAGGGCACGAGGCAGAGCTGACCAAGGTATTGGAACATTGAAGCGCAGCAGTAGTCCATTCAGGAAAAGCTGAACGTCAGCCTGGAGGCATATATGCCGAGTACCATAACCTCAGCCCTCAAAGGTGTCATGTTCAGAGCATACATTGAGTTACTATGTATGTTTGTAGAGACATGTTGAAATCGGGAGGCAAGGAAGCATCGTTAACCTTGTCAAGGTGCAGCTTCCCGAAAGCGTTCGCGGGTAGCGCGCGTCTAGCGCCTCTGGTAGTGACCAGACGAGCACAACACTGCAAACAATGCTAATCAGCATTTCAGCGACTGAAATCAATATCAGATGAGCTTTGCGAAACATCCATCGACATCTTCATTCGATATTGACACTTCCCCGCAATCTCAATCCGACCTCAAGTCGCCGTGTAGTGTGCCTGTACCTGTATAAGCGCTCCAAACAGTGGCCTATGCCCGAAGAAGCACCAAAGCCGAAAGAGGACGGAGTACCTCTTGTACCTCTCTCGCTGCCCTGTTATCCAATTCGTTCTGCTCGGAATCCCCACAGCGCCGGGCTCCGTGGCGGTACTGGCAGGGCTCCCGATTCGCCGCGCAGCATCATGAACCCGCCAACTCCGACACAGCTAACTTCATTCCACAACCGCGTCCAAAGCCCCTCGAACCGGAGTACCACCCCGATACCGAACCTCCAACCACAACACCCGCCGCCTGCACCTCCCATCAACGGCGATACCCTAGATCGATCCAGCCAAGCAGCATTTCTTGCTGCACGAGCTCACCAGTCGGCCGAAACCCAAGCCGCCTTGGACGCCTTCGCCGATTTTAGCGTAATTCGAGGTCGCGGCACCAATACACCTGCTGGCCGCCCATCACCCCAACCCCCGATCTTCTCTCTATTCACGCAGGGCGCCCAGATGAATGGCATCAACGGCTCTGGCGCTGCCATGCAGGGCGGCGGGGCGGGCGCAAACGCTGGAATGGCGGTTGGGCCGACGCCCGCGGGTCACCAGGCGGAGCTGAACATAATCTACGGCATGGTGGAGGAGCTGTCGAGACAGTTGGCAGAGAACAGACGTGTCACGGAGGATATTGTCAGTGGTTTGGGCAGAGTACGGAATCGAGCTCGGGAAAGAGGCTTAGGCAACGATGACGTGCTCGGTGAGGCAGCCGACGAGATACATGGTGAGTCTGACGCCCGCTGCTTCGTTTACTACATGTGCACTCTGTCATTGCCACCCCGGTGTGCAAGCTCTATACTAACCTACCATTTGCAGCACAAGAGCCGAATCTCGACGCCCTCCTGTCCATCCTCAGCGAATCACTCGACCGCGCAAAGCACAGCCGTGATGCCAACTTTGCCCTCCTGACTTCGTACGCACGCGTGCTGTCTGCCTTGCTGTCACAGTTCCACATCTATAAACAAAAACACATCGCCGACGTCTCGGCATGGCACCGCTCGTATCGCGCCCAGCTAGCCGAGGCTCGCGCCGAAAACTCCCAGCTACGTGAGCAGATCTGGGAGATGCAAGACCACGCCGGCCGCGCCAACGCACTGCTGCGTGAGTTCAGGAAGAAGTACAACGAGGACGAGGCGCGGAACGAGAAACGAATCAACGACAGAGCCAAGAAACAAGAAATCAGATTCTGGAAGCGCATGGCCATGCCCGATGTGGGTGATGGCGAGGAGAGCGTCTGGAGCGATGATGACGATCTCGTTGATCCTATCGAGAAGGAGAGGCTGAAAGAGGTGGAGCGCAAGGTGGCCGAACAGGCGCTGGCGGGCGTGGGAAGCACCAGCAGTCGAGAAGACGGTGATGGAAGCGGGAGTGATAGCGACAACGAGGGTCATGTTCAGGAGATGGCCATGATGGGAGGTGTGCCGATGGTAAGGGGTGGTAGCAGTAGTTCGAGCGCAATGGCAGTGGCCGTGCCCACACCTCCGCCGCGGCCTGCGAGTACGGGCAGTACGGGCGGGCAGATGGGGTAACTTTCTCGGTGGGCTTGATGTACTCTTGGCTTGTCACGAAAAGCTGCCTCAGGGCAGTGCTGATGTACGGATATGGGATTGTTGGAGTTGCGGCAGGGCTCCATGGCTGGATGTTTGCGATCTAAAACGAATCAATGAATACCCCAATGACCACTAGCATCCGATTCCACCTTCCGTCTGCTAGGACAAAAAAGTCTGCCCACGATCTCTCTTCCAAACCCCGAGTCAATCATCAATCCCACCTCTGTCGTGAACTCGCTGTTATTGGGGTATTTTCAAGCGGCAGTGGGATGGTTTACTCGAGAGTCAGTACCTTGTCCATCTAATCAGGCGGGAACTAGATTAACTGGGGGTGGGCAAACATTGTATCTCCTACCTGCATTGCAGGCGGCAGCCTCAGGCGGCCCTGTATGTTCGACTCATGCAGGCTATGGTTCTCGAAAACACCAAGCACAGAACACCGTCTCTTCATATCATAGCAAGGCTACAGCCACAACATTGGAACAGCGTTGTTCTCTATGTCGGCCCCAGTTCACTCAGCGCTGAAGCATCTCAGGTATCCCCGTGAAGAGCGCACGCTACGGATCGATGCGGTGTGTATCAATCAGGCATCGGATACAGAGCATTCCTTTCAACTTGCTACGAGGAAACGCATTTACCCACGAAATTGGAGGACTCTAATGTGGCTTAGAGAGGACACTCTGGGGGCGACCTTAACTGCGGTGTATCTTACGATGCCTCGGCTTCTACAGCTTACAACAACACGAATTGCAACTGAGGAAAGGGCAGCATACTTGGAGAATACTTCAAAAGCCCATACAAGTCTGAAGATGAACACGGCAGCATGGGTCATGTTCACTGTCTACCTGAAGTCTTTAGGGGACTTATCTCGACGCCGATACTATGAGCGTCTGTGGATAACACAAGAGGCTGTTCTAGCACCCCAAATCGTATTCTGTGTTCAATAGTCGACCGTCAGCTGGGTGAAGCTTTTCACAGCGGCAAAGAAAGCCTGGATCATCGCCTGTCAGCTAACCGGTCCTAGTCACTGACGATTGAGTCTTGGAGCAACTATGAAGACTTTCTTCGCCATCTGGATACCAAGTCACCGGTTATCAACTCAGCAATGGTCCTCTCGACTCCGCTAACAAGAAGTATGATGCATGATTGGGTATGGGTATACGCATTGCTAGGCATTTATCTAATATAATCACTGGATCTGGTCCCCGATTATACGAGACAATTTCATATCTACACGCATAGGCCGTGACTTTGTGTCTCTCTGAGGTTAATCTTGAGCGCCTCGAATCCCATTGCAGTAGATGACGGACCCCGTACTTCACAGCTCGTATCACCACATTCTGCTTTAGTGGGTCTACTCGTCTTTTGGAGGGGTGGTTCGATAGTAGGTCTAGTTGCGATTGTAGGGACGGAACGTAGTTTTACTAGGAGGGGTTAAGGCGACGCGATCACAGGAGAAATGACCCTCTTGGGTTCCTGACTTCCGCCGCTTGAACAAAAAGTCCTCAGAATACGAATAATATAAAGAGAGAGTAACACTTGGAGGAGCTCAATATCCGGCCGTAGAATGTCACCTTAGCGACGGCGATTGGAATAAACTGGCAATACGAGCTTACCTGACATACTGAGATTCCCGTTATCCAAAGCCGCAGTCGCCACGCTCTCTCCAGGATCTCCTACATATAATCACTTGTGTCACCGATGCTTCCAGTTTCTTTGCAAATGGCAGGCTAGCCATTGTGTGCTTCGCCAACTTAGGAGTATCCTCAAGATTAGGAAACTTTCCTCTGCCGAAGGTGTCATCACGGAGTACTTCCTCAAGTTCAGCCTAGTATTCAAGATACCATGGACACAACGGACAACCTCCATACGCCGTTCAACAACCGAGGCTGACATGTTGTATTTATGGAAAAGCATCGGACGGACCCTTATTTACAGATAAGATGCAATCCACTCTCACCTGGACCTGGAAGTGATCCATCGTAGGGAACAAACGCTTAGTGGCCTGGGTGCCCTCCATTTCGAGAAATGGCGATTTTCTGTGCATGGCACCTGGGGCTCCCTGGCTCTTCGTCATGCGAAAAATAGCGGATGGTACCTATGCAATGTTTGGAGATGTAAGTATTCAATAGTGGCAAGGTGAGAACATGACTGGTATGAACAAACTCTGCCCATTACTGATCCTCACAAGGAAGACTCCAATATGGTTTGGAATGAGGGGTTTTCCGTTCAAGAAAGACTGCAGTCAGGATCCTTAAGTAAAACAACACATAATCCGCACATCATCACTCAGGAGTCCTTTACCCTCTGCTCGAACAGCCAAAATATTGCCGAGACTACATCTCAGTACAGATAAACCCAGTTCCAATCCCAATCCCAATCCACACTTGCTGTGATCTAGGGGTTCGAAGTATAGGAAATGATGAACAATATGTATTCACGACCCGATGAAGTGTAAGCATAACTTCATAACCTTGATCTCAGTTGAAACATCCGAAGGTGTCATTAGCGTTGAGGCTTAGTCCCAGATCCTACAGAAATTCCGCATAAATGGATTGATACACTGTTGACACGTCTCGATTAACATCCCACCCAGCCCCGGAATGGAAAAGATAAAGCTACCACGATACATTCTGGACCTTACTAGGAAGGATGCTTGTCCTCGGTGTTAAGACTATCCTTGATCTTCGTTGCTGTCCTGCAGCTCAGGTATATCTGGGAGACCAACCTGCTTGACAAATCGTTGAAACTTCGATTTCGGCAGGGATTTCGTCAATTCATCTGCTGCCATCCCTTTTATATTGATATCTTTAGCCTTAAAGACGTTACTTTGAACATCTTATCTAATCCAATCGAAGTGCCATGCATACCAACGTGGTGCAGCCTAGTCTTAAGAGGTGGAATCACCCAACATATGTGACTTCGAGCCAAATCGTGCATTGGTCATTAAAATCTTCTGATTGATCCACAACGAACCTCTAAGTGCTCCAGAGCCATTTGTTCATTGCCAATGCCTGGGTGCATAATGTTTATTTGGTGGATATCCGACCTACGGATCGACCGCTTGAGCTACCCACATCCAGATCAAAGTTACAAACGCAGTAACACAGCCTCCGACCTACCAAGCTACTGACCAGTCTCTGTAGAGAAGCCAGCCACGGATAATCGACAGGAAACAGAAATTGAAGGAGACAAGAGGAAAAGTTCAGAGAGGGTTGAAGAGCCAGCCTTCCTGGATCAATAAACCGGTGAATGGCACTTCGCTTAGTTCGGGAACGTGCCACTGGTTTAATAGGTTCAATAACTTCCTGCGCGACCTATGTTAGCATTGATCGAATAGTGAGAGCGGAAATTTGGTCTACCAGTGTGATATCGATACCTCATCGAGTTGATTGTTCAATCTGGAGAGTTCCGGCTCTTTGAAGCAGAGCGGCAGCAAGGCTCGTCGGTTAAGCTGCAAGAGCTCTCTTTGTGCTTTATTTTTAACCTCATAGGAACATTTGTACAACCATTCGTCCTCGTTAGCGATTTCACAGGCTGTAAGACAGTTGTCGTGATGATCCCACGAGCCAGTAGCGACATCATGGTGGCACTCGCATTCGTGATTCGGATTGTCATTCTTCCTCATTATCTCCTCCAAGCGGGTTTTCTTCTCATTCAGATCTTCGACTCTGCAGAAACCGATGAAAGATTGAATAGTTCTGCGACCCGCAATAGATAACTTGTGTGTAATTAGCGTGGTACCACCGAGTCTTGTCCAGCGAAAGGGCCTTACCTCGACGAATCGGACGTCCTTCACTCCATACCACGGAAGCCAGTGTTTCTAACGCCTTCTGCGTTCATACCAAGTCTTTCGAATTCGTCTCCAATGATAGATCTCATCTGCTGAATGTCGGACGTGGACTGGAATGATCTTACACTCCTCCACTTTTCCCCAACAAAGAAGGATTGTCGATTGATCAGAGCCCGAGGAAGGGAAAAGCTCTGCGAGATGCTCCTGCAACTCCTCCTTTCTCTTAGCGTTCTCGATCGCACAGCAATTTCCAGCAAACACTCGGTCGTCACTATTCACGCTGGTGGTTCTCGTCTCCTGCGTATTGCCCAGAGCCTCCGGTGGTTGAGCGGCGACTGGACGGCGTCTGTGGAAGCTGTTGCGGTCTTGGTCACCCACTAAAGCAGATAGAGTGGGTTGAGGCCAGGAAAGGGTTCTGCTCTCCGCCAAAGGCAAAGTCAGCCTATGTGATATTCTTGGCCTAACCAGTTGTCTCGAGAGAGAAGTAGGAAACCTCGTCAATCTGAACCAATCCAAATTTTGCATCATCGTGAGCTCGGTGCCCGCTTGACGTTCAAGATCGCCTCCATTTGAAGTTGACCGCACTCTCGCAGATTTCGGTGCGGTAATAGTGTCCATTAAGTGGGTGGGAACGTTCTTTTGGAGCATGCGCCGGCGGTTCCAGAGCGAGGGGCGTTTAATTGTGAAAGGCATAAGACTATCTACTTAACTCGCATAAAAGTCGAGTTGGAGATGCCGCTGGCGTGGCAAACGGATATAACAGCTGACGGAAGTGTCTGCAAGTTAGCCATGTGCACAGCCACAGTTGTCATCTTAAGATAAGGGACTGCTCGAACCTTGGAGACGACGGAGTTCTATAAGAGGGAATTAAGAAATATTATTATTATTATTATTAAATACGCCGTAGGCTCGAAGCCCCCTGTACCTCTGCTAGTACTCCCGTATGTCAAACCGTGCCCTAATGGCTGGACTAAATACATACGCTGCGTCGTCGGTTCGCCCTATTGGCGACTGCGTTGCGTTCACTACCATACTACGTTGGTTCTCAACCTACCAACAAAGTCCCCCCTGAGAAGATCGATGCTATCTGGGCCTTGATGCTGTCCGACCCGTCCCTAGCAGCCACCTTACAATAGTCCCACTAACTACTGGTTCTCCTGTTGCCGTCCAAATTAAGAAATAACATACTTCTATTTAGCACGTAGAACCAGGAATTTAAGAGGCCCATTTATTTAAGCCTTATTATTACTTGTGTCGGCTGGTGTAGTTGGTCACTTCGCTGGTAGATAAGTCCCGATTTCAGCCTCGCCCACTTGGGTCGGTGACGAGTCGCGGGTTCGAATCCTGCAGCTGACACACAAGGGGGTTTAGTCAACCCTTATGGCGCGCTGCCCACCTTGTTGACTTCGCCTACCTAGCGATAATAGGGAGATTGGTGCAGTTTAGGATTACGAGCATCCTAGCCAGTCGACCGTCAAGCACTACGTCGGCGGAATATAACTCGACAGCCGGTCCAGAATTCGAATCGTTAATCCGGCCCCTTATCGGACCTCGCCTATCCGATAACGCTCGTCGGCGAACCCGTCCCCTCACGATAGAAGGCGCGCAGCACGCCCTCTCGCCGCGATTCTTGCGAGCGTCTAGACCACGTTACGGTCTATCCACTTGAGCGTATGGTTGAGATGTATACGCTCGACGAGAACCCCAATTAGCAGATACTACGACTTGTCGCGACAAAAAAAATAGTCGAGCATCTTCTGCACATCAGCAGCATCCCACCCCTGAGGACGAATTTAAGTGCCACATTACCACACTTATCGGTAGTTCAGGCAGGGGTTGTAGCACAGACTTAGGGAGGGACAGGAGGTTTAGTAGTCGTTTGGCTACAAGTTTACCTGTATAACCGCCCGACGCGGCTTAAGGGCCCGCTATATCATCTATAGCCCCTTAAGGGAGTACTTGTAGAGGTACCGAGGGTTAACACCTACGGCGTATTTAATATTATTTATTACTTGTTATTTACTATCCGCTATAACGTATTTGCAGAGTGATGCGAGTGCATATGGGGTGTGAATTGTTGTATTGGGAAAGGATGGCCAGGTCAGCTATTCTGGCCTGGCAGAGCTCTTTTATAGCTCTAATCTATCTTATCTATAGCTATAGGGTAACCCCCCACGGGGTCACGCATCACAGAGCGAGCGACGCACCACCTACCTAACCCACTACCTTCTACGTTAAACATCGCTTTTATCAACTATGAAGAGATTGTATATCAGCGTAGCTCCATATGCGTGTCTTAGTGTTGCTCCGGCCGTTTCATATGTAGAAATTTCGAGATCCTCTGGTTGCCACTGCCTGACGTGGTTCACCACGTCCTAATGGTGAAGCCCTTCTGGTAGGGGGTCATTGACACAGCTTATCACGGCGCAGAATGCTCCGCGTATGTCGAGCACATTTGGGGCGTCTCTGCGGAACTTGAAGTGAGCCCGCGAAGTGCTCGCGGCAAACTGCGATGGCAAAAGCCTCGGCGTAGGACCTTCAGGTTACCAGTCTGGAATTTAAGAGGATATATTTTGATGGTATTGGAAACGTATCTGGATAGCAAGACAGCCGGATAATGTTAGTGTCAAGGTTGTGAAAGAGAGAGACATCTTGTTCGCCAGTAGTTGGGCAAAGTATTGAAAAAAGAGCTTGTTAGGCTTGTCATGGAAATTAGCAGAGAAACAATTACTATATTTAGGCATGAACCCTACCATTGAGAAATATCACGAAGAAAATCGCATTGATAATTCTGCAAAAGGACTGTGCTATCAGTGATTGACCTAGCCTCTGACCATTTTCTGGGGCACTGTGCGATGGTTGCAGGTTAGGAAGAATGTAGCAGTAGGGCCGCAATATATAGTTGGAACCAACATGCATGAACGACAGATTTTGTTTCGCCAATATCCTGGGTGGCTTGGGAGCCAATGCAACAACACGACCGACCCACCCCGTTCAACATTGTATGATATGATTTTGAGAGCAATTTTAAGCAATTTTAAGCAAGTTGAAATCGTCTTGTTTTTTTTAAAAAAAATATGCACCTTTCGCCTCACTATATTCACTACTTGAAACACGAGTTCCGCTCCTTCCGGCATCGAGTGGGAGTATTGATTGCCAACCAAATACTATCCTGCAAACATGTGGGATATCTTCCGAAGCAAGACAAGTGCTCCGCTCCACTCCTTCGCTGACAACGCCACCAATCGCGGCATAGTCTCTGATCTGATGCTCAGGTTTGACCATGTCCTTGGCCCCGAGAAAGTCCGCCAGTCCTTGTATTGGATTGTGGGCAAATGGTCTTGCATTGAAGATGTCATGATTTCTGGAGAGTCCTGAAAGAAGTGAACAGCGGCCATAAGGGCCTTATATAGACAGGAATGAACGAGGTCTGTTCCACAGGCAGGACTTGTGTGGTTCGAGGGGTGGTGTTCATATTGGCCCATAACGTACGGTACGTGGCCATATGTCCTTCCAAGACTGGCAGTCTTGGTGTAGTAGCCTTGAAGATCCAACAGCCTAGTAAAAATGATAAGTCAGGACGGCTGGCGCAAGCTCAGAGAAGGCTTCGCCTCAATGTAGAGAATCCGTATCTATCTACAATATGATGACTGAACATGCTAAAGGAAAACTGGAAGTTCGAATACTGTATACCCTCGCATTTCACAAAGGCCCGTCCAGCCGTGACCTTTCGGACATATTCCACATCCCCTTACATCGCAGGTGGCCCTTCCGACCCCCTAACTCCTAAGCACCCCAGACGGTCCAAATGAACTTTCAGATTACCTATACACGGACCGCGCACAGCTAAGCTTGCATATTGTCTCTTTTACCGACAAAACAGTGGTATCCATCACGTGGCCGTATACGCTCGTCGACGCCATGGCGCCAGGGCTTTTACTGAGGCTTGGTCCTTATCGCTCCAGGGGCGCCATGATCAGATTCCTGAGATGCGTGGGGTGGAAACTGATCCGCTTGAGACGTGGAGGCGGAGGCAAACTGAGACGTATAAGCTTGCTGGGTTACTAATAACGGGGTGGCGGATGCTGTTGTTTGGGTTGCGGTGTGCGTTCAAATTGATATGCTGGGGTGTGGAGTACCGTGTGGTGTGTATTCCGGGCTCCTTCATCGAGAACTTGTGCCTCAAAGTCATGGATCAAGTTGAAAATGAGCGTAACCTGACCAGGTACAAAACCTGAGGTTTTGGCAAGAGTTCAGCAGGTGCTTAAAACATGTCGCGCCCCAGTGTTCAACATATGTTGAACTTGTGCGACAGCGGCAGGGAAACTTTTTAATTGATGTGAACTTTGTCAGCGCCGAAAAAGGTGAAAATGACGGCATATCTTCGGTCAATAGATTAATATATGTGAAGCATGTGGGAAATTGTGGTCTTAGGAGGTAGGCAGGCGTTGTAGTAGTTTCAGGGCCAGTTGGGATTGGTCCTTTACGCACCTTTATAGTACCACTACAGCCCCTAGTACTTGCATCCCGACACTACATATGTTAAACATCAAAGCGCGTTATTGTTTTATTAAATATAAACTAGAACGAAACCACATAATGAAAAGAGCTCACTCAAGTTCAACATATATTGGAACATCGAATCGCGATATGTTTCAAGTACTTGCTGAACTTTTGTCAAGACCTTGGGTCATATTTCCGGTTGAGAAAAACCTCGTTGATAATAAGGAATGTGTATCCCCTCTGTTGCTAAGTAAGGGCGATGTCCTCTGCGCCTGGTGGGTAGCCTCTCACATTTGCCTAGGTACTCCAATCCAACTGTGGCTATTATAAGTGCAAGCCTTGAGATAACCTCACCAACCTCCCCATCCCCTTCCGCTGGGTTGGCCCCCACAGCTATAGTGACCATGATTTAACCCACGTCACCAACCAAGTCTCCAAATTGGTATGGCTTGGCAACCCGAATCCGGAGATTCGGTGGGTGGTGGTTGTTCATCCACGCCAACCCTGGCCAACCAGGTTGACTTGGTGAGGTTGCCTCAAGGCTTGCATAAGTGCCATGGAATTGCGTTCCAGGTTAGTGGACGAACTGTTTACACGCGGGTAAACTCTATGTGACGATGCCGCGGAGTTCATCCTACCCGTGCGACTCTAGAAACCGGTCAAACATCTAGCATCTGCTGTGTGCCGCTCCATCATCGAGCTCAGCATGAGACCGCAAATTGAATCATACACTGCTATCCTCTGGGACTTACTTGCGAAAGCGGGCCGGCCTCCTCTTTGTGAGGACGCGACGATGCGGTTTCCATTCGAGCAATCATTTCCGGTTTCCATTCGAACAATCATTTCCTGCGCTGTACATTTACGGTCTGTTAAACCACCCATGTAAAACCCGGCGAGCTTCCTGTCCGGGGGAACAGCTTTGCTTGTTCTATTCTGCTCCTGGCCGGATGCCGTACAAGAGCCACGTGCGAGGAATTACTCATGTAGTCTACATTAGCTTTGTGGCCACATAAGTATGCAACCTCCACTTCCTGAGGTTGGACCATTTAAGGACTAGCTGGCATGCTTCACTCTGACCTGATCCCTGCAGTACACCACAAACTTGGCTACACGAACGGGAATGTCGCTTCCCGTCTGCAATCCAACTGGCGTGATGTCGTGAACATGATAGGGACGGTCCAGCACCCGGGCGGAATAAATCATTCCTTCATATCTTAGGGCACACTAGACTTCGTTAGTTCTTGAAATTGTATCACATTTGGAATTGCATATAAAGAACAAGGAGAGTAGTCTGGAATTTACTCTCTCGTCCGTCGACTAGACGCTCTCATCCACTTCGGAATCCAAAAATGCGTTTTGCAACCCTATTGTCCACGATTATTCTGCTTAGACCTTCCCGAGCAGTATCATACTCGCTTGTTTCTGATCCAATCATCGACTTGGGATACGGGCGATACCAAGGGGTTTACAACACTACGTTCGACCAGAACATCTTCAGAGGGTAATACTAAACAGTCTCTCATCAATACAATAGCACTTTCATAATTGACTATTTTGTGTAGGATCAGATACGCAACCCCCCCAACAGGAAAGCTGCGATGGCAATTACCTCAATCCCCTGAAGTCAACCGGGCGCAGGTCACATCCGCCGTGGAAAACCCACCACGCTGCCCTCAATCTTACCAAGCACCTCCGTATGCAGACCTGAGTCCAGTCGACGCATGCGGCTAATCTTGGCAGTGACGAAACCGTAGACTTGGATACCGACGTACTTGGTAACGAGGACTGCCTCTTCCTCAACGTATTCACACCAGCCAATGCTACTCAGTCGCCGGTCCTAGTCTGGATCCGTAAGTTCCCTGCCTCTTTTAGGGCCAACCTTGTAAACCTGCAGATTAACGAGGTGTTTTAATAGACGGTGGAGGTTATGGAGCGGGCTCCGCCAAGACATATGACTTTGCTTCCCAGGTCCACACAAATAAAAATGAGTATATCGCAGTCGTGATTCAATACCGGCTGGGGGCGTTTGGCTTTCTGTCGTCGGCTGAGGTGGCCAGGTCTGGTGTGCCTAATGCGGGGATACATGATATGCGGTTTGCCCTTGAGTGGGTTCAGAAACATATCCATGTTTTTGGTGGCGATCCGGGGAGAGTAACAATTGCTGGTGAGTCAGCCGGAGGCGGCTCGGTCATGCTGCTAGGCATGGCGAATGGAGGCTCTGAAGGAACGTCGCTTTTCAATGGGGTTATTGCGTCGAGTCCCTATCTGCCAACTCAATGGTTAGTACTTGAACAACTATGGGGATGTCGTTGCTAAAATTTCGTTGCAGGAAATACGATGATATCCTACCCTCTCAATCATACTACAGGCTCGCCCAAGAAGCCGGCTGTTTGACCGACCAAACCGCATCAACCGTTTCCATATTCGACTGCCTTCAAACCACAGATACCCTGGTCCTCCAAAACGCCAGCAACTACATCAGTACTACCGGCCTCTACGGACAATGGGCTTTTGTACCCGTCACCGACGACACCCTCATCCAATGCCGTCCAACCGAGCAACTCGCCGTCAAGCCCCGCACCAACGGCATCCGCCTTCTAACCAGCAACAACCTCAACGAAGGCCCCTATTTTGTACCGCAAACCATCGAAACCGAAACCGATTTCTTGGACTGGCTAAGAACGACTTACCCCCTCCTCACCCCCTCCACCCTAACCTCCGTCCTCTCCTACTATGGCCTCCCCGAGAATTTCGACCCCTCTGAGCCTTATGTCGACTCCAACGGCCTCAATCCCCCTTTCTCAACAACGACTTCACACTTTGGCATAGGATGGCAGCAAGCTGCTAATAACCTCTACGCCGAGACGACTTTCGTCTGTCCTTCATACTGGCTCGCCGACGCATTTTCTGCCCAAGGGGGAAAAGCATGGAAATACCAATTTTCTGTGCCACCGGCGTGTCATGGGTGTGATATCGAGCCCTTTCTGAATCGGACGAATATTGAAGGTACGGGGATAAATGAGGTTCTCCGAACGACCATGCAGAGAGTGTGGGGGAATTTTGTGGTGAATGGGGATCCGGGAATGAGCGCGTTGCAGATGGCCGATTTTAACGGTAGTAGTGAGAGCGGGGATAATTTGACGGCGGTTGGGGCTGGTACGTGGCCCTTATGGAGTGGTGGGCTGGGGGGTGCGTATGGGAGGAATGGGATGGTGAATATGAACATGACTGGTGGGGTGCAGGTGGTTAAAGAGCAGACGCTCAATGGGCAGATTTGGGAGCTTACACAATATGTGCCAGGGGAAAAAGACACCGATCCCCCCTTAGAGGCGAAGACTCAGGTTGTGGATGCAGATTCTTGGGAGGGTGGTAGAAGGGAGAGGTGTCGGTTATGGGTTGAGCTGGGACCTTGGATCATGGAGTAAGTCGCGCGTGACTACCAAAAAGCAAAAAGAGGGAAATAGAGGCACAAAGAAGTTATGAGACCAACCTAGTATATGGCAATATTCTGTAGAACAAAGAGATTAATCTATTGTTATCTCTAAATTAGCCAAGGCCAAGTGACAAACAAGAAGGTCCCTCATGCCAACTGTCCCGTACGCGTTCGTGCCTCTTTTATCATCTGACGTCTGTCTCTATTCCATAATGTATAACTTTATCTTACTATTTGCTCTTCTCATCTTCGACAGGCACGGCCTCTTCGACGGTGCGCTCCAAGTTGAAAGCCGGCTCGTTCTTTGGCAGTAGTTCGTCTCTTCTCACATTCCAGCCGCCACCCCAACCTATCCATCGCACCTCTCTCGGCCCTCTAACCAAGCAAAGTAAAATTGCAGTGCCAATAAATGCAACTAGGGTTTGTTAGGCCTGCTAGTTCTGCTCATTCGATCAAATCAGATTCAGTACTCACTATTGCAACCCCCACTCCACAGCCAACCCCCCTGAGCATACAGCCGATTTCCCACCGCTGTCCCAGTAAGCTGTCCCGCAAAGCTGAAGACCATGTACGCCGTGTTAACTCGGTTCCGCGCTTTGGGATTGAGGTTGTACACATTCGTCCTGTTCGCTGTGTGTGCGAAATTGGCGCCCGTATCCATGGTGATGGCTTGTACAATCGGTCCAGCCACGGTGAACTTTCCTATGCACGTGCCGACAACAATGCCGACAAATTCGAAGGAGAGGCCGAGAATAACGGAGAACAGCGGCACGAAACGATCAGTAATCAGACGCGACCACAGTGGCCCGAGGCAGATGACAGCTATGCCAATGAAGGAAAACAGACCGATCTCGAGGGATGAATACAGGTATGGTGGTGACGCAAGGAGAAACGTCAGGGTAGTCCAGAACGACGTGAAAGCCGCACTGAGGAGGAACCCGATGAGGCATGCTTGGAAGAGAAGCGGCTCCCTGACCACCATGACTATGATATCGCACAGTAGCGCGAAGTAGTTGAGTTCCCGGTTTTTGGCCGGGTAGTCAGGCAAGAAAAAGAATAGCAATATGAGAACTAGATACTGTGCGCCGAAGGATAGCCAGTAGATGTTCCTCCAAGAGGTGTAGTTGGCGACTATGCCGGATAGCACACGTGCTATCAACATGCCGAGGGCGAGACCAGATACGACGACGGATAGAGAACTGGCGCGTCGATGGGGTGGGGCGAGATCCCCGACCAGGGGTAGCATGAGTTGCGGCGTGACGGTTCTAATTTGGAGTCAGCGTCTGGTCTTGACAAGCTGCCCATGACATGTCGGGATATGCCAACTTCGAGTCATCATCCCCGAGGTAGTAAAGGCTGTAAGACCCCTAGACAAAAGCTCCCGGGAGGAGAAAGGTGGTGGTGGTGGTGGTTGAAATACTGTGTGCACTTACCCTACGCCACAAAGAAAGGACAAACTTAGAAAGACCTCGAATTTGGTTGTGAGACACAGTCCTAGCCACTTTATTTGGTCAGCTTCAAACTTATGCGTCTGACGCCTGGAGGAGCCTTACCACCGTGGCCGTGATCCAAATCAACAGCAACACAAACGGCCTCCGCCGCACCTTATCCCCCAGTGGACACAGGAAAAGCAGACCAACGGCATAGCCAGCCTGGGACAGTGTGGCAACCGAAGCAGCATGCTCATTGCTGACGTTGAATTCCTCAGCGATGACATTCAAAATGGGTTGCGGGTAGTATAGGTTCGCGACGGTAAAGGTGCCGGCCTGCGGCATGTCAGTAATCATGCTCTCGGCCGCTTACAGTTGAGTTAGGGATCGGGTCATTACATACAAAGCCAAGCAAGACATTCATCGCCAGGGTGAACTTGGGCGGGTCTTTGGCGTCGTACCTACATCGTTGCGGCATCCAATTCAGAATTTCCAGAAACGACGACCATACACGCGGTTTGTCGTCGCCTTCGTCGGTCGAGCTTGTTGGTGTTGGTGGTGAGCGGCCGATTCGGGGGTCCACTTTCGCATTTCCGGCTTTCGGGACATCGCGAGATGCTGGATCGTCTCCGCCACTATGGTCCTCGATGGCTTGACTTGTTTCGGCTGGCACAATTCCTGGTCCATTTGCATTCTTCACTTCACCGTCTGTCCGACCAACGCCTTCCTCATTGATTGCGATAATGTCGTCATTGTCCTGGTCGCGATCGTGCATCATTTTGGGGGGTCTCCGACTTCGCTTGGCAAGTGAGAACCCGAGGGGTCATCTGGATTCTGAGTTCAACTGGTATTTAACCTCGACAATCTTGACAGCAGAACTCTGCAAAGATGAGATGACGGCTACAAATATCTAAAATGTAAACCGCCTCTCACCAATGTCAATCACGCGCATTTCAAGTGTCCCGTAGTAGTCCATCGCACAGCAGACGGCCTTCGGGGTTAAGGACGCGATTGGCGCTGACACCCCGATGTGTACAGTGGTTAGCTCGGCAGATTGAAGTCCGGTGACCTGCGAGCACTTCCGCGGTTCCCATGGCTCCGAGAGTCAGTCTGCCATACGCAGTTGCTTTCCCTCCTACTCTTAAATGTCTCGTCTTATCTTCGATTCTCTGCTTTACTTAGCTCGGCTTCCCAACGGCTAAAGAATGCGAAATTGGGGCCGTGGGTCGGCAGCGTCTTGAAGTAAGCGTCTGGAAATAAAGCTGACCGCTCGAGTCGGCTCCAGATCCGATTGATCGGCTCCCCCCCCCTCGTTATCGCCCCTTCTTCGGCAGCCCACCCCGCCTGCATGCATTGGAAGAGTGAAGCTGCAACTAGGGGACAGAATGGACGAACTTGTAGAAGGTCCGACGGCTTTGGAGCTCAATCCTTGCTGCCTGAGCCGACGGTCGGCTATGTCGAGTCCACCCGGAATGGACATTGGCTATGCCCATTACTAATTAAAAGCACCAAGGCAACGGAAGCTCGCCACGGCCGGTCCACCGCGTCCTAACTTCAACTAACCTTGAAACTTTTCTAGTTGTCTTAACAACTCGTTACGGATTTCAGGTTCGTTCTTGGTTATCATTGCTCTTGGAAAAGTTGGTAGTCGAGTTTCTGTGTTTCTCGACCGTTTCCCAGCATGGCCGCCGACGAATCCACGCCGTTGATCCGCAATGCCACCCCGAAAGTGAAGCCGGCTAGTCAGACCATCTTCGGTCCCGGGAACCGGATCTTGCTGGCCGGCTTCATGATGGCATTTACCTTGGGAATCACTCAAGTACCGTAAGAGACACATGCCGACCATATTTTTACCCTCGTATGCTATGTGCTAATTCTGCTCCTCAGTATCCTTTACGTCTTTCGGCTCATGGAATGCGATGTCTTCTACAGCCATAACCCGCCATTCGAAGGCCCCGGTGACCGTTGCAGCCGTCAGGAGATCAACGCCGGTACCGCCATGCAATTTTCCATCTTGGGCATGTCGACCTCATTCAGTGCGGTTCTGAATCTGTTCGTCAGCGGCTATTTCATCAAGTTGTGGGGACCGCGCTGGGCTTTCGTGTCACAGACTTCTCTGCTGGGGCTTAGGGTCTCAACTCAGATTCTGGGAGTGACCATCGGTGGCAGAGTGGGCATTCTTGTCTTCCAAGTCTGTCAATCAATCGGCGTGGTAGGCGTTGGAGGCTGTTTCCAGATCTTGGTTCGTTCGACTAATAATCATCAGGTAGGTGGTCCACGTGGCTACCAGCTCGTTCTCAACACTGCCGTCAGCGAGATCGTGGCGCCGAAAGACCGCACCGCTGTTTTTGGACGCCTGCAGGGTTCCATCATGATGGGCACTGCTTTTGGCTTCCTATGTGAGTCCAAATGTTCCGTCAAACACCACCCGTGGCTGACTTTGGATTAGTGGGTGGTGTGCTTGGTGATGTCTATGGCATCAGACGTCCTTCGAGGTGGCATTTTTTCTCTACGTGGCGTCCAGTGTATATGGTGCATTGTTCCTGCCAGAAAAGCCTGCAGAAAACGCAGAAGAGAACAAACGCGCAGTCAGGGGCATTGACGCCTTCTTCGCGCCAATCAAGGTCATTGTTCCTCACAAGTACCGTCTTGAGAATGGTGGTGTTATCAAGAATTATGGCATGATTTTCCTGGCTCTTGGAATCTTCCTCAGTGTGGTAAGTCGTGCAGGAAGCCCTAATTGTGTACTGAACCCGTCTGACCGTCGCCATCTCCATAGTTCGCGTCGGGCTATGCGCCAATTTTACTACAGATGTACGCCTCGTCCGAGTTCGGCTTTGGCACTACGGCAAACGGGTGGCTCATGTCAGGCAATTCGCTGATCCGTGGACTGTTCTTGATTTTCATGTTTCCCAAGATCATTACCTCGGGAAGGATATGGTACAATGGAACATCAAGTCCGCACGAGGCCAATGTTCCGGGGCAAGAGCATCACATTCCGACGAATCCGGAGGACTTCGATACAGCTGCAGGTGAAGACGTTCCGCAGGAGCCTATCACGTCTCCCGAGATTGAGGAGGAGGACACGGGGACTGAATTTGATTTGTTCTTTGTTCGGTGGAGCATGGTAGTCGACTCCATCGTAACGTTCTTCGCTGGGTTCTCAAACCAGGGTTGGCAGGTGTACTTGGGTGCGTCATTGATAACAATCGTAACAATCGTCGCACACAACATTACTGACGGGTTTCCAGCTGCGTTTCTCCTCCCGTTCGCCTCCGGATCAGCACCAGCCGTGAAAGGCGTTCTGACCGAAATGTGCCCGCCGCGCCAAAGAGTCGATGCGCTGAGCGCAATTACGATGGTCGAAAGTTCTGCCATGTTGACCACTCAGGGTATCTTTGGCCTCATCTTTGCTGCTTTCGCTGAAAGGGGCCAGCCGAGGCTAACTTTCTTCTGCAATGCCGTGAGTGCCTCAACCTAACCTATCTTGTCAAGGTTGTATCGCTAATGGTTCCTGTTACAGGCATGCGCTTTACTGGGTGTCGTCACACTCTTCCTAGCCACATTCCCGCCTCTCAACAGTAAGAGGATAGACGAAGATGAAGAGACGGAAAGCCTTATACTCGCTCAAGAGCGATCCACGCAACAAAATGGGAGTAGTGCATAAATCCCCATTTTCAGCGGTAAAACTAGAATTGTGGAGATGTTCAAATTCCGCTGCGGAAAGTTAACAGAGCAGTGTGGTAAATCAGCCTTTAACCCCCCCTCACCACCCCTCCCTCCCCCCCGTAAGCAGCATGGGTGATGAATTTGGTTTCATCGCCCATCAGAAACACTACCCAGCGGCAATATCATCAGGCTCCACAAGCCTCACAGATAACTGCTGGGCATCTTCCAGTTGAACCCCAACTTGTATAATCTTCCCATACTTATCCATGTTTACAGGCAACCTGCCCTCAATTTTAGCACTTTTATGTACCTTTTGAATAAAACAGAGACATTACTTCAGGATCTGACTTACGACTTACGGACAAACTACATTTACCTTGATCCCCCTATCCATAACCTCGTTCGCAGCTGCCTAGGCGAGGCCCATCACTCCATGCTTGGACGCCATGTAAGGGGCGAGGTTGGACACTCCGAGAACTCCGCCCACTCTAAACATATGTACAATGACGCCACGGTCCTCCATGTGTTGGATTTGGTATTTCAGATAGTTGGAAACGGCTGTCAGGTTGATATCCAGGACCCGTCGCCAACGTCTAGGGTATTTGGATTAGCGGGACTGGTTTGGCAGAGATCACGCCTGCCCATAAATTTATCGTTAGCCATCCAGCCCACTATTCGTCTTATTACGATGAGCCAATTGAAACGGGAGTTGCACCGGTGATTAGGATTGCCTTGCCTTTGCAAGGATGGGGAGTCGCTATAAGTGTAGGGCGCTTTGGCAATGATTGATGGCCGTTTTGAGCACGGTGAGGGGGGGAGATGCATATAAACAAAACGCAGCTTCTCCTGAGGGCGGAATAGGTATCTCACTTCTAAGACATGTTCTTCGCCAGTCTGGTGTTCGATCCGCCAACTGGGATTATCGATAAATTATTCTTAATCTCTTTGTTTCTTGGTACCTCCAGACGTGGCGGGTTCTTCTTATCCAAGAGCGAGGGGTAGAAGAAAAACAGAAGTACGTCACTGATTTATTTGAACAGTTTTTTAGACGCATCAACCCGAGTTGACATCGTATTCTTGACAAACTACCCATCAAATTACGTCTCGTTCCGTCCCAGAGCCAAGGAGCTTGATCTGCAGCCCCGTCTAGCCAGAGCGCTTCCATCTTTTCATCAACCCATAATTATCACAAACACAAGATGAGACCTGCGAGTCCTTGAGCGAATATTTCGACTGCTTGCAACTTTCCGGTATGGGAACTTGGCAGTTGACACCGACCACAAAATCTCCAATCGTTGGCGTGAAGCTGTTCCAGGAATCTTAGGCCATACGACGTTTCGGATGTTGCCTTCTTGGCACCTGCCAAATGCAGCATGTTCCCTTGTTGTACCATTAAGCCAAGCTTAAGTGACCTTCGCAGCTTGTTCTAGCTCTGCTAGTCGGCTAATTTGGCACCCAATATCTCCTAACTAGTCAGCTGGAAAACAAGCAATTATTGGACGGTTCTTTAGATCCAGCCTCACTCACTGCTCTTGGTCCTGCAGGTAAACAGCGCCCAACCACTTGCAAGGTTGCAGGAATCGGAATTGTGCCTAGCACGACATGCTGTTGACATCTATACCGAGGGCAATTAGACCCTGGGGTGACGATATTCAGAGGGTATATAATGCAGACCTGCGCCGGGTCAATTGGTGACCTGCCTTGTCATCCGCTTTCCAGACCACGGCTCAGTCAATGAGGAAGTCACTGAGTTCCCATCGCTCAAAATGAAGACTTTCTCATCCCTCGCGGCAGCATTACTCGTCGCCAACTGTCTGGCGACCGACCTTCTCACCCCTGAAAAGATCGAGGCTGGCATCAAAACCGAGGAGTAAGCCAAACCTACAATCTTCCAACACGGGCTCTCGCACTGACACGGCCCAGACTCGAGCACAACCTCCGGAACCTCAACGAAATCGGCAAGGCCAACGGCGGGAACCGCGCCTTCGGCCTCCCCGGGTATAAGGCTTCATCTGATTACGTGGTCGAGCGGGCACAAAACCGGTTTGCGCCCGAGTACGACTCGTGGGTGCAGTACTTCAACCACACGTTTGAGCAAACCCGTGAAATCACCCTCACCGGTCCCGACGGTGAGGATGTCGATGTGTTTACGTTGTTGTATAACAATGCTACGCCGTTGCCCGGCGGGACAACGGGGGTGCTGGTTGATACGCCGGTTGATGATGAGAGGGGTACGTTTCTTTCCCTTTGCTACTTTGCGCTTTATATTATGGTGATTCTGGAGACTGACCGTGCTTAACAGGTTCCCTTTGCTTTGAAGACCAATGGGAAGGCGTCGACCCCTCAGGCAAGATTCTGCTCATCAAGCGCGGCGTTTGTGCCATCGCTGATAAGCTGCGCATCGCCAAAGCCCGCGGTGCTCTCGCGGTGGTCCTGTACAACCAGACTCCAGGAATGCCCTCGTCTGCCACTCTGAGCGCCATCAACATCGGCCAAATCGCCCCCGTGGGCTTGGTAACCCTCGATGTAGGCGAAGCCTGGAAAGCCCGTCTCGAGGCCGGCGAAGAACTGACCGTGACCCTCCTCGTGGACTCCTTGTTCGAAGAGCGCGAAAGCTGGAATATCTTCGCCGAAACCAAGGAAGGCGACCCCAACAACGTCGTCATGCTTGGTGCCCATCTCGATTCCGTGCAAGCTGGGCCAGGAATCAATGATGATGGTTCTGGCACATCAGCATTGCTGGAAATCATGACATCCCTGCGCACGTACCACGGCTTCCCTAACAAAGTCCGCTTCGCATGGTGGGGAGCCGAAGAAAGCGGGCTAATCGGCTCTCTGTACTACACTTCCCATCTGAGTGAGGAGGAAGCAGACAAGATCCGCTTTTACTTCAACTACGACATGATCGGCTCGCCCTATCCGGTCTACGCCGTTTACAAGGGCGATAACCGGGGCGACGCCGCCGGTGCGGCGCCACTGCTCGACTATCTCACTGCGGCCGGGTACCCAGCCTACTACGGCAGCTTCGGCACGGGATCCGATTATGTCGGCTTTCTCAACTTGGGAATCCCCAGTTCAGGACTGTTCACTGGAGCAGGTGGGCCGACGGATCCGTGCTACCACTTGGGTTGTGATACGATTGATAATATCTCGTGGGAGGCCTTGACGGTGAATGCTAAGGCGGCCGGTGTAGTGGCGGCGCAGATGGCACTTTCGCTTGAAGCGGTGCCGCCCAGGAGCAAGACGTCGGTAAACCCTAGGAACAAGCATCGGATTAGGGCAGAGTTTGAGAAGTGGCAGGTTGCTGTCGAGGAGGCGGAGACGGGGCACACGTGTGCACACAAGTCGAAGAATACTGTTTAGGTAGAATTTTGCTGGTGGTGGGTAAGAGCGGTACATATTAGGACTACTCTTTCGTATTGAAGCTCCAGCACGTGGTATAGTAAGAATTTAATGTATGTGGTAATAAGCCTTCTGGATAACCAGCTTCGCTCGGGTCAATATCGGATCCTGATATTTCCGACCTCATAAAGCTAGCTTATGAAGCAGCAAACCATGATCATCTTATGACTCCGCAGGTAGGATCTATGGACCCCGGAAATTCCGATCAGAACAACCGTAAGGATCAACTGTCAAGGCTTCCAATATATCAGCCGCTGTTAGATCTTTAGGACCAACTTCCACTAACATGTCAGTACCCCTGATGCCCTCAGACATGATCAGCCTTTAATTCACAGCGATCCAGGGGGCCTTTGTCGTCCCTGAACTATGGCGGAACATATCGTCCTAGCCAGGACAAAGTGACTGAACCCGGACCTTGGCTACGCTGACTTCCTTTTACTCTGTGGGCTTCTATCATAAACCAGCAGGTCAGAAAATAAGTCAGTGTCGCGTTCAAACCAACAAACAAGGTATTGTACAAGATGAGGCCGTGGTAACATAATACAGGTGCCGATTAAGTAGATCTTGCACATCGTACTGCCATCTAGAAGTAGCCAGGATTATATATGTGGGCAATACAGCCAAGATGCTGCATTAGTGATGATGATGATGGGACTAACTCCTAGGAGTCTGAAGCTACAGAACGGCTATCTACGGACAGCTGACCCGAACACTGCACCCAGCACACATCCGGCGTACCAGGGGCACGCAACAATATATGTAAAAATGCCACTCCGCATCACCACCGACGGATCTATACGAAGGCCAAAAAGGATGTTTTTCTTTCTCTTCTCCGATGGTTACTTCTGGTTTGAGGCGGGGGGTTTTGTAGGCCTTCGGCCCTGCACTTGGCCGTACCTTCCCATCTCCGACATGCTCACCCACATGTACCTATATGTCCAACTTCCCTCTCAACTTGGCTCACATAGTATATTGGAACTTCACACCAGGTTAGCAAACACTCGCAACACGCCCTTAAAAATATAATAGTACTCACATAAATATTCTCAAAATCTGTGGCGTCCTGTTCTCCAAGGACCTTGGCCCTCGCTAACCTCTCTTCCTCAGAGACGCCTTCCTCTCGGAGTTTCTTGGCTCTGCGCTTGTTGCGCATGACGTATACGGACCGCCAAAGCGCGATGAGAAGAAATTCTAAACCGAAACAGATTGCGCAGCCGATTGTTCCCGGGATGTACCGTGGCTGAGAGTTTATGTCAGTTAATATTCAGCGTGTTGATACTGGTGGCGGTGGGAACGTACAGCGTCCTTAGCGGCGAAGATCTGCGATCCAACCATGTTACCCACGCAGTAGCCCACGAAGGTAAAGGATGAGGTCAAGGTCCGCTTGGTTCGGCCTGGGACGTTGGAGGGGATCAGGGTCCATGCCATGAAGGGGGCGATGACGAAGGGAACGGTCATGAAGTAACTTGAAGCGTCATCAGCAGAGTGCGAGCCAGTAGTGCTGGGGGGATGGACTTACCCTCCCCATTTGGTCCACTTATTTTCCTCCGTGTTGGGCAGAAAGGCCATGACGAGGAAGCCAACGAAGGGGGGGATGACCGAGAACATCATGAAGAACCTGCATTACTGGTCAGCTATGTAAATCCACGTTTTGCGTTTGCGCAACAGTACTCACATGCGCAGGTTCTTTATCCGGCTGGTTATGATACCGATGAAGATAAACCATAGCACGGAGAAGGTACTTCGCGGGATATCGAGAAGAATGACTTGTAAGTTGGCTGTATCGACCTTAGTTTCATGAAAGCATGTTATGTGGGTGTATGTGGCTTACTGAATCCGAAGTTGGTCATGATGATGGAGCCAAAAGTGGTCAGTCCACCATTTGGTACGGAGCTGAGAAAAGCGTTGAGTCCAGCGAACCAGAACTGCAACCTCAAAGTCAGTACGTGGGCAAAGTGTACACTTGTTGGATGTCAAACTTACGCAAGGGTCAATAAAGCACTCTCGAACGTGTTTCCAGTTCCACGTCTTGGTCCCCGTGCGATCATGCCCAGTGTTATTGGAGCGAATCCGCGTGTTGGCCATCTTCTTCTCCTCGGGAGAGAGCCATTTGACCTCCGAAGGCGTTCCCAGTAGCAAAAGGCACATGAAACCAACGAGGATTGTCAAGCTTCCGAGGAACTAGAAAGGATGAGCAAATGAAATGGCCCTTGTTTTAGGGACGGGATTATACGAACGTAGGACATGTATCTCCAAGCCTGAAACTCAGGCCCACGTTTGTACTGGATCGAGCCAATTCCGTAAAGAATCAAATGCGCAATAATTCCGAAGCCGGCATTGGCACTTTGGAAGACGAGAGAACGCGAGGCATGCTCTCTTGTCTTGTACCAGGATCCAACGACGAGAATGAAGCCGGGGCTAATGCAACATTCGAAAACGCCCTGCAGCGCTCTCAGGACGATGAGATGGGTGAAGTTCTGCGCGAAGCCGATGCAGAGCACGATCACTCCCCAGCAGATCATGTAGCATGACAGTGTTCGTCCCATGAGATAGCGCTGGAGCAAGATGTTGGACGGGAACTCGAAACACATGTAAGTGATGTCTGGAAATTCGAATCAGCTTTGGCACTTTTAGCGGTATTGAGAAGTTAACAAACAGAAGATGGTTGTCAACCAGGAGTACTGCTGTCCCTTGAGACCAGTATCCTGTCAAATGGGTCAGCGACGGGTCCGATCTATCGAGGCGTTGTAGCTGACTTACATCACGCAGGCCGAAGGTGGCCTGAGTTCCGATGGAAGTCTTGTCTGTCTGTTGAATGCCATAACAAAGCCACATCAACGGGAGTAGATATCGATCAATCTTCCGTCGAAGTTTCTTGTATTGCTCTTCCGTGTATACTGGTTCTGCATCTGGTTAATACAAGGGTGTCTGTCTGGCGCGCCGTAGCCGAGTATAGAGCCAACCCACCATTTTCACCCAGCTCGCCGTCAGCAACACTGCTCTTGTCACTTTGCTCCGTGTTATTTTTCTCTGGATCCGTTTCCTTCTCACGGTCATTGAGAATATGAACATCAAGAGTCGACTTCATCTCCGCCGGAAGCGTTGAGATCTCAGAGACGGTGGCCATCTTTGCGGTATGTTGTCAGAGCTCGCGCAACTGTAACGGACTATTCCAGCAGCTCAAGGTGCAATAAAGCGCGAGGAAGTCCATGGGATATAGCAACGTCAACGATGCGATTTCTCCTCTGATGGGCCAATGATTGTCGATACCGGACCATGAACGACAGATAAGCTGATGGCCTAGCCCGCACGTAGGGCCGGTAGCAGGCATATCATTGGCATCATGGCCTGCATGGGTTCGCAGCATCTATTCAACGGGGTATTCGGCACTCCACTCTGCACTCTGCGCTCTGCACTCACTCTGTTCTGCGGCGGGGTCACTGACTGGAAGCCGCAAGCCGAGAAGCCAAGCTATCGGGTCCGGCTATCGTTATCAGGATCCTGGAAGACCATTCCCAACATCCTGGAAACATGCCATTTTCGACGTTACGTACCAGAATACGAAGCCACGGAACAAGATAACGGGAGCAATTGCAGGCAATGTTGGGGGCTTGGGCAGCAGTTGTCGGGACTCGATTCGATTGTTTAATTTTTCGACGTCTCGTTATCCACCACTGATAGATACCCTTATCAATAGTTAATTTCCACGGGCTTCTTCTCAGACTTGTATTCCTTTTGGATGACCGACTATCTTGCATGCTATCCGATTGTTGGAGGCTACGTAAGCTCTGGCAACTGATAAACGTCGGAGGCATCCGATCTGACACATTTTCTTCTGGCAGTTCCTAGGATATTGCTTTCTCTGGCTGCAGCAAATCCTGCGTGGTCTTCCCAGGCTTCAACCCGGTTATGATTGCCGCGAGTTAGTTGCAATGCGACATTGATCTCGAACGACTGCGGCCGTTACCCCGCGAAGATAATATGGCACATGTCGGAGCCGCATTGCCACGTAGAGTTCCATTTCAATTTCTGTATCTCAGAGATGCAGTCGCTTCTAGTTCTGGCTGCATCTCAGGTATTTTTGCCGCCAATAACGCTCAACTAGCGATGAAAGCTAAGCAACAGACGGATATTGAATGACTCCCAAAACGAACGTCCGTTTCCAAGACATTCGGCAGCATATAGCCCGACTAAGAGCTGTATTTCAAGTTATCGAGAAGTTCGAGTAAGTAAGAGTGCAGAAATACTGCAGCACAGATTAGTTGGAAGGCTGTGGGAAGTTGAAGGTCAAAGGGTTTAAACCCTTGTAAATATCTTCAGAGGTTGATTATCTTTGTGCGGTCCCAATTGGGCCAAAATCTAGCTTACAGATGTCGGAAAGGAGTGTGGATTTAACAGGATGAGGGGTGAAAGGAGTGTGAGGTAATAAAACTTGACGGGGGATGAAAGCACTGTCCGTGCAGACTGTAATGTAAGTAACCCCATTGACCACCTTTTTGCATGCACCCCCATTTTGCAGGGTCTAACTGAATCAACCTAAATACTTCGTCCATATTATTTATATACAGAACATACTTAATTTAAGTGTCCGAAGACTTAGATATATTCTTTCGCGCCCTCTTTTTAGGAGGGACCCTTCCTTCGAGAAAAGTATCAATTTCTAACTGCTTATCCGGTAAAATAGGCCGTGTGACGACTGACACATGGACGATAAGCAGGGACATCCTGACATGGCCTGCCCTGATCTGGACGAGCGCGTTCCCCTTATAATAGGAGAACGGCCAGACATACTTGTAACCCTTTCCTTCTCTTTCTTCCCTAGTTTAGTATTCAACAATAGAGATGCACTGATATGCAACCTTGATTCGTACCTATGTGCCTCTGCCTCGTTACAGGCCGTATTCGCTTATTTCGCTTGTCCTGGGCTGTTCGGATCGCTGATAAGTTAACGAATACTTTATTCGGGTCTGGCTCGACGGGCTGGCGTATATCTGGAGCGTATGTATCGAGTTCTTTATATAGTTGCTCGTTTTCGATACGTAATTTGGCATTCTCGGCGGCCTGGAGTGTAAGGGCCTTGCCTGCCTTGCCTACTAGAGTACGAATCTTACGAGATACCCCGCCCTCGGCTTTCTCTTTCGACTGTAGTTGGCTAGATAGTTGCTGCGCTTTCTGAGGAGTAAAAGCAACTAAAGGTGGTGATATATGAGGCGGAGGATCTGGTGTATGAGGCTCCGGAGGATCACAAGATACGTCGACTAGTCCTTCGGAGCCTAGGGGCCATATACCAGTCTTCCGCCAGCCAGAAAGTCTCAGATCTTGGTCGAATCGGACGCTCTAACTCGGCTAGCATCTACGACGCGCCCAATTTTGGTACGTATCTGTGGATGGCGGCTAACGAAGTGATCCACCCAGTGTTGGCCGAGTGTATTTGTTACGAATCTACCATTCTAACCAACGCAACAGGCCCGATGGCAGGCCCAGTGGATACAGGACAAAGAAGGAGGGGAAGTCACACAGGAGTGGCTAGCTGCAGGAGGAGCCAGCTAGTACAAGGATCACAAGTCACGTGACTTACAAGGGTGGATCATTTGGATATGAAATGATCCGACATATCCAGTTAGGACCAATAGTATCCATGAAGGATCTAATGGCCCCAGTTATCAGTGAAGGAGAGATGGGTATATAAGGGACAGGACTCCCAGGCATTTCATAGATAGACAGTCTCTACTTCAGTGATCAATCTAAGCATCAATCTAACCCATTGGTGAGGCAAACTGCTTGACGACTCTATTCCCAGTTACCCTACTTGAATACTGGGCGATACGACGGATCATCGTTCTCGTCCAACCTATTGATTGTAAGGCCCGACTGGCTGATCTTTCGGATACTACCTTCCCAAATAGATCATTCCCAAAGTTTACGAGTTCGCTTCAATACATGTCCGGACGTTCGGTTAGTATGTCACATAAAGCTTTCCGCATGGGTTGTGTGATATAGCTATGGGGATCGATGGAGGCTCTGTTCTCACTGGACATTTCGGGCGGTTCTTTTTCGAGCCGGATTCTCTGGACGGCGCGAATGCTACATAAGGCCTTGGACGCGATAACCTTGTTTTCAAGATCTAGTTTTATCATCGACTTGATGTAATCACGCTACACAGGATGCAGTTAGGGCGCCATGGTTGTGTACATAGCCGGGAAAGATTGATAGTAGGTTAGGCAAGGACAGAAAAGGACGGGAGGAAATCAGGGTGGACGACGCACACTTTGTAGTAGTGGGCGGGTGGGCTGCCAAGTGGAGCTGTAACATCCTACTCCCAGCGCTCGCGAACTGTGCTGTTCTCTTTGCACTTATTGTTGTTTACAACCTTACAATTCTCACAACAGGATAAGAGGAACGGCCTCAGTGCGCATCACTCTGTAACAGCAAGTACAAAATCAGACGCGTAAACGAGCCTCGATCTTTATCCTATGTTGTCCACGGGCTTGCGGCTAAGTCGACTGGCCCATACCCCGCATATGCAGCCTTACAATTCTGACTGATCTGCGACGACGGAAATGATGCCAGCTTCAATCCGGAAAGCAAGGTCCTCGAGCCAGAAATCGGCTGTTATATGTTAACAGAGCGCTGAGTTGCATGAATCTTAGGCCTTACGATGCGGTTATTACAACGCGACGACGCTGGCAGGTACAGCCTTACCCCGGACCTCGCTTCCGACGATGTTCCTTCTTACGCGATCCTTTCCCACACGTGGGGACCAGACGAGGTGGTCTTCGCTGACCTAGCGAAGGCAGAAGATCATTGGCAGCACAAAGCTGGCTACGAAAAGATCAAGTTTTGTGCTGAACAAGCGAGACAGCACGGGTTGCGATACTTCTGGGTCGACACCTGCTGTATAGATAAGTCCGACAGTATCGAGCTCCAGACTGCAATCAATAGCATGTTCCGGTGGTATCGGGATGCGGAGAGATGCTACGTTTATCTATCAGATGTCTCCAGCACTGCAGCGTTCGGTGAACAGTATAGCGCGACCGCTTGGGAGCTGGCCTTTCGAAACAGCAGATGGTTCACTCGTGGGTGGACACTTCAAGAGCTCATCGCCCCGAAGTCAGTGGAATTCTATTCGAAGGAAGGATTCTGGCTAGGTAACAAACGATCATTAGAGTCTCAGATACGCAATATCACCGACGTCCCTACGGGTGCTCTCCGCGGTGATCCTTTGTCCGACTTCCCCGTCTTGGAACGAGAGGCATGGGTCCGTAGTCGTCAGACCAAATACGAAGAGGACATGGCATACTCGCTCCTCGGATTATTCGACGTTCACATGCCGCTGATTTACGGCGAAGGGAGAGAGAAAGCACAAAGGCGGCTGCGAGAAGAGGTCCACAAAGCTGTGAAGGGTGAACACCGTTCCAAAGTCTAAAAGCAGGGCAGGCTTGGAGACTAACAGCGTTAGGAATCGTCACGAACGACTTCTCCGTTACCTTCAGTCTGTCCGGAGTTCCTGAGGTCCAACATTTCGTCGCAAGAGAGAGGGAGTTGGCAGAGATGCGCAGAACACTAAACTCGGATGGAAGCCGTCGGGTCGTTGTTCTCCACGGTCTTGGTGGCATTGGTAAGACACAGCTCGCCATCGAATACACAAAGCGGTACCGAGATGAATATTCCGCTATATTCTGGTTAAACATTAAGGACGAAGCCTCTATCCAACAAAGCTTCAGCAAAGTTGCGCGGCAAATCTTGCAGCAACATCCCGATGCTAGCCGTTTATGTGCTCCAAACCTACAGCAGAATCACGAAGAGGTAGCCGATGCTGTCAAGACCTGGCTCAGCCTGCCAGGCAATACTAGGTGGCTTATTGTATACGACAATTATGACAACCCGAAAATAGCCCACCCCACGGATAATGCTGCAATTGATATCCACCGCTATCTTCCCGAAGCGTACCAAGGCTCGATCATCATCACATCACGATCGTCGCAGATCAGTCTAGGTCATTCGATTCGAACGAGAAAGCTTGAGTCAATAGAGGACAGCCTGGAAATCCTCTCGACGACTTCAGGTCGATCCAGCTTGGAACATGGTAAGATTCTCACAGCTAAGCAGAGCTCCCCTAATCATTGCCACAGATATAGATGTTAGAAAGCTTGTGGAGGAACTTGACGGGCTTCCTCTTGCCCTTGCCACGGCTGGAGCATACCTAAGGCGCGTTACAATCGGCTTCGGTGACTATCTTCGCCTTTATAGAGAATCATGGGCAAGACTTCATACAAGTACCCCAAGCCTGGGTTCTTACCAAGATCGCACACTCTGCTCAACGTGGCAGCTCTCATACGAGCAAGTCCAGGAACAAAACCCACTCGCAGCCCATTTACTCCGATGGTGGGCATATTTTGACAACGATGACATATGGTTCGAACTTCTACAGCCTAACGATAAAGATGGTCCGCCGTGGATATACGAGTTGGCTGATGAATTGCAATTTAATTGCGCTATAGGCACACTGCATGACTATGGGCTTGCCGAAATGCACATGTTGACACAAGACCTATTCGGATCACGGGGATACAGCATTCACACCTGCGTACACACTTGGACCATCCACGCATTGAATGAATATTGGGACATCAGTTTAGCTAAGCTTGCGTTAGACTGCGTAGCTGCACGCGTCCCATCACAAGACGAGCCTCAGTTCTGGCTGCTTCAAAGGCGACTTCTATCACATGCGACAAAGTGTTGCGCCACAATTCAAGACAGCGATCAAGACTTATATTGGGCTTTTCACAATCTAGGTCTCCTTTACGCCGACCAAGGCAAGCTGCAAGAGGCGGAGGACATGTATCTGCGGGCGCTTCAAGGGAACGAGAAGGCGTGGGGACCCGATCATACGTCAACACTCTCTACGGTTAACAACCTAGGGAACCTTTACGCCGACCAAGGCAAGCTGCAAGAGGCGGAGGACATGTATCTGCGGGCGCTTCAAGGGTACGAGAAGGCATGGGGACCCGATCATACGTCAACACTAGACACGGTTAACAACCTAGGGAACCTTTACAAAAACCAAGGCAAGCTGCAAGAGGCGGAGGACATGTATCTGCGGGCGCTTCAAGGGAAGGAGAAGGCGTGGGGACCCGATCATACGTCAACACTCTCTACGGTTAACAACCTAGGTCTCCTTTACGCCGACCAAGGCAAGCTGCAAGAGGCGGAGGACATGTATCTGCGGGCGCTTCAAGGGAAGGAGAAGGCGTGGGGACCCGATCATACGTCAACACTCTCTACGGTTAACAACCTAGGTCCCTTTACGCCGACCAAGGCAAGCTGCAAGAGGCGGAGGACATGTATCTGCGGGCGCTTCAAGGGTACGAGAAGGCGTGGGGACCCGATCATACGTCAACACTAGACACGGTTAACAACCTAGGGAACCTTTACAAAAACCAAGGCAAGCTGCAAGAGGCGGAGGACATGTATCTGCGGGCGCTTCAAGGGAAGGAGAAGGCGTGGGGACCCGATCATACGTCAACACTCTCTACGGTTAACAACCTAGGGAACCTTTACGCCAACCAAGGCAAGCTGAAAGAGGCGGAGGACATGTATCTGCGGGCGCTTCAAGGGAAGGAGAAGGCGTGGGGACCCGATCATACGTCAACACTAGACACGGTTCACAACCTAGGGAACCTTTACGCCGACCAAGGCAAGCTGCAAGAGACGGAGGACATGTATCTGCGGGCGCTTCAAGGGTACGAGAAGGCGTGGGGACCCGATCATACGTCAACACTAGACACGGTTAACAACCTAGGGAACCTTTACAAAAACCAAGGCAAGCTGCAAGAGGCGGAGGACATGTATCTGCGGGCGCTTCAAGGGAAGGAGAAGGCGTGGGGACCCGATCATACGTCAACACTAGACACGGTTAACAACCTAGGGAACCTTTACGCCGACCAAGGCAAGCTGCAAGAGGCGGAGGACATGTATCTGCGGGCGCTTCAAGGGAAGGAGAAGGCATGGGGACCCGATCATACGTCAACACTCTCTACGGTTAACAACCTAGGGAACCTTTACAAAAACCAAGGCAAGCTGCAAGAGGCGGAGGACATGTATCTGCGGGCGCTTCAAGGGAAGGAGAAGGCGTGGGGACCCGATCATACGTCAACACTAGACACGGTTAACAACCTAGGGAACCTTTACGCCGACCAAGGCAAGCTGCAAGAGGCGGGGGACATGTATCTGCGGGCGCTTCAAGGGTACGAGAAGGCATGGGGACCCGATCATACGTCAACACTAGACACGGTTAACAACCTAGGTCTCCTTTACGCCGACCAAGGCAAGCTGCAAGAGACGGAGGACATGTATCTGCGGGCGCTTCAAGGGAAGGAGAAGGCATGGGGACCCGATCATACGTCAACACTAGACACGGTTAACAACCTAGGTCTCCTTTACGCCGACCAAGGCAAGCTGCAAGAGGCGGAGGACATGTATCTGCGGGCGCTTCAAGGGAACGAGAAGGCGTGGGGACCCGATCATACGTCAACACTAGACACGGTTAACAACCTAGGGAACCTTTACAAAAACCAAGGCAAGCTGCAAGAGGCGGAGGACATGTATCTGCGGGCGCTTCAAGGGTACGAGAAGGCATGGGGACCCGATCATACGTCAACACTCTCTACGGTTAACAACCTAGGGAACCTTTACGCCGACCAAGGCAAGCTGCAAGAGGCGGAGGACATGTATCTGCGGGCGCTTCAAGGGTACGAGAAGGCGTGGGGACCCGATCATACGTCAACACTCTCTACGGTTAACAACCTAGGGAACCTTTACAAAAACCAAGGCAAGCTGCAAGAGGCGGAGGACATGTATCTGCGGGCGCTTCAAGGGAAGGAGAAGGCGTGGGGACCCGATCATACGTCAACACTCTCTACGGTTAACAACCTAGGGAACCTTTACGCCGACCAAGGCAAGCTGCAAGAGGCGGAGGACATGTATCTGCGGGCGCTTCAAGGGTACGAGAAGGCATGGGGACCCGATCATACGTCAACACTCTCTATGGTTAACAACCTAGGTCTCCTTTACGCCGACCAAGGCAAGCTGCAAGAGGCGGAGGACATGTATCTGCGGGCGCTTCAAGGGAACTAGAAGGCGTGGGGACCCGATCATACGTCAACAATAGACACGGTTAACAACCTAGGTCTCCTTTACGCCGACCAAGGCAAGCTGCAAGAGGCGGAGTACATGTATCTGCGGGCGCTTCAAGGGTACGAGAAGGCGTGGGGACCCGATCATACGTCAACACTCTCTACGGTTAACAACCTAGGGAACCTTTACAAAAACCAAGGCAAGCTGCAAGAGGCGGAGGACATGTATCTGCGGGCGCTTCAAGGGAACGAGAAGGCGTGGGGACCCGATCATACGTCAACAATAGACACGGTTAACAACCTAGGGAACCTTTACAAAAACCAAGGCAAGCTGCAAGAGGCGGAGGACATGTATCTGCGGGCGCTTCAAGGGTACGAGAAGGCGTGGGGACCCGATCATACGTCAACACTCTCTACGGTTAACAACCTAGGGAACCTTTACAAAAACCAAGGCAAGCTGCAAGAGGCGGAGGACATGTATCTGCGGGCGCTTCAAGGGAACGAGAAGGCGTGGGGACCCGATCATACGTCAACAATAGACACGGTTAACAACCTAGGGAACCTTTACGCCGACCAAGGCAAGCTGCAAGAGGCGGAGGACATGTATCTGCGGGCGCTTCAAGGGAACGAGAAGGCGTGGGGACCCGATCATACGTCAACACTAGACACGGTTAATAACCTAGGTCTCCTTTACAAAAACCAAGGCAAGCTGCAAGAGGCGGAGGACATGTATCTGCGGGCGCTTCAAGGGAAGGAGAAGGCGTGGGGACCCGATCATACGTCAACACTCTCTACGGTTAACAACCTAGGGAACGTTTACGCCAACCAACGCAAGCTGCAAGAGGCGGAGGACATGTATCTGCGGGCGCTTCAAGGGTACGAGAAAGCTACAGGTCCACCGAATGATATTAGATATCGGCGAGCAATCAATACTGCATAGAATCTAGGAGCCTTACTATCTGTTCAGGGTAAGGCAGCTGAGGCTAAAAGATTGTATGAACGAGCTTATACCAGTCTTCAAGCACTGCTTGGGCCTTCGCATAAAGATACCCAATCGTTGCGGAATACTCTGTTGAATTTGAATGACACACTGTCAGGTAAGTTGGTGCCATCGAACCTGACCTCCGTAGATCGAGTATTTAAACTAGAATACAGGTACGATAACGCCAGCAAGATCTGGCAAATCTAGACGCCGAGATACACTTAAAAGAGCACTTCGCATCTTCCCATCAAAATAATAACCTCGTAAGATATGGAAACTCACACAAGGTTAGGGCCGAGGACGGCATGAGGACGACATGAGGCCAAAACCCTTCGGGTTGACGGGAATGCTGGAGGCTGTGACGGATCATTTTCCGTTTTAGTTGTTGTTAGGCAACCTTGGTGGGCTTTGCTAAGACCACCAAGGTTACCACATGACTTAGCCCTTTGGGACTAAGTCCAACCTTCGTGCTCCATAGGACTAGATAGAATGTCAAGCTTTTACAACCTCACAAATCTTTGACCACCTTTGCGTGTAACAGAATCGAAGACCCCGAACGACATAATTAAGGTATAATCCTAGAAGGAATACGTGAAAACCCAAATCGTACGATATTAAAATAGCTCTACTACTCTCAACTAGTTTACGAAGGGTATGCCGTAGGTTATTCACCGGCTTGCTCATTTAGACGGTGAGAACGCTGGGCTTCGAAAGGCGAACCAGACACTTAGCCAGCAGCGTCATACTAAAAAGACCGTTTATAGGATAACTAATAGATTCTAATTTTGGACACCTGTGGCTTTACCATAGTACATGGCGAGTGGCTTGTATCTTTAAGTACGGTTATTAATCTCATTATGACACTGAAGAGTCAAATCTAGCCCTTCTACCCCAGTGCTATACTGTATGCATTAACAATTTACTTGCATATCGACACCTCGCCGTAACCCGGCAATTAAGTTTTTCTTAAATAGTGCGATGTTACCCTACAGCCCGTTTTATATTGGCAACGACAGCTGTATAAAGCAATGATTACTTTAGTGTGCGTAGCATATTCCTAGAGCACAGACAATTCCTTTCTTTCCTTCTTAGGAAGCCGTTGCTACTGTATGAATGTGACGACTGACACATGGACGATAAGCAGGGACATCCTGACATGGCCTGCCCTGATCTGGACGAGCGCGTTCCCCTTATAATAGGAGAACGGCCAGACATACTTGTAACCCTTTCCTTCTCTTTCTTCCCTAGTTTAGTATTCAACAATAGAGATGCACTGATATGCAACCTTGATTCGTACCTATGTGCCTCTGCCTCGTTACAATGAACCAGAAAACCAAAACGCCTTTCTCGTTGGAATAGACTGAGGACTTCTTTTTCATATCTGCACCAGCGTAGACTTGGAACAATGAAATAGACAACTGTTATACGCAAAGGTGGTCAAAGATTTGTGAGGTTGTAAAAGCATGACATTCTATCTATTGATTGATTGATTGATTGAAATTTAACGTCTCATCACGTGAGACGTGCCGGGCGCAGTGCCGGCATGGTCTATGCTAGTCGAATCTATGTTACAGGGGACTGTCTTCATCTAACATTCCTGTTCAGTGCGATGGGCAGATCTCAGTAAAGAAATTGGTCTCCTCCGCCCATTGACAAAACAAACGAGCTCCCTTGGCCGTGCCTAGGAGGGAATCTATACTATTCTTGGCCATATGCGCTTTTAGATGACCGGGCGTGGCCTTGCGGCCGCGCTTGCAAAAGTAGAAGTGGACTGGTGTCTTTGTCTTTCCACACCCGCAGTTGAGCAGTGCGTCGCGATGCTGGAGTCTCTCGTGGTAGGTCACGAAATCCCCGTGGTGCGACCTCGCTGCGAGTAATCTGCCTAGGTGTTGCCGGGGCAGGCCAAGTTCGGGGGGTCGCGGGTGGATAGCGATCCCTAGATCTCGATACTGTTGAGGGCAGGTAGTGGCCCATCGATCGTTGAAACTCTTCCAAGTGTAGGATCTCGCGATTCTCTTTATATGTGCGAATGAGGCCGGGTGTTGTGTCTTGGGTGGTTGCTCACAGGCCGCTTTGGCCTGGACATCTGCTTCTTCGTTTCCGGGGATGCCTACGTGTCCTGGGCACCACCAGATATACACTTGTCCCGGGGATGTCCAGGGTTTTCGCTCTCTGTGACCAGGTTTTGGACAGCTCTTGGAAGGCGGTGAATTTTGCTTGACTGCTTCCGGGACTTGGACAGATGAGCCTACCCGCAACCGCGAGATTATCGAGGCAGATGTGGACGTTATCTGCCATGCTGTTGGACGGAAGCTTTACAGCCTCCTGAAGCCCCCGTAGTGCTGCGTGGGCTTCCGCATCGTATACCTCTATCTGAGAGCCCAGTAGTTCAGACCCGCAGAGTAGTCTTTTACCGGCCTGATAACCAGCCCAGCCTGCTCCAGCTAAGGTCCTGTCGCTATGGGTAGCCAGCGAGCCGTCTGTATAGATTATTATATCGCGCTTTGAAAACTCGTTTATCCTTTGTAGAAACGAGCGGGCAGCCTCCTCCTTTGACTGTCCTGGGATATAACCGATCTTGGCGAGGGTGATGGACCATTCGCCAGCCTGCTCCCAGGGAAACATTCTATCTAATCCTATG